CAGACGATTTTTGAGCGCAGCTTCACCCGGACTCTCGGCCTTGCCCGGCTTTTGGTGCTGGAGAAGCTCCCGAAGCCTTCCGACCGTGATGCATACATCGATAAGCGGCGTCGAGAGCGAGGCCGACCGGTTCCCATGCGAATCTCGAAGCAGCTGCGAGGAAATATCAAGAATGACTGGGACGACGAAGTACCTGAATGGGTCGATGAGGAGGACGTGTCCGACTACCATACTTTTGTGAGTAATGCCTTGTTTGACGGCAAGCCTAGTACTAACCACATCTAGACCATTCCTTATGGCGAAAGATTCCACGCTCGAAAGATTGAGAAATTGCTTTACACTAAGGATTTGCTGCTCAATGCCGAATGGAACAAACCCAAAGACCGCGAGCTCCACCTGCATCGGCATCCGGCTTTCTTCGGCAACTTTGAAGACGTGATCGAGGATTGCTGTGGCTTTTGTCCTGTCCCCGTCACTCCCGAGGAAAAGCAATTGGCCGAGGAGGAGAGCAAGATCTACGTCTCGGGCAGGGTCAAATTCCTCCAGGACAACCCCGGCCGCCAGGAGATTGGCAGTTTCAACCCCATCACCGAAACTGATTGGACGGGTGAGTGTTCCCTGGATTTCCGGTGTCGGAGTTTCTAACCTGGACAGAAATGGCATACATCGGAAACACAGCAGGCCTGTGTCAAGCGATCATCAACAACGACTTGGAAGGCGTGAAGCAGTGGCTGTCGCACGACTTTGACGTGAACCGTCGGGATTTTACCGGTCGCACTCCGTTGCATCTGGCGGTCATGACCTCCACGCCCGAAATCGTTCAAAGTCTTGTTGACCACGGAGCTCGTTTGATCGCTCGCCTGGCCGACGGACGAACCGCCTTACATCTCGCTGCGGCTCGAGGCCATGCCGAGATCATCAGGATCTTGCTGACGAAGAGCGAGGAAAATGAGGAGGAAGAAGCTCGCAAAGAGCAGTCACGCAAGGCAGCCTCATCCGACAAAGAGGCCAAGGATGGCGAGGAAGTTGCCGAGCTCATCAGCCATCCTTCCGCTGAGAGCGAGGCAGATGCTCAGTCTTTTACCACCGGTTCTTTTATCAAAGTCAAAAAGGATGCGCTGGATAGCGCACAGGACTCGGTGCCCGATGACTCGAACGACCAGGACCCCGACGTCTACGACATCAATGTGATCGCTTGGGACAGTCACGCCTCTCCTCTACATCTCGCAATTTTGAACGGCCACGTCGCTGCTGTTGAGGAACTGGTATCTTCTTTCGGTGCAGATGTGCTTTTGCCGGTCAAATTGTTGCACGAGTACAACAACAGCCCGCGAGCTGCCATCCTCACCCTTGTCTTGGCTCTCCAAATGCCAATCGAGCAGGCGAAGGCAATGACGACGAAGCTGCTACAACTGGGCGCCTCACCGGCACAGGCAGACCTTGATCAAAAAACTGCCGTGGCTCACATTGCGGCTTCTCCGAAATACACTGAGCTGCTGGACTCGTACCTGCAGCATGATCGTCCGGCAGTCGAACGGACGATCAACTACATTGCTACTAGTGGCTGGCGATTCAACCCCAATGCCGAGACTGCGCTGACAACCGCTATCAACTCGGGGAATGTCATCGGAGCCTTGAAGTTGCTTGAAGCACATGCGAGCCCAACTATCGCCTTTGATGAATTCATCAAGTCGGCACAGGTGCACATCGATGGAATACGGAACGACTCCTCCGAGCAAGTGAAGAGAAAATTTGATGCGAACGTGTCCCAGCCTATTATATTAAGCGTCCTCAAAGATCAACCATCTGTGGCCCTGGAGCTTTTGGCCCGAGGTGCAGATCCCAATACCCTGACCAAGGAAGGGCACCATGTGCAGCATGACGATTACGCTAGGAACTACCAGCACGGCAAATCACTGCTGGATTGCGTGCGGGAAAAGCTGGAGGCTCTGCGTGCGTACAAGCCCGAGACTCACACCCGGGAGCCGCCCAGCCCCTTGGAGCACGAGGACAGCTTCTATCTCGCCCCCTTCAAAGAAGATACATACCAGCTGTGGACAGCCCAGGCCGCTCTCCGCAGTGCGCACTCCCGTATTGAATCAGAGCAGAAGCTCTACGACGACGACGTGAAGTGTGCAGCGAGTCGCAAGGGTGTCGAGGAGAAGAAGGCGGCCGTTCAATTGGCTCTCGGCGAGTATGAGAAGCTCGAGAAGGAATTACTTGCCAGGGGTGCCAAGACATTCAAGCAGTTGTTTCCAGACATTGAGATGTCTTCTGATACTTCACATAACGGCCGGAAGCATCGCCCATGCTTCGGCACCAAGCCTGGTTCGTTCAATTTGACCTTTGACTTCCGGAGGGCGGATCTCAACGACATAACTAGGGGTGGTTATATCCAGCTGTAAGTGCCCAATCGGTTCCCTCCATGTGCTGCAGTGTTCGCTTATGCTGACTGTGTTTAGGTTTGAGGCAGCGTGGCGTGGTGACCTTGAGACGATCAAATCACTCACACTCGGGACATGGGGTCCAGACACGAACAGACCGCCGCTGGAGATTGCTACGAAAGACCAGAGAAACTTCCACCCGTTCAACATCGCCGTCCTACGTGGACATTTGGACGTGGCGAAGGCGATTATCGCCATTGCACAAGTGCAGTACAAGCCTCAGGACGAGCAAGAAAATGTGCGGTATACGTTGCGAGCCACAACCGGTAATGACGATGATTCTTCCTGCGATGAGGGCGACGACGACAGTGACGGGCTCGATATCGAGAGGCAGATTCTCGATGAAGAATTCACTATCGACAACATTGGTGAGGTTAAGACGCAGGTCGAGAGCCAGATCCCGCCCCTCTCTCTTTTGAAGGACCGTTTTTCGGCTGAAGACTTCATGGGAACAACCTTGCCGGATGAGCGAAAGCCTTTCAATCTCGTCCAGTACGCAACCTGGAAGGATGATGCTCAGCTCCTGGTCTTCCTTCTGGATCTCGGTCGGGAGCTGTCTGCGAAGTCCGGAAGCTCCGAGCAGACTATCTTCACGGTTGAGCAGTGGGATCTTACTATGGCAATGCAGCTGGGACGACTCCGTTGCCTGGCAGAACTCATCAAACGTACTGGGGCTGGCATTCAATTTGATAAGCTGGCGGAGCAGAGCGGAGTGGAAATCAAGGAGAAGCCCAAATACTACCAAGGACTGTCCATCCACGGCAAGAAGCGAGCGGACTGGGCGGCTGCCGGTCGCGGCGACCTTCCCGTAGAGCCTGAGGAGGAGAAACCTCCCCTCCTGGTTGCTGCCCGTGAAGGAAACCTCGAAGCAGTGGAGTGGTTCTTGGGAACTGCGCCTGGCCGTTACTATTCGGAGTTTACCAAGGCACACAAGCACGATAAGCGTATCCAGAGGCTCGCCATGGGAAAGTTGGGTGTCGAGGGTTCCATTACCAATTGGTTGAGTATCAGACGTAGGTTCCCTTCGTGGTGTGTGGAAGACTTTGCTACATATGATGCTAACTGCCACCAGGCGATCTTGTCCTCCACTGCGCCCTTTTCGCAAAGCCAACGCTCGAGTCAGAAGGACTAGTCAAGTACTTGGTTCAGCATGCCCCTCACTGTCTCGAGGTCAAGTCCGTTGATGGATATACCCCCTTGATGATTGCATTCTCGCTTGTTCGTCCTACCTATGCCAAAATCCTAATCGAAGCGGGGGCCGACCAGACCATGCGCGATAAGAAGGGCAGCAACATCCTTCATCTTCTATTCTGCAGTGTCAGCTCCCCCTCGGCCGAAAGACTGGATGACTTCCATCAGATGCTCGAACTGGTCGATCCGTCTTTAATTCCCTCCCTGCTCGTCGAGCGTTCGTCACACGAGCCCGGCGCTCTGACACCCTTGGCAATGTGGATGGTGCGGGCCTTGAGCACGGCACATACCTACTCCGTCTATGGCAATGGCAGCAACCGCGAGGGCGATAACCAAATGAAAGCTCTTCGAATGATCTTGGACTTTGCCGAAAGTACCAGGCAGAAGCATCTGGAGCTGTTGGACGGGGCTGGCAACACCGTCGTGCACGATGCCGTGCGGTGCCAGCTCCTCCGAACGCTGGAGATCTTGCTCGAACGCCGTCCGGACCTCCTCCATCGCGAGAACGCATCTGGCTCGACGCCTGCTGAACTCGCCGAGGCTGCCTGGGTCACAGAAGTTACATCCAACCCTCCCGGACCGGGGCGTCGACACAGGTTCATGTACAGCAGCAATCAGTATGGAGATAGCCTTGTGGATCGTCAGCCCGAGTCCTTTGTCGCGGATGATGATCAGGCTCCACCGATGAAACGGAGGATCTACGACTTCTGCCGTGGCAAGGCTGAGAGTTTGAAAGGACCCGATGCGAAGCGGAGATTGGTCACACTGTTCGAGGCCAATGAAGTCGCCAGAAGACTGGCTGCGAAGGATCCGCAGGAGACTCGGCATGTTGGTCGTGCAGCGAGAAGGAGAAGATGGAACGAGCACAACGAAAGAGAGTTTGGCGATGAAGTTCGGGAATGGCTTCCGGAGATGTATTAGCAGTAGGGTTGGGCTCGCATCTGAAGGGTTGCTTTTTCCTTGAAAGGTTGTTGATATATTTTGAAATATTCAATTCGTGGATGAGCGAAATGTAATTACAGACGGTTACGGCCATCCACCTGTTGCTTGCCTCATCTCGTCGGGCTCCACTCGAAGACAATATTGAATCCCCATTATCAACCCTCGTCGCCTTACATCTTGATAGATTTTCGTTGAGTCGCCCCTTGCAAATCTGCTCTCTCAGCTGCTTTCAGCAAAGTGATCAGCAAAGTGATCTGGCATGATGAGTTACGAGGTCGAGTTCAAAAATACAGGCGATGGACCCTTGATGGTGCCAGGATGCAATGGTGTTCCCTTTGATGTCACAGCATCATCAGACAGAACGTTTGTAGGCTCTGACGATATAACTGGTATCCGTCGCCTTTCACCACCCGCGAACTGGAAATGCTGAGGCTGATGAACTCCTTAACTGATCGACCAGGCTGGGAGGAGCTGGTTTTTGATGCTTCTACCATGCAGACTTGCCGAAGTGAAGTCATGGCGCAATTACCATTGATCAGCCCCAAGGCATGGGAATGGAGCGAGGCTGAGCTGCGTGACAAAGCGCAGCGATGGCAGGAGACTGGTCTAATTGTGGTTCTGAATGCTGGCAGTGGTGTGTGTAAGTCAGACACCATCATTCCTCCTGCAGTGACCGCAGAGATCCAGGACTTCGTCACTTCTGCCTTAAACGAGTCTGCTGGGCAAGGCAACCCCACCTACGCAAAAGTCGAGTCCCACTGAAGAACACACACCCGTCATCCTCATTCGCCCAGGGTCAGCATAAGGGATGAAATACGAAGACATCCCTCCGAACATGGCACTAATTTGCGGACCCTAATGTGCGAAGGAGCGGGAGGAATAGCCAAGGACCGAGGCGGGACTGAGGTGGCCGAGGAGTGATTGCGACCCCTTAATGGCGTAAGGTCACGCCCTTGTTTCGAGGATCCTGCTTGACTCACGTGACTTTGGTTACATGTACAGTACCTCAGACCAACTCAGGTCAAGGAATATCGGGATGAACCTTGAAAGGGACTTATGGATATTTCTAGGGGCAAAAGTGTATGTGGGATTCGGTATGTACCATATGCCTATCCAATGTGTCGGCTATGAAGGGCCTCCTATCTCAACTTGCTGGCCTGGTAGTGCATTGTATGTCCTGAACCACGTAACAAATATCTGATTGTCAATGCCTTGCTGGCCTATCTTCGCTTCCGTAGCACGTTAGCAATAACAGGCATTCTATGTCACGTCTTCTGAACGTTTCGTGTACGTTCTTCTCATTTCCGTCAGGACCTAAATGATGCTGCGATAAGCATCTGCTCCAAGGTCTTGCTGAAATTGAGGCACTGGGGACACTACCCTGACCGCGAGATGATAAGAGCCAATCATGCATTATATTGGCCATTGTCGCCCTGAAGCGTAGGCGGGACGAGGTTCTTTTTGTCTATGAAACTCGACGTCTCTCCATGACATGATGTAGTGTGTAGCGATTTTTGTTATGGCACATTATAGCATAACGCTCTTGCCCGATTTAAGGTCATTTTTGCGAGTCAGTACTATTCCTTGGTATCATAGGCGAACAAAAAATTTGTTGGCCCCTTATATGTCAGAAACTATGCCCCCCAAAAAAGAGAGGAATGTGCATGGATATGGCTAGGCTTGGCTTAATGACTTTTATTTGGCTGTCATTTGGTGTTCATGGTGAATAATCAATCCTACTTCGTACCAGTTCAGGCAATGATCAGTGAGTAAACAGGGGCTATCCCGAGGACTCCAGAACTGCTCAGGGAGCGATCAGGGCACGCACTTTCTCTCTCCGGTCACGATCAGGCTGGCTCAGTGAGCAAAAAGCGGCGGCAATTCGGAATCCGGAAATGGAAAGTCGTACAGTTTCTGCAGGAAGATAGTTCAGTCGTTCATGAGAGGATGCAGGGCCGCTTTAGTGCCCAAGATCATCGGCACGTGACGCCCAGCATTGTCACGCGGCGCCATTCCACACTCCTGCCAGCAACGCGTATAAAACACCTAATGAGTTCAACTACGCCGGTTAATAGGAGCACTAAAAATCTCCCTTCCTCCCAGCTCCTTCCGCACAATTGGTCTTGCTCCTTATTCACCCTCGTGTTACAGTGTGTTTGCATTTCAGAGCTGTCTAGCAGAACTGCTCACGTGACGGAGGACCACCATCGAAATTGGTTCCTCATCCCTCTCTCCCTGTGGTCTCAAGTCTGAACGACTTATTGAGAATGACCTATAGGGAAACCCAAAGTTGGACGGACTTTTTCTTCTCCCAGAGTACACCCACCTTGAGCAAAGTCGACTATGAAACTCAAGTGGATTTCAAGCGTTTCCACCTGGATAGGGAAAAGTGGTTGTTGTGGGAACCAGTAGCTACTGGTAGACGCATTGGTCAGGATGTTATTCAAGTGCTATGGCTAGTTACTAAGTATCATGGAAGAATGGTGCGCAAGTACGTGGCCAAGGTGGTGAGTAGCCCCCCAGCAAAAATATTTTATACTTGACGCTAATATCAAGCGAGTTCCCTGAATACACTGAACATGATGCCCAGCTCCAGCTCCGACGCGTTCCAGACCTATGCAACCGGGGTTCAAGAGTGGTTATGAATGAGCTCGACCCCTTCCTGAATGAAGCCAGGGTGTTTCAACGCATTGAAAAGTATTGTGACAATGCACGGAAGATCTACTTTCCTCGGTTTTATGGTGTGACCACCGACCTCGACAGATCCCAGTTTCGTTCTGGCTATCCTAACTGCCGGGCGATTATCCTTGAAGCCATTAAGCCAGAGTTAGCTTCTCGACGTATCCTGGCAGCACACAATCACAGCGGAACTGGACACATTGAAAGCCTAAGGCGGCGGCTTCAAAGTCTAGACCTAAATCTAAGTGATTTTGAAAAGGAGTTCTATTGTTCTCTACTTGCAGACCGCTGCCACCGTCTTTTAGCATTGCACAGCCTTGCAGTCACTCATGGTGATGTGAAAGATGAACATTTTCGGCTCCCTGGTGACTTCCATGATACAGTCCTTTATGACTTCTCTATTTCATACACTTTCTCTCCAGAGCAACCTTACTTAATGAATTTTAGGCTGCCCAACAAATCATTAAAAGAGATATCGCACTATGAACTAAAACGCGTTGAGGAGCAAGTGTATGAACGGTAGGTGATATGTTACTACCTATTGGGATAGGACTGACTTGCATCAAGAGCCAAAAAGCTGGATTTGCAGGATCATATTGCAAAGTCAACTACCGCTACTCAGAAAGATATCAAAGACGCACTCTTCCAACCTCTACAGGATGGACCCTTGGAATTAATAATTCTAAGAGTAAAGACTCGGCCCGATGGTTAGTCTTATCTCCATCTCCCTCTTCCTGCACGCACGTTATTTATTAATTGATAGCTTTCTCTATGCCCTCATTGAACTCGGTCTTCCCATTCCTCGAAGCTATTTGTCCACTGCATGACCCTACTTGGCATATCCGTAGGGGTCGGCAGCTGGGCTGCTATGGATCAGTTTGGTTATTTTCCCAAAGATCTATGGATACGCCAAATTCAGTAACCTTGGTACCAATTAGCCACAGGCTACTAACTGATGCTGAAGACTTGGCTCAAGCTAGAGGTTGCTTTTTACTTTGTCTAATTCCCAGGAAGTGGGGGTTAGAAGGAGTCCATGACCAACTGCTGCGAGTTTGCGCACTATTAATGCCACATGGCGGCCCTGGACATGTTATTAGTCAAGTCGACTTTCATAGGTACAAGTGATAAATACAATAGCAGTGCCTGAAGAGTTCCGCTTCTATAAGTCCCTTGGTAACCTTTCGGCTGTACCAGCTGTGGGACTGTACAACATGCTGGGTAAGACGACGTCTCAGCTCTTTTGCTGGCCAGATACTGCAAAATCACCTATGCAATAGGTTAGACTTTCAGCATCTGGCATTAGAACAAGCAATGACTGTAAATTGAGGCGAAGCCAAACTTACGACTCGTTCCCGTGACAATATGCGAGACCATTCTCAATGCCGAAAGCCCTTCTGAAAAAATATCTTTATGCCGACTAACAATCGCGGCAAAACTTACCATTGCTTGGTTGCTCTATGAACTTACTGATTTTCATCCCTCATAGCCACATTCGTCTCCTAAAGTCATGATCCTCTATTGATATGGGCTCTAAGCGTCTGATACTTTACGCTTGTTTCGTTTTGGCAGCGGTAAGTATAAAAGGCCCTGAGAATCACTTTTGCTCGTCCACACTGACAAACTCCTATCTCAACGAACCATTACAATGCCAGAACAACTACTGAACTACCTAACGAGGCCCAATCCCACGGTAGTGGTAGAGTCTACACGACCACCGAGATTCACTTACAACGTTGCCTGGACGCCAATCGAAAACATTGAAAGATGGGATGAGTTTAATTATCAGACCCTTACAACACGGTTCAGGACTGAGTTGGATCGCCAGGTTACTTTGCCTGATTTTATGCCTCAGTGCCAAAATGAAAAGTTCAACAGACTATACGACAAGACGATGTTGGAACACCTGGTTGTGTCGTCAATCATACTGACCGTATCGTCTGCTCTTCCATCTGACTTGTTCCTCGTTGGGGGAGCGGCAACATGGCAGATGGATGCCTGTTATCCTGACTGGGGAGCTGGGAAAATAAATGGGCCCCGGAACGACACTCAACGACCCAAAGCCGTTCTTCCTGGAAAATACCAAATACCGTTGGTCCCACCAGGTGGCCATTGATGTCGTACGTTCAAGGGGGAACGGTTATGACAACCAGGATGTTGTTCATCCAATCGAGCAAGTGCAGTACTATTGCGCTACATACAAATGTCGACTTGGATTTTTGATGATGGAAAAGGGAATTTTGGTTATGCAGTTTTTCCAAGAACGAAAGATACAGTGGTCACCGAGATCTCAGCGCATTAGCGCACAGCCATCCCATCGACGTATAACTTCGTCCTCAGCAATGGACATGTCTATATCTAGCATATCGGCATCCCTTACAGATATGTCAGTTACTTCGCAAGATGTGCCAGCTCTGACGATCCGTCTGGTGCATTATGCTTTTGTACCTTGGGATGCACACGGGGCCGGTAGATTGACAGTCAAGCTGGCTCTATACTGCATCACTCTTCTGGCGAAGGATGACAGCGAACTCGGACCAGACTACGGCCCCACTTGTTCCTGTTTTTCAGCCGCCGCTCAACGTTGGATCGAAATCGTCCTCCGATCAGACCACAATGAACGCAGCAAGTTCGCCACACAGAGAGCAGTCACAGGAAAAATCACTTGGCGCTTCCATGGCGGGACAAGATACAGTTGTTAGTCTAACCAGATCTACTATGGGGAGCTGTTCTGTCGCGTCCCCGACTGTGTCAGAGCTCAGGTAAGTATATTTACAGTCTATCAAAGTGCTTGCTAACTGGTTGGGAACTGCTTAGAAAAATACACCTTGACTAATAACCTCCGTACCCACCTTCTCACTCATGACGGCGTGAAACTCGAAAAAGGGCTAGTTGGCGGTCGCGTGCACCAGAAGGAGATCGACGAAGCAATTAGTAGGTAATACTAACTACTTATTAAGTACTTTGGAACTGATTAGGAACTGTTTCGGATTCTATAAGAGTCTGTTCGCTGGTACAGAACCTAAGCCAGCAGAGGATAGCACTCCAAGCACACAGAATGCTAGTTCCGCTACTCCTATCCTGCCAAAGAAAAAGGACGGCACGGTAAGTAGTTCTGAACTACTTAACAAGTACTTAAGAACTGGTTGCTAACTGCTTAGGTTCATGTGACTAATATGCGGAAGAAAGTCGTTGAGCTTGGGCACAAGGTGCCGTGTGACTCTTGTGGAAAGCGCAGTGACTGCTGCAAGGATGTGAATAAATGTGATTATTTCATACTTTTTTAATGTGGTTCAGTCTGCCCAAGTCCTGCGTCGCAGGTGGATACAGCTGGGGAAACAGATGCTGAGGCCTGAACTAGTTTATAACTAGTTTGCAAGCAGTTAATAGTCTTTTCATTTTTCATAATTAATAAGTATTACTGGTCACTTCTTAAAAGAATAGTAGGTAAAAGAGAAGGGCTAAGTAATTAAAAACTGGTTAAAAACAGTTGCTTTATATTCTTAGTGAAAGTAAACTCTACGAATAGGTATGCGGAAATATATATATAAAGAGTGGTAAATACTAAGTAATTACCAACTAGTTGCTAAGCAGTTATGAACTAGTTATTAACTACTTGTTTGTCGCTCCTGCAATTGAATTCGCCGCTCCATAAGATCCAGTTCTAACTTCTCATTCTCAAGCTGCTTTAGGCGAATTTCCTCCTCCTGTTTTTTTAGTTCTAATTCCATTTTTCGAAGAGACTTGAAGAAAGAGAGAATCTGTCAGCTCCGAGGAAGAACGAGTCCAGGTCCTCGGAGGTAATACGTAGCGGCCTCGGGCACCACATCATATGCAGGGCTGGAGAGGCACACACACATGGTCAAGGTAGCAAATCTCCGACTCCGAGTGACTGGAGGATTCCTGAAGAAACAATCATTAATGTTATCCTTATTTTCTACCAATCATCGAATCGTGATGACGGATAATGCAGAAGTGGCAGAAATCCCGACTCTACTCTCCGCTGGTCGGATCATCGCTGCCATCGGACTTTTGGCCAAAGTCCGCGGACTTTCGACGCCATCCCGAGTGTCCCTGCCCAGTGTTTTTCTCCTTCTCGGATCTTGCCAAACTTCCATCCTTGAGAAGAATCTGACAAATGGACTACACGAGACAGATTTCAAATGGGTTATAAGTCCAGCGTCACAGCTCTCTCGTCTGTCTTGTCCTACCCAGGCAACTCAGGAGTCCTGACCTCAAAAGACTCCATCGTCACACAGGCTTTGCACACCGACAGACCACCGAAATCATGATGTCTTCTACCGACGGGTCCTCGATGCTTGATAGCAGACCTCTCAGCAAAGAGGAGGTCGACCGACCCGACAAGCTAATGTCAGGACCTGGCGGTGCTGGCGAACCAGACGCCGGAGGTCCCCCATCCGCATTTTCGTCGACCTTCCAAGAGGCCGTCTTCATCCTTGTCATCGGCTTGTCGCAGCTCTTTTCTGTTGGCGGTCTTGGAAATGCAGCCTTCTCGGTGCAGGAAATTAGTCTCTCGCTCAACACCACGAGCAATGGTCAGATGTCCTGGTTCCTGGCCGCATACTCCCTCTGCGGTGGTGTCTCTGTTCTGGTGACTGGACGACTGGGCGACCACTTTGGCCACAAGTATGTCTTCCTCTTCGGATGGATGTGGATGGCGCTTTGGTCGCTGGTCAGCGGTTTCGCCAAGGATATCGTTCTCTTCGACATTGCTCGCGGGATGACTGGCATCGGCAACGGCGCACTGGTCCCCAACTCATTCGCCCTCCTGGCGCGGGCATTCCCTCCATTTTCGGCTAAGAAGAACATCGCCTTTGCTTTCCTCGGTTTCTGCGCGCCTTCGGGTTACATCTTTGGTGGGCTCATTGGTGCTGCCTTTGCGGAAAAACTCACCTGGCGATGGGGGTTCTGGTTCTGGGCCATTGGCTGCCTCGTCCTTGGCGTGGTGACCTATTTCATTGTTCCTCACAGCGTGGGATCGCCGATTCCCGGACTCAGCATCAAGCAATTCGACTTCATTGGAACGATCCTTGGCGTCTCGGGACCCATCCTCTTCTCCTTCGCCTGGAACCAAGCCTCCGTGGTGGGCTGGCAAGAACCCTACGTCTACGCCCTTCTCATCGTCGGCATTTTCTTGATCGTTCTTTTTGTCCTCTCGCAGTCGCGCGTCCAGGCCCCCGTCCTTCCGAATACGCTCTGGACCCGCAAGGGCTTCTCCCCGGTCGTGGCAGCCATGTGGTTCGGCTGGATGTCCTTTGGCATCTTCCTCTACTACACGACCATCTACATTCTCACCGTCCACAGGGCGCAGCCGCTCACGGCCGTCGCGCAGATGGTCCCGCTGGTCATCGGCGGTCTATTCGCGACTGCCTCTGTCGGCCTCTTCATCGCCAAGGTCCCGGCGCAGTATATCTTCGGCGTCTCCATGTTCTCCTTCCTCATCGGTAACCTGCTCATGAGCTTCGCCAACTACTCCCCCGTCTACTGGGCCTTCATCTTCCCTGCGTGTCTGCTTGTCGTCGGCGGACCGGATCTCTCCTTCGCCTCATCGGGCATCCTCATCTCGAACGCGGTCTTGCCCGAGGAGCAGGGTGTCGCCGGCTCATTCGTCTCCACCGTCGTGCAATACTCCATCTCCATCGGTCTGGGTATTGCGGCGACCCTCGAGGCGCATGTAAACAACGGCGGGAAGGACATTGTGCGCGGGTACCGGGGGGCGCTCTGGCTCGGTATCGGCTTTGCGGCTGTCGCCTTCGTCATTGTTCTTTTCTTCGTCCGGGACACCCGGTTCGACAAGAAGGACAATGAGAAGGATGCTGCGAGCAGCACTGATGGTGCCTGTGAGGCTCCTGCCGACAAGGCCAATGCTTGAGGACTTTTGAGGACGATCAACGACTGTCACGCAATTTACACCAGGGTCATGTTTACTAGACGTTTTTTAGATTGAGTTTTCTGCACTACTTGTAGACAATTAATTTATTGATCTAATCATGCAGCAAATACCTCGAAATAGGTCACAAATGAGCGCTTTCCCAAACTGAGGTAGATTAATGGCCATTTCCGTAGTTCGCAATGTCGTACGACAACTCGGGCTCCCTGCCCTAAGACGGAGCCACGCAAACATGGCAGGTCTTACACGTGCCTCCATCCCCTTCAGCATGTTAGCCTGTCACTACTAGCACCTGTCCACGGACTCCGTGGAGCCGGGACGAAGAGGGTCGGCTGCGGTCCATGTCGAGGAGCGAGTCCAGTCTGGTGCCACCTCATTCGTCAGGCAAGCAAGCTAGACGAGGCCCCTGATCTAGCCAAATAAGTTGAGATCGACGCTCAGAAGATGTACCCCGCGGCTTCCACAGAGCAGCTGCTCACCGCCTTTGGATACCCAATACGATACGCCAAACTGACCATGGGACGGTCTCCGTCATTCGCCTCAGATTTGCTACAATTCGAACGCCATCATCCGCTCTTTTTCCTTGTGATGGTCCGGGCATCCAGCTCCGCTGCTCTGGTCGTCGACCTTCGCCGACTCCAAACGTCTCCCTGTCATCTACGTGGATTACCGTATTAATCGCTCTTCTGTCTCATTCTTTAAATTCCTTATCCAATCCCCCCTTCAGCGATGCCTGTCAGCAGCCCGTTGCTCAGGTGTCCCCTCTGGTCTCTGCTAGTAGGCCATGATCTGACCCCTAGCTTCAGAGAAGGTCGTCTTGCATCCGCATTCTCGAGTCACGTCAAATCAAGCATTTCAGGAGCTATAGAAGCTGGGTCTAGACTGTTATTACAGCATTTCTTACATTCTAGTGGCATTAGACCACTATCTTGATTTGCTGTGCAACAGTCACCTCCTTACTGCAACAGGTGCTTATATCCCTGGGGACTTGTCCCGCGCCATTTTGATTTTCTCCGCGTTCAAGCAATGATCAAAGCTTACCATGTGCTTCTGTATCGGAATTTTCAGGTCCAAACCCAAGGAGCCCGAGGTGGTCTCCATCATCCATCGGGTGAAGATGGCCGAGGATGAGACATCCTCTGTCAACCTCCCAAGCGAACATCAGCGTGAGCCAGCGCAAGACTTGTGGAACAGGTTCTTCAGACGGAGAGAGTCGGGAAAGCCAGAGTCCGAGAAGTCGGAATCCGTCAATAACGCGAGCCATCGTCCGAAGGCGACTTTAGGGATTCTTAGCGACAAGGAGACCGATGAAGTACCAGGTACATTTTACGCCCGTATCTGTGCCAATGCTGCAGTGATGATTCTGACAATCTCTAGGAACGGTGCTATTGCTCTCTTCGAATCGTAACGAACCATTGGGTCTGCGACACCAGCAACGGCGAACATCCGCATCTTCTCTACCTAATGTCATTCCTTCATCTCATTCTTCGTCGCGCACGCCGGCTCCCCAGCTAAAGAAGACAGCAGATGGCCGGATTGTACTCAATCCGCAGCCAGATGATTCCGCCAATGACCCACTGAACTGGCCCGTGTGGCGGCGCGATGCTGCGTTGCTCTCCCTGGGCTTCTACTGCTTAATGGGAGGAGGAATGACACCGGTTCTTGCTGCTGGGTTCAACCAAGTCTCTGAGAGCTACGGTGTGAGCACTCAGAAAGTGGCCTACACTACCGGACTGTACATGTTAGGACTCGGAGTTGGGTCGGTTATCATGTCACCAACTGCAATTTTATGGGGAAAGCGACCGGTCTATCTCCTAGGGGCTACACTCTTTGTCCTTTCTGCTGTGTGGTGTGCCTTGTCTCCAAATTACCCCAGTTTGGTGGTTGCTAGAGTCTTTCAAGGAATCGCCGTCAGTACCGTCGAGTGTCTTCCCTCGGCCACTATTGCCGAAATCTACTTTCTACATGAGCGAGCATATCGTGTTGGCATCTACACTCTTCTCCTTCTTGGTGGCAAAAATCTCGTGCCTCTGGTTAGCGCTGCTATTATCGGCAATCTGGGATGGCGTTGGGTGTTTTGCATTGTCGCAATCATTGTTAGTGCTTGTGTTGTCCTCCTCTTCTTTTTCGTCCCTGAAACATTCTGGGATCGCACACCGCGTTGTCATCGGTCTCACAGGCGTCCTCATATGATACGGAACGTATCAGACCTTATCCGGGGTCGACAACTTCACCACCATCTAGAGGACGGAGCCTTGAATGGAGATCCTATCTCACCTGCTCCAAGAAAGTCCAACAAGGGTCACGTCGGCATTGCGGAGGACCAAGATCAGGAAGGAAACCAGGTAGATGAAAAGGAAAGAAACCATGAAGATCACGACCAGATATTGCCATCCGAGACGCCAGCCGAGGACAATGACCAGCTGGGCTTTCCAGATCCCGAGAAGCATGACGCATCCCTACAAATACCTGCTCCAGCAGTCACTTGTGAGTCGGGCGCTCAGCAGGATCTCAAAGCCGCTAGGCAAGCTACTGTGACACTGGCGCGTAGCGAATCCGTACATTCAACCCGACCACTGCCTCCAGGGCAGGTGTATACCAACCGACTACGAGAGAAACCTCAAATTCCTTTTGCGCATTATCTGCGAGTCTGGAATGGGCGCATTTCGCACGATAAATGGTTTCGAGTCGCCATGCGGCCGTTCATTCTGTTCGCCTACCCGGCTGTTCTCTGGTCATCAGTAGTGTATGCACTGTCGGTCGGATGGCTCATCGTGGTGTCTGAGTCCGTGGCGCATCTGTATCAGGGCTCGCATGGTTACAACTTCACACCTTTACAGACAGGCCTGATTTATATCTCCCCGTTTGTTGGCGGTCTTTTAGGAACGGCAGTGGCGGGCAGAGTATCAGACGTGATTATGCAATTTATGTCCCGGCGCAATGGAGGCGTTTACGAACCTGAGTTCCGTCTTGTCATGGCCATTCCTATTGCCCTATCAACTTCGGCAGGACTGATGGCGTTCGGATGGAGCGCGGAGGTGAAAGATTCCTGGATCGTGCCTACAATCTTCTTCGGTCTGATTTCATTTGGATGCTGTCTAGGCAGCACGACATCAATTACTTTCTGCGTGGATAGCTACCGGCAGTATGCCGGTGAGGCCTTGGTGACTCTGAATTGGAGCAAGAGTAGGTCTCTGATTTTTCCTCCGCAAATAGGGCGCGAAGCTAACGAATTCTGGCTTTAGACGTATTTCACGGCCTGATTTTTTCGTTGTTCATTGTCGACTGGCTTGAGGCAGACGGCGCTCGGACAGTATTCCTCGCATTGGGAGGCATTCAACTCGGATGTTTGTTGTTCTCGATACCCATGTACATGTACGGCAAGCGGGCTCGGATGTGGACGGTCCGGAAGAATTTGATGGAGAAGTTTTGAGTGATGACGTCGGATGTACAAGTGATGATTAATACACGGATGATATACACGGATGATTAGTACAGGGAAATGGATTTAGACGAAGACCCAAACATCGTTGAAATAATTGAGAGTCATTCAGTTGTCCCTTGCCGTGCTCTGCGCAAGCAGATGGTCTGCGTCGACTCGCCACATGTGTCAGCCACTGAGCTGCCGTCCCACTAGCATAAGTCGCGTTGTAGCCTTGTAGGCCGCCCACTGTGGCCAGTGTCTAGCAAGACTCGTTGGATAAAACGGCCAGCAATCAGAATGGGAAGAGGCGGCGACAAGGGTCATGGTGACACCAGCGACTGATGCAGATCATCGTTGCTATCAGTATTGGACAGGTTCGAGCGTTCTCATTCCTCGCTAACCTGTCACTCTCTCTGGTACCGCCAGCGCGGTGGAGCCACTGCTCTCCAGAAATAAGAAAGAAGAAGCTCTAATTGCGTCGCTTTCCGGCCATGCCACCAGGGGTGCTAGTATAGCTCCGTGACCGTCTGGCGGATAACTGGCAGTCTAGATGCTTATTGCTATCAGGGGATTTTCCAATAGTCCTGGTTTGTTCTCTGTGCGAACTATCGGAGGCCCAATACAATCCATAGAGAAGAGTCAGTTTCCCTCATTCCTCTTTCAATGGGCACAGGATCCCTGTAGAAGGAGCTTCGCAGGTTGAACTATCTCAGTTGGTCCTCTGTCTCTTTCTCAGATACTCTACCTTGCAGTATGTCTGGGTTATCAGTGTGGTTCAAGTCCTCTCGAAGAAACGAAGATTAAGCTTCCCTATGGACTTGCCACTTCTGCCTGTCTTATGATGACCCGGGCTGCTCTAGAGTGAGTCCTCCATCACGCCTTTCGTCATCAGCGCCTCGTAGGACAGCCAGAGGCTTCCCTTGTGGTTGCAATTTCTGTGATTGGTCGTCCTTTATTCAATCATCTCCCCAATCAAGACCCTTTTTTAAGACAAACTTTTCTGGTATGATGAGAAGTTCCACCGCGGAGATGTACAAGATGTTTTTCGACAATATGACCAAGCAGGGACATAAACCTAGAATGCTAATGGGGCATTATCCAAAGGAATTTGGGGTGCGATATGCCAGTGTCTTTTATTAGATCTTTTGGGAGACTGTGTCTGTCTTCAGACGGAAGGGATCAATTTGATAAAGAAGACATGACCAGCCTAAAGTAATAATCAAGAAGGCATACAACAACAATCGACAGATTCAAGTTTCTCATCGTCCTTATCCCTAATACAAAGAAACCATGCTCGCTAAGAAGAGGAAAATTTCTAGTTGACATGCACACGCCAGTGCTCACGGTGACCATTCTCGAAAGCTGTGCGAGTGTGGTGGGTCATGGCGTTGTCGTTGAAGATGAAATCTCCCGCCTTCCACTGGTGACGGTAGGCGATCCGGCGATCATACAGAAGCCGGGTGAGCTTCTCGCAGAGCGCGTCGCTCTCGGCCAGGGGCCAGTCCACAACCCGCACGATCGTCGGCTCGCTGCTTCCGGCCACACACTTGCTCTCGGGCCAGGGCTCGTGAAAGCGGAAGGTGTCGACGCCGGACTCTGGGTGCGTGATGATGAAAGGCAGGAGGAGCTCGTGGCCGCCAAATGCCTCGTTGGCGGCGGTAAAGGTTTTCCACTTGAGCTTGCGGAGTTCCTCGAGCGGGATGCTGTCCGGGCCGAGGAGAGGGATGAGGTTGCGGGAGGAGGCGAAGAGGGTCAGCCCGCCCTTGGACTGGGAGGCGGCGCGGTTGCGGAACATCTGGAAGAGAGGCGGGACGGAGATCCACTCGCCCGTCTTCTCGTCCTGGACGGTCTTGAAGACGCCGTCGTAGTGGAAGGGCATGGCCTCGCGGGTGAGCACGTTGTTCATGTTGAAGTCGGCGTTCTCGCGGACCTCGAGAATGTCGCCAAAGGGCCACATCTGGATCTCGCCCAGCTCGCGGGCCTTGCTGCGGAAGACTTCCTTCTCGACTTGCATGGTGAAGCCGCGCAGCAGGAGCGGGGCGGTGGACAGGGCGAGTCGACGCACCCGCTTCATGTTGACATCCTCGAACCTGTAGGGGCCGTATCCGTCTCTGGGGCGGACGAGCATACCACAGGGGTAGAGGGGCTCGAAATCTAGTTCCATGCCGAACCAGCTGAAGAGGTCGGATTTCTCGCGAAGCAGCCAGGGGCGACCCTCGTGGTTGGTGATGACCTCGAACTTGGTCATATCGACGGTGGAGGCATCGACAATGCGCACACTGGCGTCTGCGAGGACTGCGACGGTCCCGTGCCAGGGAGTGATAAAGTCCGGATTGGTTGCAGGGGGGAAGAGGTCAAGAGTAATTTTCCCCACATTGTTGGACTCATGGATGGACAGACGGATTGTCGATTCGGCCGATGAGGCAATCAGCTTAGCATAGGCCTAAACAGGTCAGCAACATAGTACGAAGTGCAGTGTCGAACTAGGGCCTACCTTTCCCCGCTTAAGCATGGCAGCCTTCAAAGCTTCAGGATCCTCGGTTTGAGGCAGTGCCGTGTCATAGTGCTTGCTTGTTGCTTGCACATTCTCATCCTCGCTCGGGTCGACCGCCTGAGCTAGAGTACCATCGAGAAGGTTGCGGGTTTTTGAAACATGGTGGGAGTACTCCTCGAGCGTCTTAGCCTCCTCGGTAGCAATGCCGGCAAGAGTGCCAGGGCGGACGAATGCAAGATGAGTGAGACCGAGAGACGAAGCGAGCTTCTTCAGTTCCTGCTGGTAGGCAAAGGCGTCGGCGTCGGGAATCTTCAAAAGGTCTGGTTTACCATTAGCTACTTTGTCAGTCTCACTGGAGATCTTTTGGTTCACATACCTCCGTATACAGAAGCATCTGAGACTATTACAACAGTGGCACCCCCCTCGTAGATCTCAGCAATGGAGTCAGCGAATCCATCGAGGGTCTGCAAAGCGATCTCTTCCGCCTTGTCCGGCAGAGAGCCTAGGGTCTTGTGCTTGTCTCCCTCCGCAGGGGCCTTGAAGGGGAAGGCTGGAAGAATGAATCGCACTGCCTCCCCGCGCGAGACAGTCTCAGCGAGTTGCTTCTCGAGCTCTGGGGCGAATTCGGAAAAGCGATCAGGGACAGTGGCAGAGCGGTGACGGTACGCTGAGATGATTGAGAGGATCTGAGAGACCTTGTTCTCCGTAGGAGAAGGAGGGTTGCCGGCGTAGGGCATCCTGATGTATACTTGACAGATACGGTCTCTTAATCTGATTCTTTGGTTGTGTTTTCGATGTTGTCGTCGTCCTGGTTGCTATTGTTGTTGCCTCATCTCGTGCTTCGGGCCACTCTTAAGTACCCAGTGATCTTGCTCTTGGTTCAAGCTGAGAAATTGGATCGCCGCGGCCTTCGAAGCACATTGAATCTCCATCGCGACTGATTTCCGCGTTGTGTGATCCGCCCTAGAACGTCTACTGTTCGCTGGAGGCGGAAGAGGAGACAAAGTCGCGGATTCCGACGGAGCTGTCAATGGGCGGCGGCGGCAAGCCACGCATGCATCTCTGACTGTATCAACCGACCCAGTCAGCCATTACAGGCTTACCGTATCCCTGTAACTGAAGTATTCTTGTACACATTGGTTGTTCGTTCTTAGATCCGCGGGGAGAAGTGGAAAGATGGACCTCACTGTCATCACTCGGAATCCGTAGCGAAGGGAAGGGTCATTATTGGAGCGCGCACGAAAGAGTATCCTATTTGTGTGAAGAGAGTGGTAACCCGTGTGTTTCTTTTTGCGATCTTGGACAATCTTGTAATGGCATCGTCTCGCAGGCTATCGACACCCAGCGACTATGCTGAACTTTTGAGCCGTTATGACACTTGGCTCTTCGACTGCGACGGGGTGATATGGTCTGGGGATCATGCGCTTGAAGGAGCGAGCAAGGCAATCGACTTCTTGAGAGACCATGGAAAGAGAGTGGTATTTGTCACGAACAATGCTGCAAGGAGTCGGAAGATGCTGAAGAAGAAATTTGACAGGCTGAGAATCGCAGCCAGTGAGGTAAGGATCACGTCGCTGTGGATGGGTCACCTGCTGACAAGCGTATGATTACTGTCTAGGATGAGATTGTATCCAGCGCCTCTGCCGCAGCTGCTTATCTCAAGGAAGTGCTCCAGTTTCCCGCTGATCGCAAGGTATTTGTGATGGGGATGGAAGGGATCGAAGCAGAACTTGATGTCGTCAACATCAAACGATGTGGAGGAACCTCCTCCGAGGACAACCAGTTTCTCCCAGCCAACGATTATTCTTCGCTAGCAAGCAAGGAAGCGATCGATCCGAGCGTTGGTGCAGTTCTGTGTGGGTTCGATATGCACATGAATTACGCGAAACTTTGCAAAGCATTCAAGTACTTGACACGCGAAGGAGCCCAGGGCCCTGTTCTTGCGGAAGAAAGGGGAGGAGGCTGTCACTTCCTTTTGACAAACGACGATAAAGTGGTTCCGGCTTTAGGAGAGCTATGGCCCGGTAGTATTCCTCTTTTTGCGAGGGTGTTGGGCAAGTAGCTGACAGCAGCGTGTAGGCTCTGGTTCTCTCGTTACGCCATTGATTGCCTCGACAAAGCGCGATCCTATCGTTATTGGCAAACCGCATGCTCCCATGCTTGACACAGTAAAGTCACTTTACAATATCGACGAGAACCGGACGATATTCGTTGGAGACAACCTTCATACGGATATCCTGTTTGCCAGCCATGGCAATATTGATTCCCTTCTTGTCCTCACCGGTGTCACAAAGGTGGAGGACTGCGAAGCCGAAGGCATATGGCCCTCCTTCATCATTCAGAGCATCAGCAACATAGTAGCTTCGGAAGGGGGCCAGTCGAGCATTGCAGCCGTGGGCGTTGATGGAACAGGTGCCATTCATGCATCGCTATAGTCAATGTACAAACGAAGAATGAGAGCGTCTTTGGCCATAGGCTACGTTCCGTTCTCTCTGCATATACCATATATACTATATAGGACAGCTTGGCAATCTCTGCATCTGGGACGTTGACTTTCGCTTTGATAAAACGCACAACTTATATTAGTCTTTAGAACGACCCTGCAAGGTGCCTCAAAACTGAATCTTAAGCTACCACGTCCAATTCTAAGAAAATATTGATCAGATTCGTATTCCAAACATTTTCAGCTAACATGATCATTGAGTTGTTCAGCGTACGAGCTGAATATATTCACTCGGTGAAGTGGTTATATAAATATATCTTCCCCTTCGTATCTCTCGCACGACCAACTTCTAAAGGAAGATGAATATGGACATGAGATACCGCTTTTCTATGCGGATGCCTTATCTAACTGTCCTTAGAACTGCGACAAAGGATATCTTTGTCCCAGGCACACATGCCCGCCTGAGGCATCAGTTTGGCAAGCCACTGAAGTGTCTTGAGCATCATTCTCTAAGCAATGACAGATGCTCTAGTTCAATAGGTCAGACCATTTATCAATACTGACAAACTCGTTTGTTCTGTTTCCTCCTGGTATGCCCGTTGTTGCATAAATGATGGATGGATTGTTCGAGGCGGTTGCGAGGCCGCAAAGATGACGACGTGGAGTAGATAGACAGACGAGATGCGCTGCAATAGGCGACTAGACCATGAGGCCAAGCAACTTTGAGGCTCCTGCAAATCTCCTGGTTGATTTTTTCTCTCTTCTTATTTGCGACGCAGATTCCTGAGGCAGGGGGTGACACCTACACCCATGCTAGCTTGGATCACGTGAACAAGGCACTCAGCCCATGGTCCCCGTCCACTGTCAACAGTCTCCCCATCTCGCTTGATAATATCACACAGAACTGTCGAGACTGCATTGAAAAGACAAGTCCATACTGCGTACGCTTGTTACCCTCCTCTACCTTGATCGAGACCATAGACCATATCTCATTCCTCCGAGTGGCTCCGTTTTGGCCCCAAATCGACGACAAGCTGACGTGGGCGCGGTCAAACCCCGCCCCGTCAACTGGCAAATCAACAAAGACATCGGAAGCCACATGCGAGGGAGAGACAGCAGACTAACACAGTGTGACAGCGAACAATCCACAAATCCAGAAGCCACCGAGTGCGGCAACTGACTCGACCTGCCTACTAGATTTTCGGAAGATCGGCGCGTAAGCCGGCGGCGAGTCCAGAGTACAGCTGGATTGCAGAGAACAATCCCCGCCCAGCTTTTTGTCCCTGATCGAAACACATGTCCTGTTTTCATCCAACCACCAACAACAATAATAATGGCTGATGCAAACCGCAGCAAGGGCTCTGGGAGCTCCGACTCGGGTGTACGCAAGTTTACGCTTTCGTGTTCTCGATGTAGGGCCTCTAAACTAAAATGCGACCGCAAAGAACCTTGCGTTAGTTGCCGTTTCCTCCATGCGATGCATCTAGTTGAAGCTGGAGGCTTATATTCTCTTTATAGATGGAATGCGTCAAGCGTAACATTGGCCATCTTTGCACCAAAGATGAGCGTCAACCGAGAGCCAAACGGTCCAAAACCGAGCACAGAGACAAGATCGCCTCCAAGAAGTGAGTGTAGCTTGCCGTCGCTTCATCCATGACTGCTACTAACTGATGCTTATCTTATCAGTGATCCTCCAAAAGGAGACGGTGAAGCCGAAGCAGAGGAGACAGCACAACTCTTGGAGCATTTCGTCGAAGGAGCTCCTCGTCCAAATGCCTATCTACCCGCTGCCTTGGGCCCATCACCATCATCCGTCGCGCCAGACTTTCCGCATCACTATTGGTCGAGTAGTGACCCCAAGCGACACAGTGACAAACTCACCTTGATCCGAGAGATCGTCGACGCGTTGCCGGAGCTAGAGATGATCCATGTTCTTTTTGAAGTCTTTGTCACTCGTTGCCAGGGTGCCTTGGGGAATGTGGTTCACACCCTGACATTCATGAAGCAAGCAGAACAGTTCCGCAACTGCTTGAGTCTTGCTTCACCAGATTCGCGGGTCTTGGCGATATCCAGGACGATCTCTATGGATACACTGGCCGGCTACCTCTTAGCGGTACGTGTAGTATCCTACACAGGCGGCGTCTACTGACATCATCCAAGCTCGTGCTTGGTCTCGCTTTTCATCCTACACCGTCTATACTCGGGTGGACTCCTACGCCCTTGACTCTACGTGTGGAGGAGCTTCGAGCGTCCCATGTGCACTCCAAGACATGGAGATCGCTGAGCTTGCGCTGTGTCCAGGACGGACCGTCTCTCTTTTGTGGCTCCATCGCCGGGTTACAGGCCGCAGTTATGCTTTTGCTTGATGGCCAGGAGGACGTGTTGGTTCTGGACGCTGTTCTGGTCACTGCGATTTCTGGAGCCCGCAAACTCGGCCTGCACCGGTTAGGTGACATCAAGTTGGACGCCTCTGCATCACACTCTGTACCCTTGGACAATCGCACGTCAGCAGCGGCGGAACAGCCGCATATTCGAACAGAAATAGGCATTCGCATTTGGTAGGATACCCGAGCAGAATAACTGTGAGTTGAGCTTTGACAATTTCGTATAGGTGGGCACTCGTACAACGGGATTGGTCGCGCGGACAAGCCCTCGGCTACTATACCGTTCATCCGTCGCATTTCAACACTCGGATGCCGTTGCACATCAACGATGATGACCTCTGTCTGTCGACGTGGAGGTTGAGTGTCAATGGCGAAGTCACGGAGCGCCCTCGGTCGGAGTTCACCATGCTGTCATATACTGTCCATGCCCTCGAACTTACCACCATAGTGCGCGAATCTATTCATCTACGGGGATCTCTAACTCAGGGGCCCGATGCGGCCACTGAATCAGCCAAGTTGCGCCGACATCTCAACAACAAGTACGAAAAGTACGTTGCTGGTCTGCCGTCATATTTTCGCTTGGGAAGCACGGTAGGACTCACAGCCACCGGTCCAATGGCAGCGGTCCCCGTGCAACGGTGGATGTTGCACCAGCAACTGTGGAGTTTAGTCCTTCGACTGTATCGAGCCAATCTCGCCTCTCCGATTGGCCGTGCTTCCTGTCAGCTTCTGGCCCAAAATATCATCAGCAGCCAGGCTCAGATCCAGGCACGGTGCGCTGTTTGTGGCACGCTGTCGACCGGCGAGATCCAGCTATTCAACGCGGCCGTCGTGTTGCTCATTGACCTGCTCTTCACATTCAAGCAAGCAGATGCGGATAGTGCAAGTGCACAGCTCAGCCGGTTAATGACTCGCGACAAGATCAGGGAAGCGATTGAACTACTACGGACCAAGAGCATCACAGAAGGGTCATCGCTTCACGGCCTGCACTCGGAGCATGTCAAAGGATCTGCTCAGCGCAGCGTCGTTGCTCTGGAAGCGTTGATGAAGCTGGAGGAAGATGACTCTGATCACGCCAGTAATCAGGGTAATGCCACTGGAAATTGTCCAGGAGCACAGTCGGCCGGGTCGGCGCATACTGCTCAAAACTCGCTAAGACTTAAGGTTGCTGATATTCTCAGGACCTTGAGCGGAACGGCCGACCCTGCGACCGCACCCGTGCAAGAGCAGCAGGCACCCTTTGATGCGTTATCGCCGTTTGATATGTCGGTGCCTTCTGCCAATGTTGCTGACGTGTTCCCTGACTTGGATGTTCTGCCGATCCTCTCCAACGGCCTGAGCCCGAACTTCTGGGAGTTCTTGGACTTTCCCCTGCCACCACCTGATTTCCACGCAAAAGAGGTCTCGTTTGGGGACCTGCATGTCCCCACTGGACTGGGCAGTTCTCGATTTACCGATTCGTATAGTAGTACTCCTGGCACCCGTATGAGCCATACATCTCCTTCCTCTCTGCAGAGTGAACCTATTGGGCTGGGGGCAGAGAGTGACTCTGCCACCACCCCTTCTAGCGCTGCTGATGCCTACATTGCCGCCAAGTTTTATTATGCGATGGGCGGTGGGTCCCTGGCTAATGTAGACCAGCGTGCATTTGCTTAAGGTGATTCGGACTGGCAGTAAATGATGCGACTGCTCGTCGGGTTGGCTGGCAGTTAGGGTTGTGTGGATGTTACAATGTGCCCCGTACTTTCCTATTTCCTTGCTTATTGCAAACCCCACGGTCATGATACCTATAATGCATGGAAAAGTAGACTAGCAAGTTCATTTAATTCATTGAGGAATCCAGTACAAACGCAAAGACAACGAAATCTATCTATGGGCTCTCGTTGGTAGGCAAATCCACAAAGGGATCGTCGGCCGGATCTGAGTGCCAGCGGTACTCCAAACCAAAGGCGACGAAATGGGCATGACGCAGAGCCTTTTCCTTGCTGAAGCCCGGAATGGGAGACTCATCGCCACAGGGCGAAGACTTTTGAGCCTCTACCTGGCGGTCCTCAGGCGCGACATAGGTGCTCGCCAGGAAAGCAAAGCCCGCATCAATACCCGCCGTGACACCGGAAGAAGTCAAGAATTTCCCGTCCTGCACCCAGCGGGCCCTCTTCTGCCATTGAACACCAGCGTCTGTCACATCAAGAGATTAGCATTGGCTGTGAACGTCGCAGACCGACAGGGACAACATACACTTCGGCGTCATCTCATCATACAGACGCTTGTTTGTCGTCGCCTTCCGCTTATCCAGGCGGCCCGTCGCAGCCAGCAAGATCGAGCCCGTACACACAGTAAATACGTTGGGGGCGCGGTCAACCAGCTGACCAATGCGCTGCAGCAGGATCGGGTCCCAGACCAGTGGCATCATGCCAAAGCCCCCCGGGATGAACAGGGTATCGAACTTCTGGTCCTCCTGGAGGGCCTCGGCCAGTGTGAGGGTCGGGATCACGCCGATGCCATTCTTCATGGACGTTTCAATGCCGCGTGGGGAGTCGAGGTTATGCAGGCTGACTAACTCGAGAGTGTAGTAGTCGCTGCGGGGGACAATGGCGCCCAATGGGCCGAAGAGATCGAGGGCTTCAAACTCATTGTAGACGAGTGACAGGATGCGGTGCTGCGTAGGCATTTTTATTTATTCTTTATTTCTTATGAAGGTATTCAAGGTGGTGTGCGTTAACCTGAAGTGGGAGTGTTGCTGGCTCACGTCAGATGGCGGTCTTGGGGCCCTTGGTATTTGTACGTTTCCCGAGGCTAAGGTATCTGACGAAATCGCCATTGGTTTCCGAGGCCCTGGAGGGCCCTAAAGGGATTTCTCTCAGCGGACGGACGGCCAGCCGGACATGCCACTAGAGGGAGCAGGCGCGGATTTGCGACGGAACCTGAAACTCCATGGAGTTTTGCGCAGGCTCCGTGGCTCCATCCAGAGAGCCTGGTTCCTTGGAAAAATGTGTAGCGCCGATCTTAGCCTTCGGAATTGCCGAGGAAGGCTTGTATTCTGTTCTAGTAGCTTTGCTCGGTTACCCCACTTACGCTGTTGGTGAGAGAGAAGTCGGTGATCTGACTTTACCCCTGCACGCTAAAGTCGCCAACAGACCGAAGGATCCTTAGATGCTGCCGTTACATGAGGAATAACCGAATAACGATGCTCATCAGGTAGTATGCGACATTTTGGAAGTATATCGCAAGGCAGTAATGCAGGGTCGCGGGTGTCCCATTACTTTATTGCGCCAGTCAAGTTCCAGCGGTTACCGGAAGTGGATGTGCTGGCTACGTCTTCGCCTTTGTACTGGATTAAGGTGAAGTTAAATGAGGACGTAGCGGATGCAGGTAGATAGCATTGCATTTCTGTATCTCGCAGGGCATGGGGCATAATGGATTGGCCCCCCTGTAGGGTGTCCACTACTTCAAACAGCGAGACAAGCTCGCTGCACCTGCCACGTTTCTGGCAGCCTCTCTTCCCCGGTCCGTCTGATTAACTGTGCTGATCGCAGTAGACACGTGGGCGACATGATGCTGCTGAGCGTTCGTTACACTGAAATGGTGGCATCAGTCCACGAGTGCTCCGATATGCCGTCGTCTGAAACCAACTGACCGGGGTCGAAACATGGCGGCAAATGGGGTCCAAAAACTCGAAACCCACTGTGCACTGACCCTGCGCTGAGTCTCCACCGAACATTTGGCGTGGTTTTCATTGGTGCTGATCCGCTGGTCCCGCCATTGATTTTCTGCAGTCCCCTCCGTGCGCTTGAGTCTTGACAGCATCCGCTACCACTGCCGATCTAGCCCGTCAGCTCCTCTGCGCCTCTGCAGGTTTCGTTTGGTTTGTACTCACCCCGTCTCCGGATACCCTTGTCGCCACCTCGGAGTCTGGTTTAATTGAATATGGGTACGGCAAGGCTGCCTTGGCTGCAGTGCTGCAGCCAAATGGCCGACAGTCCGTCCGCAGCCAGTAACCCTTTTCGCTCCAACGGATGCCCCGACGGACGCCGTAGCCGCAGGAGTCTTCACGGAGGACTGCCGTGGGCGAACAGGCCTGTTCTATAAATGGCGATGCATCCCCTTGCTGGTCGGCCAAGGCATGCACCGTAGTCAGCATTAGCTGTCTGTCCTGTTCCAGCTGCCTTGGCAATCACGCAGTATATATCCATTATCCGTCACACAACGCTAGAACCTTCTGCAAAATACTGTGAAACTTGGCATTTTCCACGTGGTTGTTGGGGTTCACAACATGCAGTGCACCCGCAGTGGATCAAGCACGCCCATGGGGAGAGATCCGAATTCGAGATGGGTGCAGTGGCTCGCCCTCACCCGACGCAATAACCCTGCATGCTTGTCAGGCGCAGTGTCGTCGCCGACTTCCTCAACCTCCTCGCTGCCCATGGCTTGCTCCAACCTCGGTGACAGCGGCCGTGTTCGCTCGCGCAGCAGCGCAACCAGTTACTTTGCCCTGCTCTCCGCCGCCGCGGACGCCCACCAGCGACAGGATGGCCGCAAGCAGCACTACAGTGGCAGTGGCACGTCCACGGCCGGGCACATGGACTCCTCGTGGGTTGCCTGGCTCAATGAACGCAGCCTCCAGTTCCAGGGTGGAGGACCTGTCGGGGACCCGATGCAGAGTATGCCATGCACAGGACACTACGCCTCCAAACCACCAGTGCAATCGCCATGCTGCTTCCCCGACAGCACCGCCATGCCCAGCTCCCCTTTCCACATATCCGCCTTCACCACTCCTACTCCTCCGTCCATGGACTCCGGCGCGGAAACGCCATTCCCCTCGCCGCTGGCTCCCCTCACAGACGCAGACTTGGACGCCCTGAGCCAGCAATTCCCCGACTTTCCCGACACCCCAGACGGATTCCCCGTCTGCTTCACCGATTCAATGGCCGAAACGGACCCGTTTGATCCGGCGGAGCTAGGCGCGGGCTTGCTTACCTGGCTAGACGAGCAGCATGCGTTCGCGTTTGATCTGGGCGAGGATGCGCCTGTTAGTCCGAGCAAGCGGGGCCTGAATCTGGAGGGTTATCCGGCCGAAATGTCCGCGTAGGGAAAGGCGTGGGAGGAGGGGATCAAGAAATAGACGGTTGACCACGAGGTATAGACTATAACGGCTTTACCAGCCGGGAAAAAGCGCTTTGAATCGGGGCTACTTGCTTGTCTTATTGCTCTATCTGTAATGGCCCCTGTTATAGGCTCATGATGTGGATCTTCGGTGTTGGCTGGTTGGTTGATTGTATATACTTGCTCATGACTAGATGTATGATGAGTTAATGACTACGAGAAATGAAAAGTTGACTTTCTTTATGTATACATTGACGTTGTGTAAGTTCTAGTACATAGGTGTATGATGTATCTACGTCCTGCCCCATTAGGGCGCATTAGCCTGGTCGCATTAGCTCTCAGCCTTTCAGCCATGACGAATGTCAGCAGCCCCTGCTGCTCTAGTCAGACTGTCAGACTCTTTAGCCGCATTCTTCAGCGGTTCAGCCCTGTGGCCGGATTGTGCTCGACACGGATCGTTTGATGCATAAATTCCGACCGGAGTCTGAGGAGTTCCCGTTGCCGCCGCGGAGTTTCGCTGCGCCGTGTACACGATGCGAAGCCGACAGAGCGAGATTGCTCCGAGGTCTTTCCTTTAGTTTATGATTTCCTTTGCTATGGACTACGGAGGAAAAAAGAGTCTGTATAATGCGCAGAAGATGGGAGATGAGCGAGGTTCATTCAGTCTAGGCGTCTGTATACTCGCAGAATAGTAACATCTAGAATAAACAAGAAAACGAATAGCATCTAACTGTCAAAAGGGGCAACCAAAAATAAAAATAAAAATAAAAATAAAAAAATAAAAAAATAAAAAAATAAAAAAAACCAACGACCAAAGAAGAACAGAGACATCTAAGAACTATAGTCATTAAACTCCGCCACGCAAAACCCGCAGACTGGACGGACTCAAATGCACTGCCAGCGCAACGCGATGGTCCGTAACCACTGCATGGCCCGCCTGCCAGCGATGCAACACGCGATACCGCACATCGTCCAGCGCAGCAGCAGCCTCGATGAACGGAAGAAGCGCCGACTGCGCATCGTCGCCCGTCGCGGCCGAGATCTGCACGAAATACGACGCAGCCGCGGTCTCGCCCTGGTTCCTTGTCGCTGTCGTCGTTGCGACGCCCTCGTGCAGGATACTCAGCGACACCCCGCCCCCTGCGACGCGGCGGAAATCATCCGCCATCGCAGTGGTATATTGCATCGGGTCCAGGCCCTCGAAGATAACGGGGGAGTGCACCTTGGCGAGTTCCGCGACGTGCTCCAGGCGGAACTGGCTGATGGGGGTATCGCGCGGGACCCGGATTTTGAGGCCGAAGGGGTACAGCGGCTGGAATTGGACGTTCGGGGTGAGCGCCGGGACGTCGCGGGTCTCGATGACGCGGTACATGGGGACGTCGGCGCAGAGGAAGTTCAGGCCTAGCTCGTCCTGGAAGGGACGGTAGGAAATGGCCCCGTCTGTGGGTTTGCGGCTCAGGCTGAGTGAGACGCTCTCCGTGTCCAGGTAAGGTGTGTTGTGCCAGGGGGTGACGGGGAAGGTGCTGTACCGTTTGTGCGGCAGCAGAGCGACGGAGAGCTTGCCCGTGTTGTCGCTGGCGTGGATGGATAGACGAACGTGCAGGGGGGAGGCCGTGGCGACAAGGGCGGAGAACGCCTTGCCGCGTTCGATCATGCCGCGGGCGACGGTGGAGCAGTGCTTCTTGATGGCGTTCTTGCTCATCTGCTTGTCCTTGAAGAGGAGGGCGAGATCAGACATGAGGAAGCGGATGTAGCCCCGATATGTCAGTGCCGCGTTGGGATCTTTCTTCAGGTCCTCGTCAAAGTCGTAGCCGGCGGGGAGATACGAGGAGAACAGACGGTCCTTGAGCTCGCCGATGCGGCTGGCGTATTCCTCCTCGGTGATGGGGACATTGTGCCGTCCCTCGATCAGCTCGAAGGGGTCTGAGAATCGGATATGCTTCAGCCCCAGCCGGTCAACAATGCGGTGCAGACCCTCTGCGTATCGGAAGACCTCTTCGTCCGACACGCCCAGCAGGTCATTATAGCAGCACCCGTCGCTGACGATAGTGACGTGTCCACCGGGCGGGTAGATCTGCTGAATACGCGCACCCATCGAGTTGAAATGCTCGAGGGACATGCGCTCGCCGACGTCCGGGTCCGGGCCAAGCACCTTCTCCTTCCGGTTGGGGCTCTTGAACGGGTACGCGGGAACCACCATGTTGATGGGTTCCTGCTTGGAGACAAAATACCGCAGGGTCTCGAGGAGCTTGGGCTTGTATACGTCCTCGTACAAGTCCTCGGGCCCGCTGATGCGGTATGAAGCGATGATCTCCGCGATGCGTTCGACTAGAGCTTCATTTGCGGCCTTCTTTCTCGCCCACGCCAGCGTGTCGAGGGGCAGGGTCGCAGGGAAGCTCACCCGGCGCGAGGTATCAAAGGGCTGCAAGGGCTCGACGATGCGGGCCTCGATGCTGGGCACGATGGTGATGGTGTTGGACAACATTCTTGCTATAGATGATGGAGACAGCTAATGGTCAGGACTACCAGTACACGAGCAATAGCAATTAATAAAGACTTGTAATACAGCTGTTGCTGGAGATGGGCTGGCGTCTGCTCTGATCTCCTGCTTTCAACCGGAGCAATGCCGCTTCTCCCGCCCCTATGTATGTACAGCCCTCCTGGGCTGAGAACCCCCCAGGACCAATCACTGTGAGGTATTCTCCCACGGTATTCGTGCTCCGCGGATGGCTCTTGCCCATGAGCACTGCAGATGTGTTTTGCCTCTTTCATGGATACCGTTCCGAACGGATATTCCACGTGGAGAGACCTGTATTTGCTCACAAAGCGCAAGGAGAGTCAGGCCCAGCACTGGAAAGAGCGCAATGACGATCCATATGGCCCAGAGACAATGCACCAGCCTGTCAGGCTCGGAGATTACATTGCATCTGCCGGGTTTGGCTACATAACTGTTGCTGTCGTCCGCGGTTTCCGTCCTCCGTGGGTAGAGACTCGGTAGAGAAAGCTTTCCCCCAAGGTAAGGTCGTTATATCAGCTTTGTCAGCTTACAAGCCAGTATCGCTAGTCTTAGTCAAGGCATTCAGGGAACTGGATTCAATTCTCTCGAGGTACTTGAACTTGACGTAGTGGCTTGGGTTGGAAGTGGCAGGATACTGAGCGACAAGGAAGGGGGAAATCCTAGGACGGATATTCTCGGAGGATGAAATTAGCTTGAGCAGATCAGTCTGCTCAAAGGGAAGGTAGATTCTGCGCAGATAGGATACATTATTCTGCGGTAGGGTAGCATAATTATAAAGTCAGAATAGTTACATCCACGATATACGCTTTTAGCAACAGCATGTTGAAGTCGGACACTGGGAACACTTCTACGCATTGAACATGGAGGTGCCCAAGAATATTGCATACACCTGGCACGTGCAAATGTTAAAGATACCAAGTGAGAGATGAAGAAAGAAACAGAAAGAAGCAAAAGGAAACAACTTCTATTGAAGCCAAGATTGTTCTATGTACATATTCTCCCTGATCTCCAGACTAATCTACTGCATTGGGGGCACAGCCTTCTTGTATGCAGCCTGCACTTCAGGAAGTGCATCCAGCTTCTTGATGTAAGCATCAATAGCCGGGTACTCCTCAAACGGCTGGAGTGCAGAGCCAGCCAGCACCGAGATCTTCAACCAGGGCAGGATGGCAAAGTCTGCGATGGTCAGACGGCCCAGCGCGACGAACCCGTTCTCCGCGGACGCGAGATGCTTTTCCAGCACAGACCGCAGACGCTCAACCTCGGCCTGGTAGCGCGCAATCACAGAGGCGTTGGGCTTCTCGCCGTGAGCGCCCTCGTGGAAGGCAAGGAACCAGACCAATTGGCCTTGGTAGGGGCCCAGACCGGACACCTGCCAGGCGAGCCACTGGTTGACGGCAGCGCGTTCTTCAATGGTGTTGCCGGCGAGCTTGCCGCTGGGATCATACTAAGTTGGTCTGTCAGCTACTACGAGTCACAGAGGGAAAGTGGGGTCATGGGTACCTTCTCAGCCAGGTATCTCAGGATAGCGGCACTCTCGAAGACGGTAAAGTTGTTGTTCTGGTGGTCGATCAGGCCGGGGACTCGGCCGTTAGGGTTGACCTTGGAGGTGTATTCAGGATCCTTGACGGTGCCTTTGCCCTCGCCGAATCCAAGGGGAACACAGTCATAGTCCAGACCGAGGTGCTCGAGGGCCATGGCCACCTTGACAGGGTTGGGGCCGGGGCCTATAGGCATTCAGTAGTGAGCTCCAGGTCGTTCGGGAGAAGGTCTTACCGGCGTGAGTGTAGAGGGTGAATGGAGCCATCGCAAAGATTGTCGAGGAGAAAGTGCGTTGTTGGACTTGTCTGAAAGTAGAACGAGACTGAGATCGAAGCGCGTTTCTCAAGAGAGGAGAGAAGCTCATGTATGTGGATGTTGCTGTTGGATGATGCTGTTGGCCAGGTCAGGATACCCTTCCACTCGCTCTCTTTATACCTTTTGAGGCCATACTTGCAGCATGAGAAGCTATATCCAGAATTCCATATTGATAATCAAGACTCAATCCCCGGAGCAAGAGAAGCCTTCTTCGTTCCGCGGCCGAAGAAGAGGCCATGTGGAGTGAGCCGGAGCTATGGCTGCATCCAATGACAGAGACAGGACACCACACGATCGAGAGGAGACCAAACTAGCCAAGAACTCTTAGCTCTCGGGGATCTACGGAGACTCACTGAGGATGTTTCGTCTTTCGAGAAATTCAAGACTCCGCGGAAGATCACTTTGGCCCCCGAAACTCCGAAACTCCGAGAGCTGTGCAGAATCCGGAGCTCCATGCAAATAAGAAGTAAAAATAGCATCATGGGGGTTAACTCCATGTTGAGAATATATGGAACTGGAATGAGGTGTGGTGATACATGTCACGAATCATGTTCTGGATGATGTAGGTGGACGCTGCTGGCGAGAAATATATATATATACACTCCATGGATAGATTGTGTACAACTACCTAATGTTCGGCTCCTTATGTATAGTAGAGACTAAAGTTGGAATACATAGAGAGACAGCAGAATCAACGATAGATTTCATAGAGATATCAACAATAGCTACTTTTAATCGACATTCTATCTAGCTAACCAAGAAATCAACTGCTATAGAGACCCTACCTACCACTTACACGACTGATCATAGCCTATCTGATTCTCGCAATGCTGACATGCTGCGGCCCCGTCGCTGCTTGACAGCCTAGATAGTGTTAGTGCCAACCTGTGTAGGGGTGTAGGGGACATCCCTAACGTACCAGGCTGAGCGTCTGCAGCATCTTCACTGTAGTCTCAAAACCAACGCACCCATCCGTAATGGAGACTCCATACTTGAGATTCTGCACCTCATCCTCCGACTGTGGCGCAGCCTGCTTGCCTTCGTTGATGTTACTTTCGATCATGACTCCGGTGATGGCCTGCTCCCCCGCCGCGATCTGTTTGGCAATCGCATCTATCACCTTGGGCTGGTTACGGTAGTCCTTTTGACTGTTGCCGTGCGAGGCATCGATCATGATACTTGGATTGAGGTGCTTAGGATAGGCCTTGACCGTGGACGCAACAGAAGCAGCGTCGAAGTTAGGGCCGCTGTCTCCTCCACGGTGTATAACGTGGAGATGAGGGTTGCCTTTCGTGTGGACGATGGCTGCAAGGCCTTGTTCGGTAACACCTGCAGGGCAGTCAGTACAGGCAACGAACTAGCAAGTAAGCTGTTATTGGCCGACGAACCTAGGAACGAGTGTGGAGACGCGGCGCTCTTCATCCCGTCCAGGGCGATATTGATATTCCCCGAGGAACCATTCTTAAACCCGATGGGAAACGACAGGCCCGACACGAGCTGCCGGTGTACCTGCGACTCGGTCGTGCGCGCCCCCACCGCGCCCCAGGAGTACAGATCAGCCAGGAACTGAGGGGAGATGGTGTCGAGCACCTCGCAGGCAACGGGGAGACCGAGCGCAGTGATGTCGAGCAGCAATTGGCGCGCAACCTGCAGCTAATTTGAGCACTGATCCTGTAATTGATAGGGCTACAGATGGCCAAGGTACCTTCAATCCCCTGTTGACCTGATTGGTGGAGTCAATGTTTGGGTCGTAGAGGAAACCCTTCCAGCCCACTGTGGTTCGCGGCTTTTCAAGGTAGGCCCGCATGACGATTAGGAGATCCTTGTCCCACCCATGTTGTTGGACGGCAGCCTGCAGACGGATGGCGTAGTCGTGCGCCACGTCTGTATCATGGATGGAGCAGGGGCCCACGATGACGAGCAGCCGGTCGTCGCCGTTCCGCTGGATGATCTTCGCTGCCCCCTGTCGGGTTGATTCGATCGTGCGTCGAGAGGCGGGGGTGATGGGAAACTCGTGAATCAGAAGCGCAGGCGAGACCAGAGGCTCATAGGCTACGACATTGCTGTCTTTGAGAGGCGACGATGGAACGGGAACAACGCTATCGGCGAGAATATGAGGGCGAGTGTGCCGGCTTCTACCTTGTCAGTATGCAAATATCAAAGGCCAGACGGGAACATACAGTTCCGGTCCTTGACTGACGGCTCCGGGTGCGGCCAGCATGTTGACAGCGATATAGGTCCGAGATACAAAATAGTGTTATTGTATGTGGTGTTCGAAGGCGATTATAGTGAGGAGAAAACTTATGGATAGGTCTGCGTCGTCTTCTATTAGCTTTATAGACGGGGAGATTGTGCTCCTGGTAGACTTTTCTTTTATTCTTGAGCAGCAACTGGCTTTCTTTCTTCAGGATTATACATAGGCTGCTGGACTAGGATATTCAGCTTGTAACTGAAGAATTCGGAATCTGGGGAGCAGGAGCTCCGAGGTCAGTCCGCTATCAGATAGAGATGAAACTTGAGATGATCAGCATTCCAATCAGAGTTCTGGAACAGTGTTAACCAGATCGATAACCGGGGTAGTAACATGTATGTGCCAACCGGAGGCGTTCGCGGGATGTCAGCAAGATCCGCGCATATGCGGCTGTTCTCTCTGCTGCGGACTCCGACAGGCTTAGAAGAACACGAGAGGAATTTCGGCGGACAATGAAGCATAGCTATCCGCGGATATCATCAATTGCTGTAGTATGCGGAGATTCAATCGCTGGCTGGAATGAATATAAAAGTTCCTGTGGATTGGCGTCATCTCTTATCACACAACAACAACAACACCACCATCACCACCACCACCACCAACGACGACAATTCATCTCGAATCCCAATTAATCACCTTCTCATTCAGTCAGGTTAAAGCCCTCGCTACCAAAATGACTCAGATCCAGCCCACTCCCAAGCACACGTTTGCTGAGCGTGCTGCCGCCAACAACTTCAACGATGCGCAAATCCTCAACTCCAACAACCCTGCTGGTGCCGACATCCCTGAGAAGTCCGATGTTGTCGTCGCCGGTGGTGGTATCCACGGTCTCATCTACGCCATCCATGCTGCCAAGTACAAGCCCGGCAAGCTCAACATCTCGCTGATCGAGAAGGGCAGCAAGCCAGGCTACAAGATCGGCGAGAGCACGCTTCCTCTCTTCTCGCTGTGGTGCAAGATGCACGGCTTGACCGCCGAGTACATGCTGCGTCTCTTCGGCCTCAAGGATGGACTCTGTTTCTATTTCCTCGACCGCGAGAACCAGGGCCACTACACCGACTTCTGCAGCAATGGCACCCCCGGTCTCTTCCTCAGCGGTTTCCAGATCGAGCGCCCCATCAGCGAGCTGCTCTTCACTCTGTTGGCCCAGCGCAACGGCGTCAACGTCTACCACGGCCGCCAGGTCGACTTCAATGGCAGCACCATCAAAGGGGGATTCCAGAGCAACAAGATCGCCATCAACCCCGGCAAGTTCGACGGCAAACCTGCCACCACCATCGACTCCTCCCTGCTGGTCGACGCCACCGGTCGCTTCCGCCAGCTGGCTTCCAAGAAAGCGTCTCTTCACCGTTTCGAGGGTTGGAACTACGACGCCTTCTGGGGTTACTTCACTGCCCCCAAGGACGAAAGCAAGATTCCCCTTCGCTTCTACGAGGGTGACCACACCAACCACCTGTGCTTCCCCGAGGGCTGGGCCTGGATCATCCGTCTCCCCTCCTGGGAAGGCAGCCCCATCCCCAACCTGATGGACATGATCTCGTACCTGCTCGACTGCGCCGAGGCTGGTGTTCCCGGGGACCAGATTCCCAGCTCCGAGGAACTCGCCAAGATGTTTGACCTCAAGTTCCAGTGGGTTACCAGCATCGGGTTCGCCGTCCGCAACGACGTCAAGTACCCCGAGGACATGTCCGCGTACGGCACCCGCGAGGCCGAGCGCAAGTTCAACTACTTTGTCGAAAAGTACGACCTCATCAAGAAGTTCATGAGCAATTTCGAACTTGTCGAGGATCTATACGGACCAGGAACGACCTGGTACATCCGCAAGTCCCTCACCTACCAGTCGCCAGTCGTGTCGGGCCCTGGCTGGTTGGCCGTCGGCGACGCCTGCGGCTTCACCAATCCGCTGCACTCCCCCGGTATCACTGCCGCCATGTCCACTTCGACCTACGCGGCCGAGCTGACTCACAAGGCGCTCGAGGAGGCCCAGCGCGCCGCCGACGCCCAAGCAGCTGAGGTCTCCATCCGCAAGACGCTCGCCCCCTACGACGACTTCGCCAAGCGCCTCATCCCCGCCCTGAACCAGATGAACAAGTTCAACTACGTCTGCTTTCGCGAGCCCCGGCTGGGCCCGCAGGTCTCCTGCCTGTGGCAGTTCTTCTCCGGCATCGGCATCCCGGGCTGGCAGCTCATCCGCCAGGACTATAACCTCAACTTCGACACGTACGTGCCGCACTCGATCAACTGGGCCTGGGGGTCGATGGTGCCCGAGTACGACACCGTCGCGCGCAAGGCGATCGAGCTCATCGCCCCGATCCCGCTGGAGGAGTCTGTGCCCGACGCGACTGTCCGCGAGGTGATCGAGTTCTCGAACGCGGTCAAGCGCGTCGCGGTCGACTCGAACCGGTTCAATTTCCGCTGGGACGGTCTGCTGCGCTACTACGATCTCTTCCTCAACTACGACGAGAAGAAGAATTGGAAGGACGTGTTCTCGCGCCAGTGCAAGGAGTGCGGGGCCTGGCTTGTCTGCCGCCCGGACTGGCGCAAGTGCTACTCCTGCGGCCAGGAGAGGACCGAGGAGGAGGCGGCCATCGCCTGGAACCCGCCTCTGGCGGTCGACGAGGTCAAGGCGCTGGTGCGCGCCTCGGACGCCAAACCTGCTTCCCGGGCGGCCAAGGACGCGACTGTCGAGGAGGAGCAGCTCAAGGACGGGACTGTGCTTGTCTCGCATACGGTGACGATTTCTGTATAGAGATGGGGAGGTGGTTGTATAAAGGAATTTTTCTTTTGTCTGCACTTACGATTGTTTCTTTCTGGTGTTTTTTCTGCTGCTGTGGCTTTTCTGATAATGGTTCATATGCGATTAGATTGATGATTGCTCTTCTGATATACTATCTGGTGTGCTATCCTGCTTGCTGTGCTGAAAACTGTTTCCGAGAGTTCGTGTGAATAGTACTGTTAAATCTTATCCGTGAAAGATCCTCAAAAAATGCTCAATCTACATGCACTGCCGATGTAGACTCAGCTTATACCGCGCCAACGACGACGTCTGCTGCAGCGCCTCCAACAATGCCAATACTTCATTGATATGCCATTGCAACACCCGCAGCTTCTCCCGGCTCAGCCGTCCACTCCACGAGCCCCCCGCCGCCACATACGGCCCTGGCCCCAGCATAGGGGCTCCCGCAGTCGGAAACTCCCCACCCCCTTGGACAAATGTAAAGAACTCCGTCGCCGAGTTCCCCCTCGACCCCGCCACCACATCCCCCTGCATCTGCTTCCCCTTCCCCGGCACCATCCCCATGACATCCATCCCCTGCGCAGCATGCAACAGGACCTGACCCACTAGCGCCGCCGACGACGCAGGCTGCAGCACCCGCCGCAGACTCCCCGTGCAGGGCCGCTTCTCCTCGTTCTTATCAAGAGACATCTGCGCCTGCGACGGGGCCTGGCTACCGGGCTCGTCCTGGGTACCGATACTCCGGCACTGCGTGAGGACGAGGATGCAGGCGTCCACGCAGGCGTCCATGCACATCATGCGCAGGGCCCCCGAGGTGCTGGGCGCGTGCATGAGGTGGAAGGCCTCGTGGCGGAAGAGCTTGAAGCGAATGAGCCCGAGCTCGAGGCTCAGGTGCATATTTTGGATCTGGGGCGCGCGCGCCAGTGACAGTCGGTGGTCGGTGCTGGGCTTGCGGGTGGTGAGGTCCCCGGCAATGGGGTTGGTATCGAGCTGCATACCGCCGCTGTTGGACTCGCTGCCGGCCGGGAGGGTGCTGGCAAGGATTTGGTAGAACGAGAGCTTGTTGTCCAGGGCGTCCAGCTCGGTGCAGAGCTCTGCCGCTTGGGCGGGGGACACAGGCCCCGGGCGAATGATGCAGTCCTCTGCGCGGCGGGAGAGGTGGGCCAGGGCGAGTGCGTAGTCCAGGTAGTGCCTCGTCAGGCTGAGGCGGTCCCACTGCTCTTGTTCCATGGTGGAGGGGTAGGTGCCGTTGTCTGGGAAGCTGGGGATCTTGGACGGTGGATCGCGGTACATCTCCGGCCGGATGAAGTAGCTGCTGGTGTGGTAGATACCTGGGGAGGTCCAGTCAAGCAAGCAGATGAAGGACCAGAGTTGCCAGCGCCATTCCCGCTCGATGAGAAGGGGCCCCGCGTCGTAGGGAGAGTCGAGCGAGGCGTCGACGGCGGACGAGATGACGTCAAGGTGGAGCTTGAGGTACTCGGACGGTGCGGCAAAGGATCGCGCGGCGAGCAGGAGGAGGATCTTGATGGAGACGATCTGCAGGGAAATCTCCGTGGCTGCGGCGGTTTGCTGGAGTAGGTCGTTGTTTGTGTCCAGTACTGGCGGTGCTCGACCTTCAAAGCCGCTTTTGACCGTTGGGGGGAATGAGTCCAGGTCCGAAGATGTGATGAGCATCCGCGATCCTTTCCATAAATCGCGCACCAGGGCGTCAATGTCGGCACTTGCGAGCCCCAGCTCCTGCGCCTTCCCTGGATCCAGGTCCACGGCCGCGAGACTGGCGCACGCGAGGATCCTCGAGACCTTGATATCGAGACGTTCGAGCGAGGTTGGGGAACAGGCAAAGTCCATGCCCCGAGGCAGACGTTGAACCTCCTCGACGTCGCAGATGAGTTGGTGCACGTCGACGAAGCCGGTCAGCGAGGCAGATCCGGATATCTAAAGCAATGGACCGCGTCAGACGTTTTCGTGCTATTGACACAGGAGGGGATAGGCACATAATGCGAAATCAGGCCACAAAGCAAACGGTTTTCCGGCAGCAAGGCCATCAGCCGTGATGGTGTCCATTGTCTAAGATCCGAGGCTAATGACGAGTCTGTACTTCGATCAGTATCAACTGTGAAATCAGAAAGGTCAACATACCCTGGCCAATGCCGCCCACTGAACTGCTTCCCGATCGCCCGTGGGACGGAGGTCTGTAGTCAAGCGACGTCAAGTCCAGACTCTCCGCAAATTCCTTTCCTTTACCCCTGATGTTCTCGATCAAGGCCGAATTCGACGTCTTGAGCTCCTGGACTTCCTCGGTCAACTTGAGAATCAGTTTCGGTAGTTGCTCGAGGGTTTCCCTGTGGTTTCGCCTGCACTCCGTCAATATTTTTCAGTCATATTCCTACGCGCAGGGCCCGCACTCTGGTCTTTGCCCCTCCTCCCAAGTGCACAGATGTCCCTCTCCTCGCGCCCGACAGGCACCACAGGGGTCGAAACGATCGCATTTGAGCTTCCGCCGTCGGCACGAGTGGCAGCTGAAGATCTTCTTGTCTTTGCCTTTCTTCGGCGGCGGATTCGGCTGTGACTGGCCTGCTGGGGCGGGAGGATTGGGTTTGCCTGAGGACTCTGGTTCTGCGACGGTGGGAGAGGGCTTCTGAACTGTCATGTCGAGATCGGTATCGTGGGCTTGCCGTTTCGGAGTCCAGAGCGGAGCAGAGAAAGGACAAAAACAGTTGAAAGGCAGTTACGTTATCCTGTACCAAGAGAATAAAATGAGCCCAGCACAGCAATTCATGCCTAGTCACGCTTCCAGGAACACGAGCTGACATGACGCACCTCTCATTCCTCTCGTGTCGCATACGCCTCCAAACTCAACGAGCCATAGCTGAAGCGGATGTCTGGTCTCGTCTACATAGCGCCAAGACACTGGGAAAACATGGCTTGACAGGGTTGTTTATAAATGGCCTGCTGATCCCATTGCGCTCAGCTGTTTCGGCGGGAATGGGGGCTGCACTCATTGATCGAGAAACGTCCGATAGGATCGAGCCACAAGACCTGGGTCCTAGCCCGTTAGGGTGGTGGGGTGGTTCGACAATGGGAGGGGGCTGCGCTATTCAGTGGTATCCAGGACTATTATTCAGTACTGCAGTTTGCCTCATCGCTTGATTGGGTGATCACGTCAATGATCAGGGCCTGAATAATACATCGCAGGTCGCGATGTATCCAATCGCTGCCACGATTAGCACTTTTGCTCCGTTGGTAATCACTCTCTACTGTCAAGGATCTGTCTCAGAAGCGACCGGAGAGATGGTGCCGGTGACCGGTCGGTCCTACCAGCGGATATGTGGGTGACATGACTTGAGTAAGACGGGGCTTCGCCAACGTGAGGACTAAGGCAGAGTAATGGCGAATAGGATGCTCTGCTCCATTTTGGTGAGAAAGTCAGCCTCCAACTGCTCTTACAGGCCCCCACTGAGCTTACTCCCGCAGCCGGGCCAGATTGGTGGACTAGAAAAAGACCAGGAGCAAATAGGTAGAATGCCATGGAAGAACGAGGAGAGCTGAGCTTCTCCCAGGCTTCAGGGCGGGACCAGTCCTCGGAGATTTTTGGTCGCAGCGCAGTTGTGGCACTTACTAGCGCTGATAATCCCGTATTATCCTTTCCTCGTTCCGTCTTCCATCCTCCTGTGGCAACGGGCGAACGTGTCTGTGAGTCTGCAATATCTGCAACCTTCACTACGAGATCTCCATCTTCTGGAGGGTCCGTGCCTACTAAGGTAGCTGTTATTAAGGATAGAATAGAATCCTAGATCACATACATTCCCGTTGATGGTAACAGCTAGGGATTTCTCCCAAGTCCCCCCACGGTCCGTGCCGGTGAAGGGACGGACACTAAGCCACTGGGCCTAAGAATAAAGAACGGTGGTATCCACGGGGATCCCCACTGAAATCGCATCTCAAGTCTCAAGACCCAAGAAGTCTTCTTCTCCCTTGGCACATGAAATAACCTAGCCAAGCTCTACCAAGCGGGTGGAGTGGCCGATCTCCAGACGCTACTGAGCAATATGCGCATCGCTCGCTAAACTACGCATCTAATTGGCCCATCCATACTTGATCCTTGCTTCAGATGTCTGCACAAATACGAGGTTGCTTTGCAGGATAAGGATTATCTACACTATGTATTTGCCTGTCTGCCGGTTAAACTGAGGGCTAGCCCCCGTGTTTCAAATCATGGTGGAGCGGCGGCCTCCGCATGCTTTCATCTGCGTCATAGACATATTTTTATTATTCTTTCCTCCTTTGCATGACGATGGGCCGAACAGCTGGGTCACTGAATTATGACCGAACCACTGCAGATTAGGACGCCTCGAGCCAACTAGCGGTACTTCGCCGGACAGAATACTATTGCACAGTCCGAAGACGGCATACGAAACAAGGAAGCCAATCCTTCTCGGCCCATCGGGTGAAGAAAACTCCCGTGCTTGCTGCGTCCAACCAGATCAATCCAGCTTCTTATTGGCCAACAGAGCAGGAACTGCAGGCGAGTCAACAGTACAGACTAAAGGGTGGGCAGAGCCCCCCGAAACAGTCCGGTGAGATCCTGAGTACAAACAGCCGGAGAGTGTGAAAGCGCATGTATGTATTGATGGGGCACTATAGTAGGACCTAATTAGGTTCTTGCTCTTCCCCCTGAGTGACTCTCCTTCACACCTCATTTGGTGACAAGAGCTTCACTGCATCCTTAGAAAACATATAGCCGAATACCAGAGCTAAATGGTGGTCCCAACGATGTACCTGTCTACAGGTCACAGCGCAGGGCGTTGGGAGGAAGAACAGCGACCACGAGACATGGCAGGTTTTGGGTGGCCACGTCAGCCGTGCAGGGGTCGTTCAGCTGCCGCTTCAACAAGGTGGTGATTAGCGTGGGTGCAGTTTATGGAGGTAGCGATGTCGGAGCATTCATCACCAGTCGGGATTATACACCACCCACTCTGGAGCAAACATCACACTTAGGGGCGCAAGATCCACTTCGCGCTAAATCAGCTGCCTTGTTTGGAGGAATGAAGTAAAAATGAAACACCCAGTGTTCTGCCATAAGCACATAGCCACAGTCTTTCCTCTTCTTGGAAAATGTCCGAATAATCCTGGCCTAGGGACCGTATTTGTCTGACTGGTCCAGTTTAAAGACTGTGTGATTGCTTAATCAACGAAACAATACATTGGGAATTCAAATTAACTGCCCAAGTGCGGCTGAAGAGTGGTGATGGAGATGTTGGTTATGTCTGGCGAATTAATATCCCTTCTTTGGAGGACTTATTCAGGAAAACCCTAGCCAAATCCTTATTTTCACATTTGCGCCCGACGCTTGCCTGAGACTAACCCAACCTCTTCGGCTGATACTCGGGGAAAACAAAAGTCATACTCGTCGGACGAAAACGCACTTGTTGGTGGGATTGAAAGAGAGAGAGGGAATTCCAGGTCCGAGATCGCAGCCCACTTTCCTGACCGAAGTGCTTCATCCCTCCAAGTCCGTTATTCAACCAGATTACGCCAGAAGGCGACCTCTCGATCTGGAAGGCGATAAAGATGCCGCTAAGAAGCATTAAGTTGGCGGGGCAATCTGCTTGGGAGGATGTAGCTTCTTTTGACCCACGGCTTCTTTCGCTAGGCGATCCGCTTTATCGTTCCCCGAGTGCTCTCGATGTCAGGGAGTCCCCGCGCTTTCAAGTGTTCGGCTTTGAAGAATAAAATGTCGTATGGGACGCCCCGTACGCTAGAAGCCGTAAGATGGTGTTGAACCATAGTGTGTGAGGATGCCAATGACGTATTCGGTTCTGATCTGGGGGACGTAATAACAAAGTTGTAGGCTTCATTATTACCCGAATATCATGGTGAAAGAACTCGCCTGTAATTTTGCTCAATCGCGCATAGCGTCTATCCCAAAATGACGAGATACAGCCATGGCAAGCGCGCTGCTGGACCAGCATGATCTTAATATATCACCACCTATTGGTCAAGGGGAACACGCTCAAATTATGCGACGTCTGATCTGCCCGGCCTATAGTCTCTTCGAACACTTCGCAGAGGAACGCAAGTTTTATCTCGTATGAGTGGAAGATATGGGGAAGTTGAGCGATGCTGTAAGATTATACGTTTATAATCTGGCATATTATGGCTTGGGCATGATTCTCATTGTTGGATGGCTGAGACGTATAAATAGAATTCGCCCTCATATAGTAACCATAGCAAGCGCAATAATACAGCGTAAAGAATGAGAAAATGGATGGACAATGTCCCCAGCCGTACTCAGCACCCTAGATGAATGAACGGTGCCCATTTGGAAATTGCGGCATGATTATCTGTGTCTCGGTAACAGAGTATTGCATTATGCAATGCCTGTGCTACAGTAGTATCGCTTCTCTGCAGCAAGCCCTGATAGAACATGCTGGCGAATTTGACAGCTGCATCATCGTCGGCGCCCCACAAGGTCCCGATGACATGTCGGAACCCAGCGATCTGGAACGTACTAGCAAGATGGACGCTCTCTTCAGCTAGGAATACGTATTCCAGCTGTTGAGCAAGCTGAGAGATAGGCAATCACCCCATGGTCATGGTTGAGCGCGTCCAGGTCTTGTACGGTTAATCTTTCCTCAATCTCTCGCCCTATAATAAGTGCACTTTTTGCAGGCTCTATTCGGTCCGCACAACCCTGGCAAGCAAAGTGTGCGATTGTACAGGACTCGAGTGGGTCAAGAACATCCTTTTTCTTCGGCCGCTCAAGGATGTGGAGAATGGAAGGCTCTATCAGTCCATGTTGGACCAATACAAAGCCCGTGAAAATTTTGATATTGGCGGAATTGATCCCAAGAGAGGCCTGACCACCCTTGCCATTGCCGCGTTGAAAGGCCAAACCCACGTGGTCAGACTACTCCTCTACAACGGTGCCTCTGCGTGCAAGCTCTTCAAGGGAGACCGCGGTCCCCTCTGGTTTGCTCCAGCAGGGAGAATGCATCGCAAAGACCGCTCTGATATTATTCGACTTCTTCTGGACAGCAAAGCTGAAATCGACAGGCCGTCGCCAGTTAATGGGAACTATACGCCATTAATGAAAATCCTCGTCGAATGGAAGGATCCGGAGATCGTCAGTCAGCTGGTGGACGCCGGTGCATCTTTGACAGTAACGAATGAGAACGGAGAGGGCGTAAGGGACATTGCTGAAAAGATCAATGACGCAGCCTTGAACAGAGCCCTTCTGTCCAAAGAGGATAGGCAGACAAAGAGAGGAGACTTCGTTTCGTTGATCGTTAAACTTGTCTATTTAATCGTACATTATATAAACGGCGGTGACACAACTGACATTGTCCAATCAATCATCAGTGACTTGTATCATATCAGTGGGCAAAAGTCTCCGGAAATTGCAAAGGTCGGTCAAGGATACAGTTCCAGGCTCCTAGCTAAAGTGGGATCTACCAGGAGATACCCGAAGCCCAAACAGTGGAAGAGTATAAAAACCACATCGATGAGTTCATAGAGACCAATTCGTTGGACGAATTTTTCGAAAAAGACGATCCCTTTTTACATACTGTACGCTTGCTGCCAAGGCAGCGAAATTGAAGAAAAGCACGACTACAACCCTAAAATCCGACGACGACATAAGAGACCTAACAAGGCTCTCCCTTTATCAGCCAGTCATATATTGCGGTAAGACATGCCGTAAATCCGATAATAACAAGCTCAGAAACAGTCAGATGATAGCGGATCGATGAAGAACCATGGCCGTAATGAAGCGCAGAGCACTCATCGCAGGGGGAGAGGCGTGTGATCTACATATTTTGTAAGTGTGGCCCTTGGGCTCCGGCCTCGGAACCCATCGTGCTATTTACCCAATTTAGACCATGGGTATGCAGCCTATGTGAGTATCTAATAAAGCTAAGCAGTGTATAACAGGGGGAGAGCCGTCAGGATCATCTAATTAGTTATTAAACACCTAGAGAGCATCATACAGTGCGGTGGGCAAAAAAGCCAGAAATATATAAAGAGTTAGCTAGAGGTGCACAACATTTAAATGCTCCTGGCAAACACGATGTGTTACAGCTGGGTAATGCAAAGATCTGACTAGTCCTGCATATTCTTCTGGTTCCTTTGCTGAGCGCTTCTCAGAACGGGTCAATTAGCGGCATGAGCATTACCACTGAAAAGCGTTTCCGTGTTATCTAACAGCAGTGATTTTGTTTGCCCAGGATTGGGTATCAGCTCAACGCCAAGGGGTGTAACAAGGTTCCTCGGCGGGTGCCGGCCAATGGTGTTCTCTAGTTGACCACGTTAAGATGCCAGATACGTTAGTAAGTGGGCTTAGTTACGCAAACAGGACAACAAAAAAGCCCAGACAACCTCCAAGGTGATTCTAGTATTGCCCTGCCATATTCGAACTTGGCTATTTTATTTATTGTCGCAGATATTAACACTATGAATGAGATACCCGGCCAGATCAAGTGGTTGCTTGACCGGTTGACTGGTTAACCCAGGGGAGGCGGGAAAAAAGAACGTCAGCGATAGGACTCGAACCTATGCGGCCGAAGCCAAGTGATTTCTAATCACTCCCCTTAACCACTCGGGCACACTGACTAACAGTGGAATATAGACGATCCTATTTGCCTGTTGAGGCTTATCGCAGCGATTGTCTTATGAGGTTGAAGTGTGTCAAGTGTTTTCCACGTCTTCTCGCAATTCATCCGGTGGAGGACACTCTCGGGGTACAAACAGCCTTTACTCATTGGAGGGGATTTCAGTAGTTCATTTCATTAGAAGTTCGTCTTGTCAGAAGACAGACAAAGAACTTTACTACTTTCCTCCGCTCGCAGTGCCTGACATATACCAGTAAACCTTGGATATAAGCAACTAATTCAGCAGGCCATCTCGATTGCTTATATTGAGGGATTGCTTATAGTAAGATATATATACTTTACTGCCTAAAAAACATTCGGATATCAGTCTGCTGCTGCTTCTGCATCTTCCTCTGCAAAAGAACCCTCTCATGCCTCATAAGATGCTGGATAAGGTGCTGATCAGCATCTACCTGCTGCTCCTCAAAAAGACGAAGTTTATATAGGCATTCTAAGGCATCTGCAGGTGAGATCTGCGGAAGAGGCTCCCAAGCATCATCATCATCAGATTCGCAGGTCTCTGGTGCAAATTGGCTAATGATAATATCATCAAGATTCATGATATTATCATTAACCTGCTCATCTGCAGGGTTTAAGAACTGGCTCAAACTCATTGCTTCCTGGATATTATGAGAAAGTTGAAGCTTTTGAAGGCCTTGCTGAATCTCATCCATAACCTCCTTTTCATGGATCTCTATACTATCTTCGATAGCAAGAGCCTTCTTAAAGCATTGCTGAATAGTATCATTCTTTAAGTCGATATTCCATGCTGAAATAGCCCACCGAAGGGCTTGTAGGATTGTCATTGTTGAGATTGGATTAAAGCCGCGATCAAATTCAGCCATCATGTAGAGAATCCACTGCCGTTTCCAGTATGCTTTCCATGTACGGATAATCCCTTGATCCAGAGGTTGATATCGAGAAGTTGAATTAGCAGGAAGCCAGATAATAAGAGTGTTCTGCAGCTGTTGATTGATCTCTGCATATGCAGCTTCATGCGCAGAGAAATTATCCATAAGAAGAACAACTTTCCGGCCACTCATTCTTTGATCAAACCAGATAAGCCATTCCTTAAAGATATCTCCAGTCATCCAGGCCATCTTATTACTGCGCCATTTACACCCTAGATTCTCTGGGTTGATACCAGCAGCAGTAAAAGCTCTTGGTCGCTTTGCACTTCCAATAATCCATATTGGTAAGCGTTCTGAAGCATCAGAGTTGCAACAAAAGAGAGCACTTATTCTAGCTTTCTCTTTCTTGCGGCCAGGAATTGACTGTGTTGATAGACTACTATCAGGAATCGTCTTCCAATATAGACCAGTCTCATCACAATTAAAGATATCTTGAGGAGCATACGCGCTTAGAGCCTGACGGATCTTAAGCATCTCCTTTGCTGCATCTTGAGATAGACTGCCAGCTTCGCCATGCTGAGTATTCCTTCGGATATTCTGGCGAGACTGAAAGCCATGGAGCCAGCCATTCCTGAACCGCGGCATCTCCTTTTCTAGATATAGTAAGGGCCAAAATTGCCTTGCTTTCTCCTGAATAGCCTCCTGTGAGATAGTTATCTGACTCTCAGCCCTCCTTTTTCATTCAAAAAGCGCGTTTTCGAGTTCCGGCCAGGTTTCCGTAAGGCGTCGTTTATCAGGGAGAAGGTGAGGTTCTAGGGTGTCAAGAAGGCAAATCGCGGAGATAGAATGCGAGAGATTGAGGAAGGGTTGATTGGCTGCTTATATTGCTCTTCAAACCACTTCTGAAACTGTAGATTTGAGAGAGAAGGGTGAAGATAATGGTGAGCACGTAAGGCAGCCTTCTAGCTATTGCTAATCGAATGGCGTGTCTGGTTTGGCATTCTGGATAAAGCTTTGCTGGTTCAGATCACCTGCTCAAAAGACTTGAATATTAGCAATGGGAGAATCTAAGCAATTTCCTAGTATCCAGGGACTAAACAATTTTATATGGTGATTTAATTTTGGACACGTGTTTGGTTGCTTATATCGAGGAAATTGCTAAGTCAGGTTGCTTCTATCGAAGGTTTACTGGTATCGTCTGGCTCCGATTGGACATCAACGAGTGCATCATCATATCTGGTCGAGACCGAGGAATATACCAATTGAACTAAAGAGCCCTGCACAAATTTGATTCGATATCAATGTTCCCGGGAATCCGCTCTCGAGCATCGAGTTGATGATGGAAGTCACATGCTTCGTTAGTCGCCTGAAAATGGTGGCATTAACAAGGGCATTTCACGTGACGACTAGTCCCGCTCGAGCAGCCACAATCATCAACAACCTGAGCCTCCTGGAATGCATCGCGATCGAACACTGAACACTGCGCTATCGTACGAACCAGCCAAAATGTCCCCCCCTCGACGCAGCCCCACCTTCAAGCTCAACCATTGTCGAACTTCCCTCCAACATCCAAAAGCTCCGCGCACGATTCTTCGCCCTTGATGCGCCGGTGGCAATACCCCTCTCCGTTTTCAACGCCTCCTTGCGCTTTCCTGACAATGTGGACCCGCAGCACGGATCCCGTGTTATCGCATACTTGAAAACAGACCATGAGTCGTGGGTCGCGGGTCGCGCCTAAGGAGCGCACGACGCAAGCGCGAGCGAACGTTCCGCGAGCCCCCTGGTGCGTGAAGCAGTCACCGCGGGTACGACGATTACATTTTCCCGTCTTGGGTGCGAACATAACCACGAGTGCTCTGCGCTGGAGGACAAGGTAACCTTCAGGTGCGGGAGCTGGCGGCCAAAGAGGCGAACAAGGGGTACAAGTGGCAGGAGACAGAGAGGGACGAGCGGGAGGTTAGGTCGGCGGCGATGCGCGGGGAGCGGATATGCAAGGTCCTGGATAACCCATATCGGAAATACCAGAACTGGACTCCTTTACGGCCCAGTGGCCTCCGCAGGCCCGGGACCAAGCTTATCTATAGCTTCGGCCCGAGGCTGGATGAGCCCGCGCAGGTGCTAGGGCGGGAGTCTCTGACGCAGGTCAAGCACCGAATACAGCCCACGATGGAAGGGCAAACCCAAACTGTAGCACCTCAGTCCAGCCCGGTTGGGCCTGCTGGCACTCTGGGGCCCGTAGGTCCAGTAGAGAATCGCGTAGAAGAGAGAAGCGTCGAACCAAGCCTCAAACATGAGGGCTTATGATACTCTATCTACTGTACATGTAGCCACCCTGGACGTGGCCTCTGGAAATCTATATACAGCCGTTAGGCATTATTCGCACATGAAAAACTGGCACTACCGGGGTCGTCGTGCAGGGCCTTGCCTGACACGTAAAGCCCCAGACCACACTGTGAAGATAATCAGCAACTGTATCGTAGAATTTCCGGCAAGAACTTACGATGCAGCACGCGATCCCCATGATGAATACATTAAGGATAGTAAGCGCAGTCTTCATCGGTGTCGAAAAGAACCGGCCCTTATTGAGATACAGCCAGAAAAGAGCGCTGAATCCGTCTGCAATCGTCAGCCAGCTGTCTACACAGATGAAAAGGAAAATGAAACTTACAGGTAAACCAGCTTGCAAAAAGCGACGCCTGCATAATCATCAGCTTGATCCAGAGCGAACCAGCAAGGAATCATACCACCAGACTCAACAGATTGTTGAATACCGGGATAGCCTCGGCAATAATCCAAGCAACGATCCAAGTCGCCAGCCCAATCAACACCCATGAACCGGTTGCAACAAGATCGCGCTTATGCATGCGGTCGCTGTGGCGCCACATCCGTACGTAGATATACTTGCATGCGACGTGACCGTTCACCACGCCTCCGATGATGATCTACTCCTGGTCAGCCGGATCCTGGGGTGAGCACAGAAGACTTACCGTCGGCAAGGCGATTCCATACGCCACCTTTTTCACGGTCTCCGAGGCTGAGCCTAGCGCCGGTGAGGTGACGTCGTCCCCGGCATAGCAGTAGATCACCACAGCGGCGACGATATACAAGCATGTGTCGATGCCCTGCAGCAGGAAGAGCGACTTGGGGTAGTCGCGGGGATTTTTCAGTTCGGCCATGAAGCCGAAGAAGGCGACGTGGCCGGCTGTTTTGTCAGTGACGCTCCATGAATGAGATGGAGAGGAGGAGGAAACCTACAGAATGAGAAGACAATATTGCAGACCGCAAGGAAAGCCTTGTATAAACTGGTATCAACGGTGGCATTGACCCCGCCGTGCCAGGGACGTTGAACACCAACGGCAATCATGACGATCAGAACCGCTGAAAGGACGCTGATGAAAGCTGCGAATTGTCAGTGGCATTCTACATCGCCAGAGACATACGCACAAGCAACTGATAGAAACGAGACCTTGGCCAGCGTCCGCGGCAAACACAGCACGAACGAAATGACCAAGCCAACCACTCCAAAGACGATCGAGCAGGTCCCATGGTCGGTAATTGAGTTCATGGCGACGGTAAAAGTGAGGATATGACTAGCCATGATGAAGATGACGAGGAGCAATTGGCCTGTTCCGAAGAGCTCCCGGCCGAAACTGCCCATGATGACCTCGCCGGCGTCTCCCATGGAGTGGATGAACGGATACCGCCATTTGAATTGCCTATGCGGGTCAGTAACAGTCCAGGTGTTTAGTCCATGACGACAAATTTACCCAATCGTGTAGCCGGTGTAGGTGGACATCAGACCAAGCGCTACAAGGAGAATGATGGCTCTATGCTCGTTAGAGTTTAGAGTTGTCTTCGGAGGGCAATGGATAGACTCACGGAACGAGGCCCAATGCAGCCACCACCGCCGGCAGGGAGAGAATACCCAGCGACACCGTCTCGGCAACCATGACTGCTCTGGATCAGCTACGTCCTTGAAGTCATGAAGGCATACTCACGGAAACCACATTGCCTGCGGCGGGTTAGCAACAGTCCAGCTTATTTAGTCAATGACGACAAACTTACCACCAACTCAAGGTCTTGTACTTCACCTCGGCATACTCCTCGTCCCCGAATGCATCCTGATACTCGGGTCTCGAGTCCTGCTTCTCAAAGTCACGCTCGCCATCGGAAACAGCCTCGCGATGTACACGATCCGCGTCCATATCAGCGTCCGCAGCAGGACGGGATCCTCCCTCGGGCGTGGAACCCATGATTGCGACTCTGACGAGTGACAACAGAGACGGTTGAGGTCTGGTCGAGCGGCTCCCCGGACGAGTGGAGCTGGAAAGCAGATTTTTCACCGTGAAAACCCTACGACCTCACTCGTACAATACAATCACGGAACAGGTGTCGAGGGGCCGGGATGTTCTTCGTCGTCCCAGATACACAGTGTCACCGGCACTTGATACTGACAGGTCAAGCTGCGAGCTCCGGACTTCCAACGGAGATACAAAACTGCGACAGCATCATGATGACTCAACGGCAAGCAACACGCTCAGTCTGGGGCCCAGTTCGTGTGCTCCATTCCTGAAGACAGCCTTCGATATTGGTATATGTTACCTAATGCCGAGATCTCCCAGGTCCCGATGAGGACAATAGATCCATTCTTAAAATTGTTGGCCAATAAGAAAGCAGCGGTGTTATGGGTTCTGAGCAAATACAAGCATCTGATTGGATTAAAAGAAATTTCTAGCCAGAGTGGGACTAAATTGTTGCTTGGCAGCCAATGAGAATGATTCCCGCTGTTGATCTGCCAAGTGCTCATCGTCACTGGGAAACAGGGACGACAGCATCGAGTCTAAGAAATAGCATGGAGAGGAGTAATATGTAGGATACTGATGGTTATAGAACAGTTATCGAGTATCGAACAACAGACTCAAAGACCGGGACAGATATGGCAAGAAATAAAACCAGGCCAACAGCACAAATTGTTGAGGAATATACCTCCGCATCCGCATCGACATACAACATCCCCTAATAATAGTCGTAGAGCTGCTTCTGCGGTGGCACATCTCTCCGAAGCAAATACTTCTTGACATACCACGGCAACATCGCGCGATAGTGATTGATGTGCTTAGTCGTCGGAACCGAAAAGACTTGATCCAGCTCCTCAAGCGAAAGGGCCTTGGTCTCCGGCAAACAGAAATAACAAAAGATCCAGCCGAAGAAGTTCCACGCCGCGTACCAGCCAAAAGCACCGGTGGGTGTAAACGATTTATTGAGCGATGGCCAGGTCAGCGAGACGATGAAGTTGAAACCCCACGTTGTGGCCGTTGCGAAGGACATGCCGATGTCTCGGATGTAGAGGGGCTGACACTATCAGTATAGACTGCGATAGTGATTGAAGGAAAGACTTACGAAAGCTTCTGCAGAGTAGGTGAATGGGACCGGCCCTTCACCGGGCGAGTACACAATCATGAAGAGGTATATGCCAGTCGCGACGCAGGCCGTCCGAGATGTTTGATCGGGTATGTAGAAGGAGAAGCCGGTGAAGAGCAGGAAAATACACATTAGGGGGAATGTGGTCAGCAGTAGATTCCGTCGTCCAAAGGTGTCGATCGTGTATACGGCTGGCAGGGCGAAGATCCAATTGGTGATGCCGCATCCGAGGGACGTGACGAGTGCCATACGGGTGTCAAAACCGGCTTCCCGGAACATTGACGAGGAATAGTACATGATTGCATTGACGCCACAGAACTACGACAGTTAGATCCTGACTATGGGGTGAGAAGAAGTTGACTTGCCTGCTGCATGAACATGACGAAGAAAGACGACTGCGCCGCACGTCGGTTCCGCGGAATGGTGAACATCTCGCGGAACAAATGCTTGCCCTCGCGGAGCTTCTCCTCCACCTTTAGAGCAGCATGAATATAGTACAGGTCTCTCGCGGCTTGGAACGTTGAAGGGCGGAATTTGCAGAGCGCCTTGTACGCATCGTGGTAGCGGTTGCGCATCATGTACCATCTAGGCGACTCGGGACAAAAGTAGACCTGCATGCAGACGAAGAATGGACTGATTCAAGGTCGTCAGCACATGTACATGCAATACAATGGCCTACTTACGGAATGGCGGTCGACCCTAGCATCAGTCGCCAGTTGAAGCCAGGGATCGTGGGATGCGACACATCCATAAACGCAACCGAGGCAATATATCCCAGCATAATGCCAAATGCCGTCCACATCTGCCACATCATAACCAGAGCGCCGCGGATATTGGCCGGGGAGCACTCTGCGCCATACACCGGGGTGGTTGTGGATTTGGCGCCCACCGCAAACCCGAGGAGGAAACGGCCGAGTAACAAATTCCACCAGGTATGCGCGGCCGCCATCCAAAACGAGGCAGCAAAGGAGATAAAGCATGAAATAAAGATGCATCCGCGGCGACCAAACCAGCGATTCAGGGGCGCCGTGGTCCAGCATCCGATGACGGCGGAGCAGAGATAGGGAGCCCCGTTGAGGAGGCCTTGCATCCAAGTGTCGGTGACGTTAAATTCAGCAAAGTAGAACCTGCCCTGTTTAGCATAGCTCAGATGGCGAATGTGAGAGTACCTACTCCTGCGCACCGTTGACAGCAGTCTGATCCATTCCCTGCACAATAGCAGATCCAGCACAGAGGACTGACAGGCTGGGTTAAATTGAAATCCCACAGGAGGATCGCGAGGAGACTTACTGGTCATGAAATACATCATAAACGGCTGACTCCACCGATGCGTCTTTTCCCGTCGAAGTAGTTCTTTCTCACTCTCCGTAAGCTCGTTCATCTGCTCAAACCCTCTTGGATCCTGCGCGACAAGAGCACCCTTTCGTAGATCATCGAGGATATGCTCGAGATCTTTCTCCTTCGCGAAAGCCTCGACGTCATTCAGGAGCTGTTCTCGACTCAACGCGGCAAGAGGATTCTTAAGTTTAGTGTTGGTGGTGGTGCTTTTGTCCATATCGCGAGCCCACTCTCGAGCAGTAGCTGCATCTCCCTCTTGCTTCTCAATAGATATAGAAGACTCATGGTGGGAGAGACTTGGAGCCTCAGGGTCGGAGGTCTTCTCCCCCATAGTGACAGACAATCAGCAGAAGTTCAGGACGAAGTGGGTATGCTTCGCAGAATATCAGCCGACGAAAACAAACGCGGAGTATTCTTGGAGAGATCTGGGGAAGAGACGGGGGATGTGGAGGTCGGCTTTTATGGTTTCGATCGCTTAGACCTCCCCAACTAGCCGAGAAACGGCCCCTCAGGCTAGTACCCTCTCCTGCTCGATGTGTGGATTCATTGTCTCTAACTCAGTCTAGATCCAGTATCTCTCCGCTGACCGAAAGCCCTCCGAGCCAAGACCGGCGGGGTCAGAACAAAGAGCTGGATGGCGTAGATGGCTGACTACCGGCGTCTTTGGCGTGGTGACCAGGCAGCTCATCATGCGAGCCAGGGAGTGCCAAGGCAAAAGAAGCAGGGCTGCAGCGGTACAATGACGACGACTAATCCCACACCTCTCATGGATGCAACGCTGAGGCGGCTTTGCTCGGTAGACCATGGCCGGAGGATGGCGTGATGCCAAGAAAATCAGATTCTAATGTCCAGGCATGGGTTTCTGGCCCTTCGGGATGCCTGTTATCTCAATGTCCGTGCTATCACAGAGACATAATGTAGTAGAAGTGGGAGGGATCGGCATGAGCAGACCTCGGCGTACTTGGCGCCGAGACCGGAACAGCCAGTGAGGGTGGAAGGGCCGGCGGAGGCCAAGCAGGGCGGTGCCCAAGATCGTCCACAATGATGCAGTTGCGTGGGGAGCCAAGAATCTGGGCGTGGACTGGTCTGAGCGGATGTACCAATGCGTAGTTGAATATGACATGATTGAAACAGTGCGAGAGATACACCTGATCACCCCGAAAATGTCCATGTAATGAAGTACTATACTCGGACGTCTAGGTCCAACAATGCAACCCCTAACGAAGGCATTTCTTAACGACATCGCAGGAATTGGGAAGGGCGCATTGTCTGAGAAATATGTTTGAGATATCGAACTTCATGTGCTAAAGTCGTTTGTGTGGCATTCGAGTAAGATGGAGTGCCAATTCACATGATATAGGCTAAGCTGCGTGTATTATCGAATTTAATGTTACAACAAATGATGAGATTGAGGAGATTATAGAGATTGTGCTCGTTATCGCGTTCATAAATAGTAAAAACTGTGCTGTCCTTCCGGATTTGCACCGCCTCGTAGGCCATTCTCGAAGCTGAAACAAAAAGTCTGCTACATACCAAGATGGGAAAGGCCATGTTGGTATAGTCACAGAGCGGAGAAATTGGACAATCACAGCCAAGCCTCTATAGTGAATACACCATGGGAGGTTCAAACACCAAAGTGGTGTGGGGTGGTCTACCGCCGTAGACAGGTTCTCGCATTTCGCAGCCATCGCTCAGCCTTGAACTCGTCGGGTTGAGGGAAGATCTCCTCGTCGACGTGGAGCAGACAGTTGTCTATAACCTAATCAACTTCTGCGTTGAGGAAGAGTATGAGCAAATAGGCTCGAATCCAAGGAAAGAGATAACTTCCCCCACCTGAGATATGATAAGAACCCGCTTGCAATCCCTCGGGAGGAACCCCACGGGGCAGTGGCCCAGGAAGTGCTGCCCAGATCCGATGCGCCTCCTTGATGATTCCATTCTCTTTGAGGTTCTTAGAGGTCCATCGTTCCGACTCATCCAGCTCGTCTTTGACTTCTTTTCTACCACTGGATTCCGAAGGATGTAGTACAATGTTGCTGCCAGCGTTATGCCTTCTAAATTTACCCCAGTTGCCTGCTGATGTGCCTGTGATTGGACGACTCACACTTAGGAATCACGACAGTACATTGTTAAGGTTTGTGGTCATTTCAACTGTCAAAATGGTATTGCTTAGGTTGGATTTATGTGTTGGGTGATACTTCCCAGAGCTAGTTCGATATATCGGAACAATACTGGTGTATCATGTTCGGGAGGAGCGGTGGTAATCCAGAGTATGTATGCAATAGCCAACTGGTGTTTCCTTTGACACCGGAAATCTCATGCGACGATATTCAATGCGTTTCTCTAGGTATCCCGGATCCAGACGTTCGTCTTGTCCGTAACCCATCCGCGGGTTGCTTTTGTCTGCGGAAACTTACATGCCATGGAACAAAAATGGTAAGCTCTAATCAGCATCCGCTCCCTCACATTTGCACCCATTTACCAATCTATCGCTAGTTATTTGGAACTCTGCCTGCCGAAAGGGAAGGAGACGCATTGTCGACGACACTTGATACCAGGCCATGGGATCTGAGATACCGCAAACGTGCTTTCATACTTAGGACCTGAGCCCCGTCTTCTCCCGGTTGAGCGAATGACAGATCGTGGGGTAACAAAGAAAAGCTTATCCTGAATGCCATTACCCATACCTTGGCTGGTTGACATGCGGGGTCCCCAGAAAGCCCCAGCTCCATTCGAGCATAAATGAAGCTCGATCCCTTGAAGTCGAGCATCCTAAGACCTATCTCTTCATTTATGTGATCAGTCCTCTACAACAAGCAAGATGCTCAGAGGAAAATCGCTTCGTGTGGCCCAACTGCTTCTCACAGTTGTGCCGGCCTTCATCACCTACGGATATAATCAAGCGGGATTGGGACCGCTGGCTACTTTGCAGTCATGGTATTGGCGCCAGCAGAATCAAAATGAATAGAATCCAGAGGCTGACAAATGCAAGGGTACATGTATTCCCCGAAATCGACACGATCAACACCAGCGGTGAGCTCAAGGCCGAACACTCGACCAAAAAGGGGGCAGTCATCGCGTCTCTGCAGCTCGGGGCGCTCGTGGGCGCCCTCTCGTGCATTTCCTTTGGTGACCGGCTTGGCCGGCGCAAGACCATCTTTCTGGCTGCCATCATCGTCATTATCGGCCAGCTGTTGCAGACCTCATCGTACGGCATCATTCAGTTTGCCCTGGGCCGGGTGATTCTCGGCATTGGGGTCGGGCAGCTGAGTGCCACAGTCCCAGTGTTCCAGGCCGAATGTAGCTCGGCGAAGCATCGTGGGCAGCATGTCGTTGTTGACGGCATCTGCATGACTCTGGGGTTTGTGCTGTGCAACTGGATCGACTTTGGCTTCAGCAAGACATCGGGTGAAACTCAATGGCGCGTCCCGCTGGCCCTGTCCTTTCTCTTCCCGCTGACTATTCTGGGGACGGTCTTTCTGCTGCCTGAATCGCCGCGCTGGCTTGTGCTGGTCGCCCGCCGCGATGAGGCGGCCCACAGCCTTGCAGCCTACAAGGGCCTCAGAGTGGACGATGAGGCCATCCAGACAGAGATTGCGAGCATCGAGTCGTCGTTGGAAATTACCGAGCAGTCCAGCCGTCTCACCCTGCGGGAGCTGTGCCTCGGAGAGGATGACGATCGCCTTCTGTACCGGTTCGGCCTGTGCATGCTCATCCAGTTCTTCCAGCAGATGTGTGGCGGCAATCTGATCTCCACTTACATCTCGACCATCTTCGAACAAAACCTCAAGCTGGGCAAGGACCTCTCGCGGATCCTCGCCGCCAGCGCATTAACGTGGAAAACGCTGTGCAATTTCATCCCCTTCTTCGCCATCGACCGCCTCGGCCGGCGCAAGCTCTTCATGTTCAGCGGGACGGGAATGAGCGCGTGTATGATCGTGCTAGCCGTGACGACCAGCTTCGGCTCCCGGGACCGATCTCTCTCAATCGTCTCGGCGGCAATCATCTGGCTGTTCAACTTCTTCTACCCCATTGGCTTCTCCGGGGCCAATTTCGTGTACTGCACCGAGGTGGCGCCCGTGCGGTTGCGCGTCGCCATGGCCTCGGCGTCCACTGCAAACAAGTGGTTATGGAACTTCATCGTAGTCATGATCACGCCTGTGGCGCTCGATACAATCGGTTACCGGTATTATATTGTCTTTGCGGTGATTTCGGCTTGCATCCCTGTTGCGGTGTTCTTCTTCTATCCGGAGACGATGGGCCGCAACCTGGAGGCTATGAATCAGGTCTTCCGCGATGCGCCGTCGGTGTGGCATATTGTGGCAATGGCAAGAAGGCTTCCGCAAGGAGATGTGGCTGGGTTTGATATGCAGACTGGGGAGGAGAAGATTCTGGTGGAGCAGAAGGAACATGCATGATTAAAGCATTTTTTTCATTTGCCTAAAACCTTTTCGCTATAGTGAGTGCGTAGCTATAATGAAAACATGCAACCAGAACCTGTCAGATGAAGTAGCCATCCAAATGTCTTTGTATCCCTCATTTTTAGTCTAAGTAAACGAGGCTTAAGCCTTTAGAAGCAGATACCTCAAAAGTGCATTATGGTGTTCTTATTCTACTTTGGTATCCGCATCTTGCCTTCGACCTGAATAGTGTAGATACAGTGCTTCGCGCTAAAAAGAAAAAGAGAGGCCGAGAAGCAGCAACACGGAACCTTGGTGACTATCGAGAGTGAATGATTCTGTGTTCGAGATATGATACAAGTACCACTGTATCCTATGCACCCGGGACTTTTCACCACCAAGATGGTCACTTCCTGTGATCGTTTCAGCAGGCGTAATTTGCGCTAAGGACATCTGCTTCTTCGCGGGCTCGAAGAGGTGAGGCAAACTCTTCATTGTGAATTCCGTGGAACGGTATCCACGACACCCAATGGCGGTTCGACGGAACATAACTTGCCGCGGAATAAGCACCGTTGTCTGTACCATCTGCCGAAAGAAGTATGCAACATGACGGTTAGTATAGCTGGTTGGAACAACAGTATTGGCTAGTGATATATAGTGAGGCATAGATGTTAATTCATAGAATGCCAAACGCAGTTCAAGTTCAATTCACAGATGCAAATTACCCGTACCCTGCGCTCAATCATGTCACCAGCCTACGCCATATCACCCGTGGAGTACAGTCCTGTCAAAGCCCTCAAATATGCCCCCCCGTCCAGTAGAAAGACCTTGCCCGCTGTGTGGATGCGATCAGGCACATCAAAGGGTCTATTCCTCCACCGGCATCATCTCCCAGCGTCCACCCACCTCTGGGAGCCGATCCTGCTGTCAGCCATGGGGTCCTCGCAAGGCGATGGCCGGCAGATCGACGGCGTGGGCGGTGCATCGTCGACGACGTCCAAGGTTGCCGTAGTGGAGAGATCAAGCCGCCCGAACGTCGACGTGGAGTATACATTTGTCCAGGTGGCGCCTGACCAGCCGCGTATAGACATGACAGGGAACTGCGGCAACATCGCCGCTGGTGTGGGCCCATTTGCCCTGGACGAGGGGATTGTGCGGGCCGCACCGGGACAGAAAGAGGTTAGTAAGTCCCTGCTATGTCGCCCTTGGTTCAGCGTTCACAACTGATCTCTGCTATCCAAGATCGACATTCGAACGTACAACACCAACACCAGACAACTTATAGTGGAAACCGTCCAGATTGCCCCGGACGGTACCTTCCAAGAAGAGGGCGAGTACCGCATCCCCGGAGTGGCGGGCACATCCAGCCCGATCAGGCTGGCCTTCCTACGCCCCGGAGGCAGCATGACGGGCCGGCTCTTCCCAAGCGGCGCGCAGCAGGAGATGTTGACCGTCCAGTCGCGCGCTATGGGGACGTTCACCGTGCGAGTCAGCCTGGTTGATGCTGCGAACCCGTTTGTTCTCGTCGACGCAGCGTCACTGCCAATACCTGATCAGGACCGTCGTCCCGACGACCCAGTGTTCCTGTCCGTGATCGAGGACATCCGCCGGGAAGGCGCTGTGCAGTTCGGGCTGGCTGCCGATGTGGAGGCGGCGGGCACGGTGCGCGGGACTCCCAAGATCGCACTGTTATCCTCTGCGACGGCGGAGGATGACGAGGCAGATCTCCGTGTTCTGGCATTCACCATGGGAAAGGCCCATGCGAGTCTGCAGTTGACGGGAGCGGTGTGTGTGGGTGCAGCCACGGTCATCCACGGGACGATTGCGTGGGAGTTGGCGCAGAAGGGGAAAAGGGACACACGGCCGAAGCATGGGATGTCAGTGGGCAATCACCAGATTGCGCCTCCGTTGTCAGTGGGCATTCGACATCCGGCTGGAGTGATCCATGTGGAGGCTGTGTTGGGGATGGACCATACAGGTGAGGTTAGTGTTGATAATGTAGCTGTCTTCCGGACGGCGCGGCGGCTTTTTGAGGGGAATGTGTACTATCGTGTTTAAAGTAATTTATAGAAGGCATGCATATCACCAAGGAAAAGCTGTCCATACAGGTCGAGGGCGTACAATGGTACTGGACTTAAGAGGGTGTTGTACGACAATAGTAGAATATTTTGGGGAAAATTATTTTACAACACCTGTGACTGACTGATAATATCTAAGAATTAATCGCCAAATAGATTGTCCTGGGGAGATCCATTAAACCCAAACAGCATATCATCGAATGGCACATAAGACATTGAGTCAGGAGCAGTGGAAGGCATAGATAGAGTCGAAGCACCCTGGTGAGCCGCGTGAGGCACAGCAGAGCCGAAAAAGGGCTCAACGCTTTCATAAAAGGGCTGCTCGTCGGCGGGTCTGGGCTGCGTGCGAATAAAGCTTTGAATGATCATATCAATGTCCAGTTCAGACACCTCGATATCTGGCGGAGGCTCTCGACTACCAGCACCTTCCAGTCCGAGAGGTCTGCCGCATGAGGAGTCACCCAGGTTCCGGGACTGCTCGACCATGCTTCGCTCCGCCTCGGCGGGCACGGCGGGGTGAGGGTCCAAGTGAACGCCCATGCGCTCCATCAGGTGCAGGATAACATTGTGAGCTCGTCGCACGGCCCAGTTGGTCTCTTCGTTTTTCTGGAAGATGTCCAGACAAGTGCGGAGACTGGAATGGGCTCGACTGGCACCTTCACGCTGCGCCGCCACTCGCACAAAGATCGTCGCCGCAACGTAGGTGGCGTATGAGATTAGGTACGGCGCTCGTCGGATAGAAAAGGTGTGATCATAGGCCTGGAGTAAATGCAGGATACTGGATGCCGCGGCCGTGCAGGTGGTGAAGGAACTCAGGGCAACCGACGGGTCTGCGGTGTGAAGATGACCTTCGGAGACAAAGGGTCGGTGGAGAAGGATAACCAAGACGTTGTACAGCGCCAGCAGCGAGAGGACATGAGGCGGCGGTACCGCACCGGTGGTCTCGTTGTCGAACCGTAAGTGATCTGGCAGGGCGGCATTCCAGTTCTTGAGTTGCACGTCCAGTGAGTTGAGCGTCGCGATGAGATCCTGCGGTGACCGGTTGGAGCTTCTTTCCGAGTAGACCTTGTTGAGGATCTCATTCAGGATGAGCGACAGCTTGCAGAGCTGGGTGAATGTCGACACACTGTAGGCTGGAGACCCCGGATATGACTGCACATCGGAATACGCAAACGGCTGCCACGGCTCGAGCTCCTCGAAATGGTCCAGGAAAGACAGCTGAACCTTGGTGTCGAAGTGCTGGAGGCTGGCCGGTCGCCCTTGATACAACGACTGAATCTTATCGACCACAAAGGCACCCCAGAAGACGCGCCGACGGATCTCGAGATCCTCGCCGGAGAGCCGGCGCATGTTGGGAAGCAGCGTCGCATCCACATGCATCCCGAGATCGATGATCATTCGAAACGCAGTCCCGGCATACAGCCATGCGGCACTACGCTCGTCCCCCAATGCAAAAAGAGAGCTCGTCATGACCAGCAAGGCTTGAATTGTGGTGATCTCACTCCGATCCAAAGCACTGCCCAGCAGTTCCTTGACCCTCATCCGAAAGGTCCACCCGGCCGTCCGCGCATCGTCCGGATCCTTCCGGACCTCTGGCCGGTTGCTGAACTTTGATGCTCCAAAGTAGATGGCGTTAAGCAGTAATTTGGAAAAGTAGGGACCATTGGTGGCCATGTCGCGCATGAAAGCTGGGCGGTAGGTGATCAGAAAGGAGTGGTGCTGCCGATTCCAGTGGAGGGATAGCAAATGCATTCCTAGCTCCGGGTCGACGCCATCAAAGTCTAGCTTTCCTTGTCGAAAGTTCAATTCCTCCAGTTGCCCTATACTTGGTAAGTAACTCACTCCTCATGATCCAGCGAGCGCCCAGACATACTCTGATAAGCCGCTTCCCCCATGAGCTGCTTGCGAATGGGCTCCACTGGGCCTGAGTAATCGGCCAGCTGCATCTGGCTGTGCCGGCTCATCCGGGCATCATCAAACAGGGTACTAGTTAGGCCATGATAGCTGGAATCCCCGTTGGCCGAAACAAACATGCCCGAGACCACCGACTGGGGATGGCCTCGTTTGTCGACGTCGGACTGTTCCTGGACCTCTGCGCTGGGCTGAACTGCATCCTGTCGCGGAGCATCCCCTAGCCGTTCTCGAAGCTTCTCATTTTCGGCCAGCAGCCGAGCAATGCGGGCATTGGACGGCCTTCCAAGTTTAGTGCCGATTTTCTTCTGTTAAGTTGAACGGGTGTACTGATGCGTACCTTGGCCGCGGGGAACCCGTCATGTAGACACATTCTTTTCCATATCCCTGGCAGTTGGAGCAGGTCGGTTTCTCGTCGCAGCGCAACTGGAGAATGACGTTAGCAGCATGTCGCAATCAGCCCAGCCGGATTTCGCAAGGTCAGTCACCTTTCTGCGCCGACAGAACGAGCAGGCCTTGGCGGCCCTTCGAGAACGGGACGGACGACTTCTTTCCATGGCTTGAAATTTCGCTGGAGTTCTCGAGGAAGAAGATGAGGGGATGAAATCTGGTCAGAGTCAACCGATCGTTGTGTTCCGCGGCAAGTTTCCTTCCGTCTGTGCCGCCACCACTGCCGCTTATAAGATAAGGTTATAAGAGGGAATGTAATCCGGCCACAGGATTGGACAACATCGCTCAAGCAATGACTCAGCCCGTGCGAGACCAGCCACAAAAGGTGGGTTTATCCTATTATAGTATTACTAAGGAGCCAGAAATACTAATTCTTCTCAGCATCACCCCCCGCAGTGGGTCTCCTTGATTGCCGGCGGAGTGGCCGGGGGCACAGAGGCAGCAGTCACAGTAAGTTATATCTATATCTACAGCGCAGTGATCTGATTCCAGCGTATAATGACTGACACATTCAGTATCCATTTGAATATGCCAAAACTCGAGTCCAACTCCTGCAGACCCGCACGGCTGTCACTTCTTCAAATCCACTGCGGCTGATCTTCAGGGTTGCTCAACATGAAGGCGTTGGTGCTTTGTATACCGGCTGCTCCACGCTCATCATGGTGAATTCCAGCATTTATCTGCTCCTGTCACTAGTGCTAATGGTTTGCAGGGCACCACCGCCAAAGCCGCAGTAAGATTCCTTTCCTACGACACCATCAAAAGTTCGTTATCCGATGAGCGGGGGTCACTCTCGCCAGCACGGGGCATCCTCGCCGGTGTCGTCGCAGGCGCAACAGAGAGTGTAATTGCAGTCACTCCGACAGAGAGAATCAAGACCGCATTGTGCGTAGCCATTCCTAACCCCTCGCCCTAACAGACCTGAGGAACCTTGCTGATCCAGGCGCAAGAGTCGACGATGCAAAGCACGCGAAACAATTCCGGTCAAGTATGCACGCGGTGCAGGTGCTCGTTCGAGCCCATGGGTTCACGGAACTATACCGCGGCCTGATCCCCACGACACTCAAACAATCAGCCACCTCGGCAGTGCGGATGGGGACCTACAATATCCTAAAGGAGGTGGCCAAGGCACAGGGATTGGCCCAGGGCGTCTTCACGACTTTTGCAATGGGTGCCGTTGCGGGGGTCGTCACGGTCTACGCCACGCAGCCTTTCGATACCGTCAAGACACGCGCGCAGGGCGTCCAGGGCGCAGGCCTCGTGGAAGCAGTTCAGAGCGTGTACTACGAGCATGGAGTCCGGGGGTTCTGGAAGGGCAGTACGATGCGGCTGGGGAGGCTATTGCTCAGCGGCGGCATTGTCTTTTCCATATATGAGCAGATGACACTAGTTCTTTCTGGTGTGGCATACCAATAGCCGGCACCATTTTAAGTGCTACTGGAATGTAGAGAACTAATAGATACATACTACAGAGACTATTACTACAGTTTTGCTCCATCCATTCCAGTAACAATTTTGGAATCTAATATCCTAGCAGCATACCTGTAGTTATAGTTGCTAGGCGCATATCATTCGTAGTAAGGCTCTTGGATTAATCAGTCTATATCTAGTAGTGCAAGTTTCGTATTTAAAAATAAGCCCGACGTAGCCTAAGACCAACGGCCACACATAGCATGTTACCCACGGAGAGACTTGAGCTCTCTCTGGGACCTGCTCGCAAAAACAGCAAGGACTTCACAATCTCATCAACCAGCTCCTTAGCCGTACTCCGCGACATGACCTGCTCACTGGTACAAATAACCACCTGCAGCGACGACCCTTGAGGTGTTGACATGATCCACAAACCCAAAGGAGGAATGAAAGGGGCCCACGCACAGGCTGTAATTCCGGCATCGGGCAGGGCCAGTTTTCGGGCCTGGTTTACATTCTGATGCTGGACGACTCATGGCAGCCGGGTTTCCTGGGGCCAGTTGGAGCAGTGGCGCACGATGTCGGAAAAGTCCATGAAGACGTAGCTCAGTGTTGTACTGCTTTGCTGCTGCACGTGCTTCAGGGGGTCCATTATGGTCGACGCCGGAGGGAGTGTCACGCGGAAGGGGATGAAATTGAGACAGACGCCTAGGACGGTGTCGATGCCGGGGACGGCAATGCTGCGACCGGTTATCGTCTGGCCCAGGATCAGGTCGGTTGGGCTGCCGTGTCGATGCATCGCCCAGGCTGTTGCTGCTTCGACGAGATTGGCCGTGGTGATTCCTCGGGGCGGATTCGGCATGGGAATGTTCTGAGCAGCGGCGATGCGTGCGGCGCTAGAGGCGGAATTCTCTAACGATGCAGAAGGTGCAAGAGGTGAAGCAGAGGGCCTAAATGGTAGACGTTGCACCCTGAAATGGTGTAGATAGTTGCGCCAAAAGCAAAAGGTAGGGCCATGGTCGTGGAGAGCGCGGTAGTGCATGTAAGAGCAAAAGTCCAGGGTTTGGGAGAGAGGGGGCCGGAATACGCCATGCTGAGATCTTTCGACAAAACAGGTATGGACACCCCATCGTACTGGGTGTGAGATAGCGCATGATGAAGACATGCCTCGTTGGAGATTGAGACACGAGGGTAAAGTGGAGGGGCACTTGATTCACTGTTGATCCGATGGCGCAGTTACCCTCCCAGACAGAGTCACAGTACATGGAGAGATCCTTCTCGGCCTTCTCTGTGTGGAAGGAAAGCTTGGGGGACTGCATCATGGCCTGGACGATCATGTCTCCTGCTCGCACAAACACTGTTTTCAGGATGCTGTGGTGTGCTACAGCAGCTTTACACACATCATAGAGGTAATCCACGTCCACTTGCCCTTGTACGAAATTGCAGTGGTGCACCGGAGTCTATTGGGTTAAAAAGAAGGACTGACCTCAGTCACAGGTCGAATATCAGTAATCTGGAATTCCTGGGCCAGCAGCCCTGTCTCCATGAGCTGGCGCGCCACCTTAGTATGAGTAGTTTCTGTTACAAGAGAAAATGGTGTGATGCTGGGGTGATGAGAATCATCTTCAGTCCCAGAGGCTGGATGGTGATGTGTGACGCCAGGGTAGACAGCCGGCGACTCTTAAGGATATCCGACACGGCTAGCGCGAGACCTTGAGCCCGTGCTGCGGCGCCAGGTGCATGGCACTGATTGAGTCGCTGCCCAGATGGAAAAAAATCGTCATCGAGACCAATCTCCGCCGGGCCAGACGCAGAACCCGTGCACAGAGGGACTGCAGAGTCGATTCCGTGGGCCCGCTCGGAGGCCTTCTTGTTCACAACATGGGAAATCCGGAATTGATCCAGGTCGGTCTTGCGTATCTCGCAACGGTCGCACACAGTTGCCGCCAACCAACCTTGCCCGTCATTATCCGGGGGAGGCGGGTCAGTCGAAGAAAGAGAGAGGGTATCATGAAGCGAGGAATCCAATCATGGAGCTTGACAATGGCGTCTGCGACCTGGCTCTGGAGGTCGGCAGTAGGCGAGGCAATGAGAGGTGAATTCTCTGTCTCCAGAGGCTCCTCATGGACACCCTCCTCCTTCACAAGGTGGACGAATGCGACCAGGACCATGTTGTCAGGATCTTCATTTGGAGTAACAAGCTCCACGATGACCGAAAGCTCAGACCCCAAGACGGACTGTACATGGGTTTCCACCTCACCGAGCTCGATGCGTTGTCCATGGAGCTTGACCTGAGAACCCTTGCGGCCAATGTAAACCAGCGATCCATCCAGATTGTACCGCATCAGGTCTCCAGAGCGATAGACTCGGCGATTCCCGCCCCGGGGGCCCCGAGCCTCTGTGACAAAGGCAGGATCCGACAGGAATACCTTTTCCGTTCCCACCGCATTAGTCAAATATCCAGGCCCAACCATCGGCTCCTCTAACAGGAGCTCACCAACAGCCCCGATGGGGACGAGCCGGTGATGTCGGAAATAAAACTTAGGGAAGCGGCATCCGGTGCGCGAGACACGCTGAGGATCTCGCTGAGCAACGCTCTGCCGAGTTTTCCTAGCCGCAGAGTGAGAGAAGCTCGATTTGTGCCATGTGCGGAATGTAGTGAAAAGCGTACTGCAACCGAGGATGGCAATTCGGAGTCCATCTCTCCCATTGTAAATCAGCGTCTATCGTTGCTGAGGGGGCCATTGTAGGGAGTTAGTCGTCGAGCTCGAGTCAGTAGCCAGCTTTCTGAAAATATCTACATCTTGAGATTCGCTTGTAAATAATGGCCAGTGACGTGGTCGTATCAGGGCGGGGAGGGGTCTCTCTAATCAGAGCGACCCTTGGCGATGCAAGCCCTGCATAACCGCTTCACTCACACCGCTCAAAAAAGGAGGCGAGATGAAGTGAGATCGACGCTAATGGTCTAACTAGCGGGGCAGGAAACTCATGGCTTGATGTCTTGCATTTTTAAAGCCGGTTGAGTCATTGAATCGTACGGGGGGTGTCGTGACGATTTGACCACTAATTAAGGCATATTCCTAAATCTGTTGATCTCACCAGGTGGTCAATATCATATTGATTTATATCACAAAATTCAATCCAACCGTCTTGTGGTTGCTGAGTATTAAGGCTGCGTTAGATATGTCGGTGTTTAGTATAAAGAGGTGTAGTAATATCTATTCGCGTCTGTAGAGAAAACATGATTATCGACTGCCACTCATTCAACTTCATCCATATCAAATGTTTACATCAAAATCGGAGGAATAATAATTTCCATGTATCTCCTGTAAAGCTTTATTTTCTCTAAGCATGTTGGACAGGCCGGGTTCCCAACCAAGTAAGGGACTTAGCCACAGATGCTGACCTCTAGCGACTCTAGATTTAGGAATACTATAATAACAACATTTAACCACTACACGAGGATAGTAATGAAAGTCTAGAAAGTCACTGTGACTATAGTGGTCAGATAAGACAGTTACACTCCTGCAGGGGTTTAATTTCGCCATCACCAGGGACGGGCTGTTGCAGGCATCTAACTAGGCATCATTCAAGACTAGGAGGTGGCACAGACAAAAATAATTCACAATGCTTAAGAACACCACTAGTTCAGCTCTACTCTTGGTGCTGCCGTATTAACCACCTTCAGATCTGGGCGTTCCTGTAATATTGCGTCGCACCTAATGTGATACGGTCCTTCTCGACGAATAATGTCCTTTCCAGACCCTTGAATATAGCGATCAACCCGAGTCTTTCCTTTCGTGCCTGGACACTGTCATCCTGCGCTCCGTGGGCGGCCAACGTCTTAGCAGCCGGTTCTTGGTAACCCTGCTAGTCCTACTGATCAGTATCTACTGGGTAGACGGATAGGGCGACATGTTATACGCACAATGGCACTGAAGTCAACATCCCGCCTGTCAGAGATGCATTCAAGGCTACACTGGAGAGTTACCGAGGCTGCGAATATTTGGAGACTACGCCGTAAACCGGAATTTCTCTATTCACGTCATCGAGTTAGATGGCCGTGATCGTACCAATACATGATATGACCAGGTTCTTGGGATCTTGAACCAGTAGTATGGCTTCTCTTCTCCTGAGTATCGTCTATCTAATATTTAGACTACCATCCCTCTACAGTTTTCTTAGATTACATCCCACGGTATCGCGCTAGCTCGACATGCAATCCTTCAACGGATTCATAGAGTTCGTGGCCAAGAATCTGAAAAGTTGGATCACAGAAGTGACAATCAGGACTAAGGTGGCCAGCCGCAGAGACAGTAATACATACAATTGGGGTAGATTTTGCACCACAACATCATCCTTGTGCATATGACTTGCATGGGAAGGCGAGCTGCATCCCAAGCGGCGACAAGCATATTATCCACCTATCGGATATAAGACAAGCGCTTCTTCTCGGGGGTTGTGCAGACGATCTTGCAGGCAATGTCCGATGCATCAGGCAATCCTCATTGAAGATCAGGGGAATGCTGACGAAATGGGAGGGAAATCGTGGGCAAGGAAGGCACCAAAGCAAAGCTTTCTCTCTTCTCAGTCTCTCCAAGTCTCCAAAATTTGCAGGATAAGTGGGTCCCGAGAGAGCTTCCTATCTACATTTAGCTTTCTACTAGCTTCAAGGCTACCAAGGATGTTTCCCGGTTTTCCAGCGATTCTCTCAGTCTACGGAGTGCGTGATACGGAGTAGGTAGATAAAGTGGAGCATGGATTGTGGAACTGGACCGTGGGCAGAAACGAACGATCAGAATTCCAAATAACAATGAAACTAGTCTGTGATTAGTGGGGCGAGGCATGAACTAGCACATCTCGACCCCCACGGTGGAAGACTGGAAAACCAATGGCACGAAGCAGTTCGGGTGATCGTCCTGGGCGATTCCCAGCAAAGGCAATAGATCGATATTCAGGCACAGCCCGCTATGAGGCGAGAGAACGTGGCCGCCTTTCGCAGTCTCGTTGCTACGCTCGGCCTTTGGGTTGTATGTTCAGTATCTAATCTTGTAATGTCGCCATCTCCCCCCCGATATATGCCCCCATCAACGCCGATCGACCCAGCTTTGTATTAGTACCGTGTATACCGGCAAAGTTTGTTTAACAATGAGTTTCACGACCCTGCGTTGTATCCGCCTACCGTTTGTTCGGACTAATATCGACAGCCGTCCCAGCTCTACCTTCTCCTTTCTTTCCACCATGTCATTCACTCAGTCAGTCACTCATTTTCCTTGATCCTTTGTTTTAACCAGCCTGGTCAATATGGGGTCAGAACTGGGAGTCACGCCCGACTCGAAGCCGGAGCCTGTATACAGCCCGGTAAGCATTTGGTGGGCCACCTGGGCGGGCGTTTGGACAGTCCTCGTCGCCAGTGGCATGGCCTATCTCATCGTTCGTCGGGACACTCCTATTCTGCGCATCAGAGGCCTCGGCCTGTCGCTCTCTGCTATCGTTCTCCTTCATTTGTATTACGCCCCTGTCCAGTTCGGCACCATGATCGGCCCCATCATGCCAGGAGATGCTCAATTTTGGATCATGGGTACTTTTCTGCCCTGCGGGATCGCTCTCTTTCACGCGTCCAACAGTCGTTTCCTTTACGTCGCAAAACTCCAGGAGAAATACGTCTATAACGATCGTCGACTCATCGATTTCGGTCCAAACCAAAGGAAAAGCGGCCTGATCGGCCGCTTCAAGCGTCTCGATTACAATACCAGGATCCTTGCTCTTGTTGGAATTGGCATGATTGGCCAGATCCTGCTCACTATCATCATGTGGTTGATTTCGCGCAAGTGGCATCCCACTTGGGGAATTCCGGGCACAGAGGTTACCGGACCCAAAATGGCCCAGTTATCGGCGATGGGTCGAGGTTGGGAGTGGTATGAAGCACCAGAATGGTACAGTATGCGAGGGCTATGCTAACACCTTCTAGGTGGCCAAGTATCTTTTGGCAACTGTTTTGGGCCTGGATCTTTGCTCCTATTGTTCTCTGGAAATCTCGCAATATCCGCGATACCCATGGCTGGCGAGTTCAGACCATCGGCTGCGCCATAGCCAAGTGAGTACAGCACCAAAGCCGCGTATTCTCCTTCTAATTCACGTCGCGTGCAGTCTCCCCGGCGCTCCCCTGTGGCTCATTTCCCTCTACGTCCCTGCGTTCGACAAAGTCAACCAAGTCTGGCTGCCTCCACAGTGGTAGGTGCTTGAGCGAGTCGACCTTCCTCTCCAGTATGTCCCCTAATAAATTGTAGGGTATGTCTCTCGATCCTGGTCATGGAAATCTTCACCGTCTTCCTTCCCTGCTGGGAGGTAATGCGCCACCAGGCACTCCGCAAGGAGACCCTCGACGCCATCGCGCAGTGGGAGGAAAAGAACAAGAAAAACAGCTCAGCAAGTAAATCTCTTGCCGAGACGGCCACTCTGGTCGAATCCATCATGACCGGCGGCAAGTCCACCAACGGTTCCGTTCAGACCAACCACTCTCGCGACAGTATCCTGACCATGGGCGCTCTCGAGTATGCCCTGGAGCGAGACCCCGCTCCTCTCCAACGCTTCTCCGCCCTCAGCGACTTTTCCGGCGAGAACATCGCCTTTCTAACCAGTGTTACCGAATGGAAAAACTCCTTCCCCAAGGCGATCCGGGATCACACCGCCCCTCGCGACAGCAACACCGAGGACTTGATCCGCGAGCGATTCAACCGCGCGTTGCGCATCTACGCCGAGTTCATCAGCGTCACACACGCTGAGTTTCCCATCAACATCTCGTCCCAGGATCTCCGAAAGCTTCAAGACGTCTTTGAGCGGCCCGCTCGGATCCTGTACGGCGACGAGCGCGAGGTCGATCCCGCCACCCCCTTTGATTCATTCAAGCCACCCGCGTCGCCGACCTATTCAAATAACTCCCAGAAGGAGCTGCAGAGCTCCGTGGGCGCCATTCATGACCGCGTGCAATACTGGGGTGATGTTCCCGAGTCGTTCGGGCCGAACGTCTTTGACGATGCACAGGAGAGCATCAAGTACCTCGTTCTCACCAATACGTGGCCCAAGTTCGTCAAGACCCGGACGGCGTCGATAGATTCGGGCAAAACGATGCATGGGGTGAATGCCTGATTTTCTTTACTCTTTGACTTCTCAACCTTCGTTTTTACCTTCTTCTTACCTTCTCTTTCTTTTCTTTCATTTTATGTGTCATTTTTAATGAAGAAATATACCCTATTGATGGATGGCAAGGCCTATGTACATATACCAACCCGGTGGTGCGATGAACTAATCAACATAGTTATGGTAGCCCTTCAGGGCTACATATTTGAACCGATTCGTTTGCATGTAACTCTACAGTTCACGATGATATCATCCCCAAGTTTGACTGTAATCGCCGCTGCGTATGGACTCTTGTCCGTCTTCATATACGCCACACATACAAGGTACAAGGCTCTCTCCAAGGCAGATACACTTCAGGTGAGCAGGATGAACAATGGCAACAGTTTACAGAAAAGCAAAATAAGGCATTAAAAACATACAGTAACCTTGGAGAGGACGGTATATGAGTAAATCAGAAATCCGAGATCGTAAACTCAAATGCGATCAAGTAGCTAGCAGTCATCAGGCTGGCACCTGAGTAAAGTCTAGACCTCCAGCAGCGGGGGAAAGGGTCAGTCTACGTCGCCGCCCGTGGCGCGGGTCGTACCTATCTCAGATTCAGCATTGCAGAATACAGAGAACGATCAATTGGGCTGACTCAATCCCTGTGGGATTAGTGAGGTATAGCGACATTAACCTCGTCGTTCCGGTGGCCCGACGACAAGGCACGTTAGCTCAGGAGAGAGTCTAATAGGGCTATATCCATACTTGAACATGATAGATATATGATTGAGATATGCTGTGTTCAAAATCTATACAGAAATGCTGTTACTGATGCTTGAAATATACTGGACATTTGAATATTTTAAAAGACATCATGGATCCATTGTACATCCATCATAGTCTCAACTCATGGTCCTGCTGTAAGGTATCTACGTGGCCCAGTGGGCTTTGACAACGACAAGCTGTACAAACTCACTCAATACATGTCTAAAGCCTGCGGACTGTTATGTTAGTTGCGCCAATCTTCCCAGTAGGTGGGCAGTTATCTGCATCTGTCCATTTAACACGGGCCCAATCTTCTGACGTATAGTTTTCATAGCGACGTGCCCAAGCAAGGCGTTGAGTAGCATGGAGAGGTAAGAGCTCTGGACGAAGAAGCTGCCTCCATTTGCGGAGGCTCATTTCATGAAGAAGTCTCTGGATTGAACGCATCTTTACACAGAGGTCAACCTCTGCCAACATATCTCGTGACTTAATATGTGGTTCAGACTGACTACGATCATAGATATGATCATGTTGAGCTTCAGTAAGCTTTCGGGGTCTGCCAGAACGTGGGCGCGTCACATTGTCATTCCGGATAGATCCTCGACGAATAGTAGCCTTAATAGAACCAAGAGGGTTATCAGGATGCTTTTATGGATTCTAGAATGACTCCATCCAATACTATGAAGCTTACAGATACGTGCTCATATATGCGGAGTGAAATCGGATGGGGGGCTCGCCCGGGAAATACGTTTTAGTAAAGCCGAACGCCTCTTGGCTTCATTTTGATATTTGGTATCTATTACACCTATATATTGGGCATTACCACCCTACAATCCTACCATGATGTAACTACTCTAGGAAAAGGCTTAATACTAAGAGAAAGCTTCTAATAGAGTATACCTAACTCTTAGTTTATCTATTTTTCTAGACTGGAAATACCTATGCTAATTGGTTTTATTTCTTATAGTATATATTATTCTAAGTACATGCCGCATGCGGATTGATGGAGTAGATATCTTAGTAATCCTAGACTGTAGGGTAGGAATATATAAAGGATCCTGTGGCCTCTCTGTACCCTTATAGACTAGATTAGAGTATTCTTCTCTATCTTGTGTTTTACACTTTTCTATAACCAAGTCTTGTGTTAATACTATAATCTACTCTGACCCCTTAAAATTTCTCCTAACATGTCTTCCACCACAGACTATCAATATAAGGCTATTAAGGGAATGGGGCAGAAAGCACTCTTAGATGAGCTCCAAAGGAAGGAGCGCGCAGAAAATGATCGGCTAAAGAAGGCTTGTATTGCAGAATTGCGGCGTGAAACCTCAGATGTCAGGATACCTTCTGTGATAGCCCTCGTCTGCTCAGCTAACTAAGTTACTAGAATGTATGGTACTATGCAAATGACATACGAGAGCTTTTAGCAGCTTTCTATATTGCAGTGAGTAATAACATATCCCACGCATGCTGTGACATTACTATTAGATGGACTTGCTAACTCATTTAGGATGTCGATGATGACGGTAAGTAGAAGTCCCAGGGTTGATATATTGCTCAATTGCCTTGGAGATTGACAGCATGGCAGGCTGTCTTTCACCCTCTGAGCTGCTGGAGGCCATCCAACCAAAGGGCGAGGAGGGTGCCAAAGTCATGAAGGAAATTTTAAAGAATGCTGATATTGGTAAAGATCAGAAGTTCAGTCTTGCAGGTGAGTCTAATCTACTGTGTATCAGAACCACTACATAAACTGACCTGATAATCAGAATACTTCATCTTAGGCCTGCTCGCGACAGATCGTCGAGGGGGATACAACCTTCTTGGTAAAAGATTCTGATGAATCATGCCATTTCGCAGCATTGAAGGGTTGCCTGAGCACTCAAAATTGCCATTAGAGGGGCCATAATCTTCAGACCGCGTTGAAGATAGTATCTGTCTTCACTGGTCAAGAAAATAACCTGGATCTCAAGCAGTTTTTCACTACAGGAATCTTATGCGCTGGCATGAACAAATTCTGTTCTATAGTGGCCTTATTTGACAAAGAAGAATGAAATGCACAGTAGTAGATATGCAGTGAACAACAATTCTCAGGTATCTGTATCATTTCTACTGAATTATTTGTTTTCATTGCTGTCTTGATGTTCGTAGGACTAGAGCTGGCGATCGACAAGAGCTTGAACTGCATGGGCGACGTAATCAATCAATCAATCAATCAATTGTACGACATTTATTTCCTAATTTAGCTAGTCAGCTAGCCCATATTCTTTATGGATCTATTGATTGATCATAGCTAGATTTGATGAAGCAGACCGTCATACTCATACTACTAGTTGAACACGGATTTGGGCGACCCCAACATTTTTACGGTAGGTATCCACAACCCCGTCGTTTCTTCAAGGGTTGTTAGCAGCCTGAGGTCTTGTGGTCGCCAGTATGCTGAGCGTGATGTTAATACTTGAATGAGAGTTTGATTGATGCTTAACTGACAAGACATACTATTTCATTAAAGGTTTTCAGTATAATTAAACAGAAAAAGGACCTAGATGAGAAATATCTCCAAATATCAAAGCCATGGCTTTACTTGAGCACATAGATGACACCATGGGCACCTCATCAGCTATATTGGCGTGTGATGAGTCGCTTAAGAGTCCGAAGCACCTGCTTGCTCAACTTTGCGGAAACCTCGGAGGACGCCTAGGATAAAGAACTCTAACTGACAAGTTAGAAAATGGAACGGCTTGAGATGTTATAACTATTACCTGCAAGATTGAGCTTCTGGTCTTTGCCGACGTCGCAAGCCTCTACAAAGTTCCTCATCACTTGATAACTCTCTTCATCCTTATTTTTGAGAGTTTTCAACAGCTCAGAGGTCTCAAGACGTCCTAGCAAAGTCAATACACCTTGAGATATTCGGGTGTGGTCTTTTTACTCACCATCATTGTTAGTATCCTAAACGACATAGTGGTTCAATTCAGTATTCATGACCAGCTTTAGCTCAATGGAAGGTATGACTTCGACTCACAGCAATATAAAACCCCCCTAGAAGAGTTCGTAGTAATTTCAAATTATACCAAGCATCCTGGCAAAAATGTTAGCTGTGTATAGAAGATATTATAGAGAGTATCCTGACCTCTGAGGCCTCATGCTGCAGTTCTTCAAGGCAGGCCCTTTTCAGCTGATTATTTTCTGCGCGCTTCTTTTGCTGAAGCTCCTTTGAAAGTGCTTCTCGACCCATACCCATCAAAGCCAGAACTTGATTATCTTTGAGACCTGAAGACATATTAGGAGAAAATCTGAGAAATTTTAAGGGGTCAGAGTAGAAAACACAAGATAGACAAGAATATTATAATCTAATCTATAAGCATAAGGAGAGGCCACAGGATCCTTTATATGTTCGTACAGTCTAGGATTACTTAGATATCTACTCCATCAATCCGCATGCGGCATATACTTAGAATAATATATACTATAAGAAATAAAACCAATTAGCATAGGTATTTCCAGTCTAGAAAAATAGATAAACTAAGAGTTAGGTATACTCTATTAGAAGCTTTCTCTTAGTATTAAGCCTTTTCCTAGAGTAGTTACATCATGGTAGGATTGTAGGGTGGTAATGCCCAATATATAGGTGTAATAGATACCAATTATCTAAGGGAATTTAGGAAACCAAACAGCTGAATGGTTCAGCTTTGCTAATTGTGGAGGATTAATTCTACACGCCATCACATGCCTTTGTCTTATATTTTGATTATATAGCCATATAGGGCTAACTATCTTTATGTGAAGATCTTAACTCTAATTACTGAGGCAAAAGCCATCTCTGTATTACTATTGGTGCCTTAGGCACTAAAATGCCCTGACATCATTCTGATAGGGAGTCAATTTATCACTGTCGTCTATCAAGTCTCAGTAGTACGGTCTATGCTACTCTTCCACAATACATAATTGCTAAATAAATAAAGATAAGACACTAGGAATTCAAGTCAACCCGGGTCCAAGCCACGCTGAACAACTGCAACATTGCGAACAGAGAACATAGGGATTGGCATTCCCGAAAACGGAGGAATCAGTGGCGCGTCGCATTCAAAGGCAGACAATATAGCACTAGGCCTCGAAAGTGGAACAAGCTTCCTAAGCATAGAAGAAGGCTTTTCTTCCATTAAAGGCTCTGGGATATCTGCTTTATCTGAGGCCTCTTTCATGATTGAGCTCTCCGCGGCAATTACCTAGTTGGTCATGACAACGTTACTTTAGAACAAGGATCAAAATAGATTGGTGTATGCTCCTGATATCAAGGAGAAATCAGCTGCCTGCATAAAGCCTATCCTTCGCCGAATCGTAATTATTGGCCTTTAAGAGGTCGCCAAGGAAACCGAGGTTGCTACCGAAGTACTTTTGATACACATTCTTGCTGTGTTGGCTTTTGCATATTGTGTACACCCGAGCATTATTAATGTTACGTCAACAAGGCTAATTTGTAATTTTTTATTGCCTTTTTAAGCCATCTTCGACGGTCTTGGCCCGGCTAGGAAGGCGTAGGCCCTTGAGTAGCGTGCATTTCCCGTTCATTTTTTCGAGTCGTTTTGGTCCCAGCGTCAGCTCACGTCCACAGTTTAGAGGTCTCCCATCAAGTCGGACACCCGTGGAATGCAAACCGTTCAGGCGTCTCGCTTCGGGGAAATGAAAAGCTGTAGAGAAGATTTAAAGCTTGGGAGTGGTGTGACATGTACCAACGCTGAAGGCAGAGCCGTCTATCGCACCCTTCGGGACCGGTGAGACGCCTCGATCCTCATGGTAGCTCGTGCCTTGGCATTGAAGGTAAGTTGTTTTGCGAACCGCTGCCCTTCTTCCTGACTAAAGAAAGGTTACGAGTGTCTGCTTATGAAGGTTAATCTTGTACGGGGTGACATTACTACTTGAAATCTTATTCTTCACGACGAGGAAGGCAACCCATCCTGGCCGGCGTTCCTACGAATTCTGAGCACTTTTTATGATGCGAGATTCGATATCATCAATGTAAAATATCGGGATGATGATATCGAATCGATCGCCTCCCAGTTAGATGCTCCGGGAAATGAAACCCGAATCGCTTGCAAATCCATAATCACATGACTATGGACCTTTGAGGTATTTAAAGATAGACGGCTGCTCTGATCGAACTTAGCCTGTGGAAATTGCATAAGACTTTCTGCTCGAAATCATGGCCAGTAAAGGGGAACACGCTCTCATCTTCGGGGCCTCTGGTATCTCGGGGTGGTCCTTGATGAAGCAGTGCCTCTCATATCCTTCTCCGTCAACCTTCCGGCGTGTTACAGGCCTGTGCAATCGCCGTCTCGAAAAGGAAACCCTTTTGATTCCAAACGATAGTCGCCTCAGCATCGTTTCGGGCATCGACCTTACAGGATCTGTCGAGATAGTCATAGAACAGCTGAAGGCCAAGGTTGAAGACGTCGGGTCGGTTGATATTGTTTTCTTCTGCGGTAAGCCAGCGAAGCTTCCACCCTTCGAAGCATCCTTAGGTTGAAAGCAGCCGGTCTAAGTTTCTTCGCACAGCCTATATCCAAACATCCGATCACACGTCATTGCGAAAGGTCAACACGGACTTGCTCCGTACAGCAATCCAGGCAATCAGCGCCGTGGCGCCGAATCTCGAGGTAGTAATTCTTCAAACAGGTGGCAAAGGCTACGGTTTAGAATTCCCAGACAAGGTTCAAATCCAGCCCCCGCTACACGAAGATCTACCCCGAATCCCAGAGCCATGGAGAAGCAAAATCTTCTACTACGACCAATATGACCTGTTGATGGAGCTATCCAAGGAATCAAAGTGGACATTCTCTGAAATACGGCCAGACGGAATTGTTGGTTTTTCCCCTAGCTCCAATGCCATGAACATGGCACACGGCATAGCCTTCTACCTGACGCTCTATCGCGAGGTCCACGGTGCCGGAGCTTCAGTTCCGTTCCCCGGAAGACCGCATGGATATTACTCAACGCACTCCGATACATTCCAGGACATTCTTTCGCAGATGGAGATCTATGTTGCTCTACACCGGGAAAAGTGCGGCAATGGGTCGTCTTTCAATGCTGCGGATGGGAAGACTGTGAGCTGGGCCCAGGTTTGGCCTGGTCTCTGTGCGTATTTCGGCCTTGTTGGGTCTGAGCCACTGAACGGTCGTCAGACAAGTATGCAGGACTTTGTCAATAGACACATGGATCAGTGGAAGCGTCTTGCTGAGGCCCATGGGTTGAAAAGTGACACAGTTGAGAACCAGAACTGGGGCCATACGCACTTTATGCTGGTTGATTTTGACTTCAATAGAGAGTATTCATTGGAAAAAGCTAGGTCTGTTGGGTTTATGGAAAGTATTGACACTGTGGAGGGCTATAAGATCGTCTTCGATCGGATGGTTGATGCCAAATTGATTCCAGCGTTTCGTTGATTATACTCGAGAGAAGACTAGCAGCTTGATAGGTACATCAATGGACACAAATGAAAGATAAGAAATATGCGGTCGTTCCAAAGCCCCAGAAGCGATTGACTTTTGTCTCAGGGTTTCCTACTGAATCACGCGACTTCCCCCTCTATCACTTTTGGCCTCTCGCTCAGGTTCGCTGCATCAACCCACTCACTCGAGGCTTCTTCCTTTTCCGACATCCTTGCGCTAAGCGGCTGTAGACATAACAGCCGTAGACACATCGGAATGTTTCGTCTTGAAGGGTGTATCGATGTCTTGCAAAGACAAGCTCGCCGTCTCTTCATAAAAGAAGTAAACCATAGGAATGAAGGCAACGTTCAGCGCAGCATAGACAAGAGATAATTTTCTCAATGCCCACGGGTGTCATCAGCACCACATAGTCGCATATCCAATTCGCAGCTGTCGCAATTCCCGCTCCCCTATTCCGCCACTGCTGCGTATTCACCTCGGCAGGGTACATCCAAGGTATAGCAATCCAAGTCAGACCAAAGACGGCGTAGTAGCCAAATACAAACGCAATGGCAACAATAGATCAATTGTCTTGGTTCGTATTCAGTCTTCCAGTGAAGAGCGCAAAGCATATACTTTGGGCTAAGGCACCCCAAAGCATGAGAGGCTTACGGCCGACGGATTCAATGAAGGCAGCTCCAGCAGAGGTTGATGTAATGAGATTAATGGCATTGCATACGAACAGAATGAGGGACCTCCGTCGTGAGATACTCAGCGATCTGAATATCACGGGGAGGTAGTTAGTGATGAGTTGATACCCCCCAATTGCTGCATGAACTGGGTCCCAGCACCGAGGAGCACACGCCGCGTGGTTCGAAGGCAATTATTGCGGGGGAGCACCCGCCAGTAGATGGTATTGCAGTCTTCCATTTTATGCTGAAAGGAGTGAGCGGCTATCTCATGGAGCTCTCTTATTTCCGGTCCGGTCGTCTATGGAGTAAAGACGGGCAATAACGGCCCGCCCCCCGCGGGAGTTTGTGTCACTTCTGTATAAGCCAGCGTGGAGAGTCCGGCAGCGAAGGGATGATGGACACCGTAGCAGCGGCATCGAAGATCTGAAATGCAATTGAGTGCCTCCAGGAAACGCCGAGGTGGTCGATATAGTTGAGACCAAAGTTAAGCCACTGGGCCGTAACGTTCCCCAGCTGATTGAGGGCTAGCTGCAGGACGATGAGGCAGCCGCGACGACTTGACTTCAACATCTCCGACTGCCATACTGGAGGGGCAGTCGTGTTGACACTGTTTCCGAGACCTTCTATGAAGCGGGCTATGATTATCTGGGCTACATGGAACGAAGTTGCCTGCAGAACGACACTAATAGTCAGCATAAGGCAACTGAGGGAGACTGGCATGCGCCGTACGAAGTGATCGCCAAGTTATGCAGAGGATGACTGCAAAGAAGCAGCCCAGGTCTTAGGTTTCAGTGAATTACCACACTATTGATTGTGCGTGTTAAGGAGTACGTGGCGACGGCATGGGCGAGGTATGTCACCGCTAGCGTCGGTATGGAGCCCTACGGTTACTCTGCATCCAATCAAAGTAATTATGAGCGCTTCAGTCTGGATGTGAAGTGGATTATGACGAGGTTTAAAAAGTACCTGGAATTTTTGAATGGTCGGGATGCGAGGAAGATGGGATGGCAGCGTATCTAGATTCAACCCGGAACGTGGTTGAGGTCTTCCTCCACTTCAACCTGATAAAAGACCTGAACATAGAGCTCTTTGTAACAGTCTAGAACTTGAGGCATTTCCTCGTAACGTACTATACAAAGGCCTTGGGAATTCCCTCGCTAAGGAGGATATTGCAAAGATCCGACTCCAGAAAGTCCGCGGCATACGATGGTTCATCTGCATAAGAACCAAACACCGAATCGACAGCAGGAGTCCTTGTGCTCTCTCTCAGAACCTGTAGGAGTTGGGAAGATTCCGGTTCCCCATAGGCCATACTTCCATTCCAAGGCATGAACCCACTGCTCCCGGATTCATGGACACTGTCAAACTTCCTCTTAACACCCCGCATGAGTTTACTGCGTCGACGTGTTTGCCACTCGCGCTGGAGAGTGCTCAGGAATGTACTGGTCCGTTTGGCATTCTCAAATTGGCTTCCCATTTCATCCAGAGCTCGGAAACATGTATTTAGGTGAGCTACCAGATCCCGATCACGCTCACAATGCCGGATGGGGACTATGGAAAAGATAAGAATGAGCGCAGAAGAAAATATAAAAGAAACAATCTGGAAATTCGCCCGGCGAAAGCTGTAATATCGCTCATATAGGGTGAGAAGTTTTGCAATTGCGATGGCTGATTCCACGCACATCATGCGTGCATGCGATGAACCAGGTCCTTGAGGAGGTTGTGGCTGGATATGGTGTCGTGAGATGTATGGGCGGTGGCAGTGTATCAGTAGCTGGTGGTATTGCATGCTTTAATCACAAGTGTTAGAAACTTGTGGAAAGTGGTATACCAATTCCTCATAACTTACTGGAGAGCCAAAACATGCGGGAGCGGTTGTAAGTAGCCGGCCGTGCCATAGATATTAAGCTCAGGAGGAAGATTCAGCTTCCAAATTCGCAGCTTCTCGACGGTATCCGATGTAAGCTCCTGTAGGTGATGTTTCGAGACCTCGCAACAGCCGTATCTGATCATAATCAGCCATCTGAGGGTATTTACTGTTGCGGTTAAGTTGTAGGCCACTCACAGTACATCTGTAAGTGGTAGCATGAGATGATAAAGTGAGATCCATTGGTAGCATATCATAGCGAGTGGATTAGGCAGGTTGACTATATTTTTCGATAAATCTGGCGAGCCATAGGGTTTCCACTTCAGCGTGGAGAGAGCATCGCCACAGCCCGGTTTTGGCACCGTGACTCTTTCTACTGGGCTTCGAGTAGGCCGTCCAAGATAGTAGCTCCAGAATCTAAACTAGTCAGTAAGTATTGTTTCCAAAGGCGGAGAATAAGTCTCACTGTTCACTCATGTATACGCCCCAGAAAGTTACGCAACGTACTTCGGCGTCCTCAGACCGGATAGTGCCTCTTTCCACATATGGAGCCATGTCCAGATGTAATCCAAGATCAAAGGCAAGTCTCATTGCCATCCCTCAAAGTAGTTAGTACGGCCCAGAAAAAGATTGTCTCAAACTATTTTGTTCAGCTCACCACTGTACAGCCAGCCACGGGTATCCCTAGTGCATGATGCTTCATAGCTACTCAATATGACTAATGCCTGGATTGTTGCTAACGAAGGGTTCTCTAATTCAGGCTCTAGCAAAATTTTGGCCCTATCACCGAAGAATTCTGCTAAAGATCTAGGGAAGGTCACAAGGTTCGGGTGATATCTGGACTCATAAGCAGCGCCAACCGCACACCTGCGAACATGTTAGCGAAGTTCACTCTGGTTTCCAAAAATACAACCCCTCACATTGCGTCGGATAATGCATGAGAATAGCAAGGGGCAGTGAGACCCCCACGTTTCTTTTGTGCCCTTGACCTCCAGAAAATCTCCTCGCTCACAACATGTAAGCAAGGATCCTGCCAGGTGAAGTAGAGCTGAAGCAAATGTTGCTCAAATTCCTCGTCTACAGGTAGACTGAGCTCTGCATTCTCAATTATCTGCTGGGTCTCTCTTTGAGTGCTTGTGAGACCCGAAGGAGCAACGCCAACTAGAACGTCTAGTAACGTAAGATTTGATGTAGACCCGAAGTACCGTAGCTGTCCATCATGTGTCACCTGGAGCCGCCCTAGTCGACATGAAAGCTGATTTGTCACTTCATCATCGTCTTCTTCCTCACTGATTTCAGGCGGAGGGACGTTTCCATTTGCCGTTACGTTGGGAGCCGAATGGTACGGGCCTGAATCTGCAAGTTCTAGAAGAGCGGATGTCGCATTTGGAGATGCGTCATCCGGCACCGTGGTAGGTGGTTGAGGGCTTCCGGCATCATAAGAATGCACTGATAAATGTTCTGACGTTTCTAAGTGGGTAGAACCTAGTTCCAAAGACACATGGAGCACAGGCTCATGGGCAACTCGGGCTTCGTCTCTATTCGTCCCGGTTAACGCTGGTTGGAGCCCCATAACAGTGTCATTTCCCGTTCCGCTTATGTCCTGTGAGCGGCTATCAGACTGAGAAGAGACTTCCCGTCTGTTTTCAGAGGCCTCTGCCACCGGTTTCGCTATTGGCGCAGTTTGATCTCCGTTTGTCAAGTCTTCGTGTCGTAGGCCAATGCTTTCGAAAACGCCTTTGATAGTTTGATAATCATTCTCATCCATAAAGGGAACCGCTAGGCCGTGGTCACGGATATAACAGGATAGCTGATTGATTCTATGCGCAAGAGCACTGATAGTTACTCGCAGTGGAATTCTGAGACATCAACAACCCACGCACCCTGTCGCTAGAGACATAGATTTCCTCTTACTTGCGTTTGTCATAGACTTGTCGATAGCTGCAATCTTTGCCTTTCTCCCGGCAATTCTTGCATATTGGAGACACCCCGTCGCACTGACAGATAACTTAGTCAGCTCCTGGAATTACTCATCATTAGACAACGCTGAATTGCTCTGCACCTTGACTTTGCCGTCTCTACAAGGAGTACATGCCGTCGTAACATGTTTCCGTACAGGCTTGATGGCGGATTTCCTTGGTGGCATTTTCAACAATAATGTTGGAAAATATAAGTAAGATACGATGCCCGAAGTTCTCTTCGTCGCCTCACCGATCAAGCTGTGAAGATGTCTGGACTGTGGACGTTTGGTTCGGGATTCAAATTCCGGCTGCTCTAAATATAACGGATAGTAATCGTGGATAACCCACCAAGCCGCCAACCCAACCAAACGCACAGAGGCGACATTCGACCTCTTCTACCTGAGCTATTTCCTCATCAGTACTCGCCTAGACCTAAGTTCTGGCCAAGAAGTAGCGGCATATTCTTATGCTGAGTAACGGCATAATAATGGACTTGAACGAAATTGCACCTACATTTTCAATGCTGATTTTCTAGTATTGGATGGCTTATTCCCTTAGCCGTTGAGCATCCGACAACGTGGGATTGGAGGTCTGGTACACCTCAGTGGCCTCGATCGTGTAAGCCGTACTATAGAGGTCACTTTTAAAGGGAGGTACTTCCACAGTATTAGTACTTTGTCTACGGCTAGATGCTACCACTACAGTACTCGGCTCTTTAAGCGGCATATTAACAAATGTATTGCTTATTCTATGAGTCAAAAAGGCAAGACTGTCAACGCTATCCGCATGTTCAAACGCTCCCTTGACTAGCTCCTTACTGCTCAATTCTCCGGCATATAAGATTCCTTCCTCGCCTGTATAGTAGGCCTAGTCGCGCGCCATTGGAACTCCTGGCGCTGCATCCATGGAACAGCATCGGAAGAAATCTGCAACACGGTGGAAAGACTCCTTAGGGGCCCAGGGAGGCATAGCTTTTGATCTCGGATCGTGGTGAGGAAAGGTCTTGACCAGTGAGAAAGACATCATGTCGAGATCTCTTGCCCCCTCTCCCGCTCGCAAGGCGGGAAATGAAAAGACATAGACAAAGATTGCGTGAACGTTCGCTTGGGCGAGGAGATTGAGTTGCGTGTCTATGTAATCAGCCTGCTCCCGCTCGCTGCGGGTCGGGACGACACCGCCCTCGAAGACGCCGCTGCCATCCGGGTTCGTGCCCTTGAGGAGAATGAAGCCACCATCACCCCGGGCAGCTGCCCCCTCATAGGCGCAGCAACCAACCTCCATTACGACGAGAGGCTTGCCAAATCTAAAACGCTCGAGACCCGCGGTGTACTGGTCCTTTGTCTCTCCTCGGCGATAGTAGTCGATACCGACAATGTCGAAAATCTCCCAGTCCACAACTTCCCAGGTGCCAGCGGAATATGTCAGCGGCCCACTGAATTTGGCGCGAACCACCTCGGCAAAGGACCGCAACACTTTGTTTAGTTCCACGGACTTCTCTCGTAGGACCAGGGGAATTTCGTCCGACATGTGGCCGCCAGGGTACTGAGAGGCAAACCACATTACACGCTCATTGAATGAGTCTCCAGGAAAGATGCCTTTGCTGAAGATCGTGTACTCACAGCCGGCAACGAAAATTATGTCGACACCTTCGTTCCGCAGTTGCTCGGCCGTCTGCGCGGCCTCTTCCAGGTAGGAGCGTGTCCCATCGGCGCCTTCATTCATCTTCCACGGGTTAAAGAATACCGTAAGTCCCATCGAACGAGCAGCCCGTGCAGCCGTTGCCAGTCGATAAACCTCCTCCCCCTCGATCCGCACGGCGTTGGCATGCATGTCGTTGGCGATGACACGCATGTCGTACTCAACCAGAGTAGGATCGAAGGGGTGGACTGAAAATCCCTGGCCGTTGAAGTTCAGTCCGACATCATAAACAACTCCACGATACTTCATGGCTCTTTCTTTCGTCCAACGTTTGAAGGAACTGGCTCCGCAAGGGTCAAAGTACCAGGAAATTTGCAACAGTAGTCGGAAGGGGATATGCACGCAGAAAGATGCACCCAGAAAGATTCACCCAGAAAGATGAGATCCACGGTTTTATCTCGGTTGCCATTGTGGACTTCGTTGGGTATAAATTCCTCATCTGGGGATCGCGCACCCGTAACACCGTGAGCCAAAACCGCGATGGCAGAAGTGTGTAGGTCCCGAACTCCCGATGATAGTAGAGGCGGGCCGCGGCCTGCGGACTCTTGGCGTTCCGTGGGTCCGTAACCATAAAATTCTTGGTCTTTTCATTCCGCACTCACGGAGACCTAATTCCTATCCTGTTCTCTTTCCAGAATTCCGGTCACGGAGCCCTCCTGAAGACTTCGTCTTCTTTGTTTCAAGATCTTAGCATATAGCATCCAGCCGATCTTCTAACCTAACGTTGGCGGTCCTTACAAACCGTTTTGTAACGATGTTATCCATGTCTGCCAAAAGTGACGGTAGCCCCACCGGCCGAGCGCTAAGGGAAGAAGAGGATAGCCAGGGTCTCCTGCTAGAAGAGGACCTAGTCTCACTCTCGAAGGATACAGAGGACAATGCGACTGCGACAACGGAGAAGTCGGCTGTACGGGCTCCCTATTGCTTCTATCAGATCTAGTCTTGCAATGCTTAAATGCTGACATTATCGGCTCGGCAGTGTGATCGTTGTCGTCGGCGAAAGGTGTGACTTCTATGCTCACCCAATGGTGAGCGAGAGATATTGAACTCAGAGAACCTGTCCAGCACGGCGAGCCTGTTGCTGATTTTCTTCTTGCCCAACAGACCAAGTGTGATCGAATCAACCCGTGCTCGCAGTGCATCAAGACGGGATCGCAATGTACCTACAAGCTGGGCCAGACGGTCAAGACAAAGCGGCAACGGATCCTCATCTCAAGTTTATAGTTCGTATTGCACATCCAAATCAGGGGCTTTCTGCTCAAGTCAGTCTATCGGGGTACTAAATCATCGATTTGCATTATCTGCAGCGAGAGTAGAATGGAGCACATTTCCAATAAAATTGACAACCTCAGCGAGATGATGAGACGACTAAGCCATGGGCCACCCAGTAACAGTGGTCTTAGGACTTCAGCCGGATCGCAGTTGCAATTACATTCCTCACTTCAACCTAGTGAGCCACGAGTCGCTAGCTGTGACAACAGCAACGCAGGCGCTAGACCACGCCACCAGCCTTTAGATAAAGGTGAAGGCATCGAGACCACACTGTTTGCCCATGTCATCTTTGCAGCCAGGTTCATCCAAACTGTCGTGGCGAATGACCCCTACTCCAACGTCCCCGCCGAAATGGCAGCGGTGCTGGACAACCTACAGAGCACGGTGAACATTCAGAAGCAGCAGAATGAGAACCTGGAAGGTTTACCTCCATTCTCGAAGTCGCTTCCTTTGGGTCTTAGTTTCAGGGATTTGCCTATACCGTCTATGGATCGAATCCTGGCATGCTTAAGGTTCGCTCACGGTTCGTATGCACTTGCCTCTTACACTGAGCATTTTCTGACTGACCACTTGGAAGAGCGTTCACCCACTTCTATATATTGGCCCTTCGAATTTGGATCTCTGGGCGATTTCACCCAATATGTCATCAAGGCCTGCTCGCCTGGACCAGTGACGGACGCGGAGCTGATAATTGCCCACTACGGTCTTTACTATCTCTTCACCGAGTGCGCCAATTCTGCTGGAGATGATATCACTAAGGAGGAGTACGAGGCACAGGCACTTATCTGCAGGGACAGCCTTGAAACGATTCTATCCAATCTCTCATTCTACGTCAGTACGAATACAGACTCTGTTTGTGCCATGTACATGGCTGTAAGTTCATCTCTAATTTCCTCACGCGTCTGGTTGGTCGCAGCTCTGATTCGCAATGCTAAAACAACCCAAACAGAGTATTTACTGCCTCCAACGTGGCAAACCCTTCGGGGCGTGGACATTTATTTCCAGGGCTTCACTCATGAGTCAGGCACTTGGGTTGCATAGTACCCACGTTATGGCGGCAGAAAGCGCACAAGAAGGACAGCGGAAGATACGACTGTTCTGGGCGCTCTATGTCCTTGAGAAGGCAGTGTCCTTACGCCTCGGCAGGCCATCCACTATACGAGACCATGATATTACCGTGCCGCGACCGCTCCTCGACCGCAAGATGACCTCCCTATCATATAACAGGTTGCCAGACTGGATCGATGTCGCCAGTCTCTACGGACGTGTGTATGATTATGTATATAGCCCGAGCGCACTGGCGCAACCAGTTTCCGCTCGAGAGTCTCAGACTAGGGCCCTGGCTGCCGAACTCGAGAAAATAATGGCTGCGAGAGCGGAGCTCTATGTAAGCAGTTCCCGTCCATCTTTTCCATGCTTGGCCGCGGACAGGAAGTCAAATGCGATCGCTAATTTCGCTCCTCAGAAACTACCAAGCCAGTGGACTAGCCATGTAGTTCATCCTGAGCAGTGCAAATTCATCATACATGCCAACCGAGCCACCGACTACTCTATTCTGGCGTCCATATATAGAGGCATTCCGGCAAGCAAAGCTTCTAGCTTGACGCCTTGTCCAGAATGCCTATCAGTTGCGAGAGCGGCCCTCAAAGAGGCTGAAGTATGCATCGCCACGCTAGCAGACGCGACGGTGTGGTCGCCAGCCCACGACCTATGGGTCAGTGAAGTGTGCTTGTTAGCGTCGTTCATGCCCTTCCTAATCCTGTTCTGCAACATCGTCGAGACATCCGACCCGTCTGACTTGGGTTACCTACGACGATTAGTGGACGGCCTGCGCAAGATGGCTCAATCGCCTCGCTATTCCATCTGCAGTAAGCAAATGCGTATTCTGAAGGTCCTGTATGACGTTACCACGACATACGTCAAGGCCAGAACAAGAAGACAATCAACGGATACGACTGGCGGTCACTTTCCCGACTTCGACATCAACACGTATCCGAACGATAAATCCGGTACTGGTCCTAATTCGCCCTTTCCCTCATTATTCACGGAACCGGATGCGTTGTCGCTCGGAGGGGCCCAAAAGCTGGCGGCAGCTTGTCCTACTGGGACAGCGGAGGACGAAAGCCAGCAAGTCATGAGCCAAACCTCAGGCTTCCAGGCAAGTCATGACTTTCTGGCCATGCAATCACACCTACCTGGTGACTTCATTACGGAGCTGGATACTCCAGGCGCCCAGGTGGGAAGTTGGTTCCACCAGAGTCATCAGCTGATGAGGCTCCTGGATGACATTTAAACGATGTCTTATGAATTTACTATTCCGGATGACTATAGGCGTGAGATATTCGAATCATTGATGGGGGTGTCACAATGAATGTCGGACAAAATTGAGACGACCCACCTTTATGCCTCCAGGTTCGGAGCTTTGCAAAAATAAGAAAGGGGAAAGTGAAGAGAAAGGCAACGCCAATACTCCGTAATGGTCGATTCGCGGTCTCAACGTAAGCGTGGCATGTGTCCAGGGGCTCTCAGAGACGTTACGACAGGGAAATATTTTGTGGGTACCCAGTAAGTCCATCAGGACCAAATCAATGACAGGCATTGGGAGAACTAATCTTAACGTATCTAAGAATGGTGTTCTACTTGGTTGCTTCACTTAACGTACCTGTAGGTTTAGCATGTCTTGTTACACAGTGCTGATAATTTTTTGAATGGCTGACATGTTTAGTAAATAGTTCAGTTATACACATTGATCAGAGCAAGACTCAATATGGGATGGTTTCGATAAGGTAATCGTCTGGGTCTTCCACGAAAGGGACAGCCACTGCAGCTTCCCGTATAAAGACCTATCAAAACCCTCGGGCATTTCGCAACCTAAGAATGTGGCTGCCACCTCCAAGCCCTGAGCCAACTCCAGCTTCTTTAAGGACTGACGTTGCGGCTTTTGATGTATTTCATGGCCTTCGTCATATCAGGAACACTGATTGCCAGCTTAACAAGACGGGTACCCAGATAACCACTCGCGTGTGTGATAATTTTCTCTGGATTCTAGGGATAAGATGAATCACGGGTATTGTAGTGTATCTATCATTAGCTGCTAATTCCACTTTGACATTTTGTAACACTGGAGCCCTTGTCATGCCTATCTTGAAGTATATAGACCTCACGGCATTTCCACTTGTTCTCTTCGCAACAACCAATTCTCAAAGGCATGTTGAATGAATAGACTACATCTTCGGGTGCGAAAGCTTCGGATATTGACTCGTAAACTAGTATAGTAGAGAAAGGCAGGTATAAAGTACAGTTCTGGAATGAGCTTTAAAAATCTGTCGGATTCCGGATAATGATGGCCTTCACATGGCATATAGGCAGGCAGGCAGGCAATCGCGTACGTCGCGCCGATTCGCTAAGGTACCAGGGAAGGGAATTCTATGTGCCGTGAGTACAGTACACAAGCACTATGAAACATTCCATGACCAGACACTGATGCCTGCCCCCATGCAGCTTTATTCACCGAAACTGGTCTACTCAGCGAACGCTGTGAAAAAGGCACGATACGGCAAGCATTGTGCAACAGAAGGATGAAATCCGAATGAGCTTTGTGCTCTCTATTTCTATTTCTATTTCTAAGTGGCTGCTGGGAGGGGGCTTTAACCCCCCTTGCTGATCACTTCCTCCATCAGACGCTCATTCACCGGCGTTGGCACTCCCACCTCTTTTCCTCTTCGGACCCAGTATCCGTTGATAAATCTGATCTCCGTCTCTTTTCCCGCCCTCAAGTCCCACACCATCGAGCACGTTGTCTCAGCGGTCTTTGTCAAAATATCAATGACTGTCGCCTCCAGCCTATCGACGGCAAACCGATCCTGTACACCGCGGATATGTCGCAGCTCTGGCAACATCATCACCACATTTGAAACCTCGGTGAGTATCTGTCTTCGGAGCTCAGGCAGCGTGAACAAGAATCCATTCTGCGCATTGTGTAAGGCGCAGAGTGGATTGCAGAATGCGTTCACGGCGAGCTTCTCCAGCTGGATCTGCAAGACTTCGGCGTAGGGGTATGCGGTCGCATTGAGACGAGGGGACTGCGGAAGGAGGCTGAGGAGGTATTCCCGCTCCGAAGAGGGCGCAACACCGGACTCTGGAGGGACCGCTCCCAGCGAAATAGCTGCGGCCCCAGTATGAGTGACGTGAAAGGGGCTGTTAAGTGTGACCCCGTGCGAAACCACACCGACGATGTAATTTGGTCTGGTGCTGGGATCCGGGAAAATGGACTGATTGACTGCATCAATCATCCCGCATCCATTCTGGAGGAATAAGATGGTGGATTTAGCCGAGAGCCTGTCCTTTAGTGCGCGGAGAGCAGTCGTTGTTTGCGTGGCCTTGACACTGACGATAAGGTGGTCGATCTTGTCCGTTGTCTCCTCCGAAGCCGGGAGACGATACCAGCTGCCTGCTCGATACACCTCTGTGTCATAGCCCTCATGGCCAAGCAATTGACCATCCAACGTCTCCAGAAGAATCTTATTGCAGTTTTGGCGGTAGCCTTCATAGAGCGATTCGCGGTGCAGCAACAGGGTGACCGCTGGACTCTTCGGCGTCTCTAATAGACCGTGAGCAGTGAAAGTGCCAATACTCCCCAACCCAAGGATATGCACCCGTGGTTGGTGCGATAATCGTATCGAAGAAGGCATGTGGAAGTTCCTCTTGCTTTTAGGCAGTGACGTTGGAAAAAGCCAGCGACTGTGCAGTAAAAACATGACATCTGCAGTCCTCAGCCGGGTAGAGATTCTATATTACTGAGAAATAAATCCCTGCGTTTTTAAGCATCTGCTCCGTCTCCCGTCATCGTTTCCAATTTCCTGCTGCAGTTGCCTCTGTCTTTTCACGGGCTTTGTCCGCCGCCTGCGCCCTACGCCTTACGCCTTACGCTGTGCGCGAATCACATTAGATGCTTGGCAGGCCGAACAACAAAATTTTCTTTTCAGTCAACAAGGTTTATACAGGAGACGCGAAATTCAATAACCTTCAACAACATGGAAAACACGCCCTGTGGGCGTAGTATGCGCCCCACGTCGTGTCGAGCCCGAACTGCCTGCCGATAGAGACGTTTCCAGGCCGATTATCCACTTAGTTGTTTAAAGATTACGGATGCCCTTGACCTGGGTATATTTGAGGAGCAGACACCAGCCACTGTTGCAATCAAGCTTCTGAAAACCTCTTTCTACTCTTGCAGATTTGCTGGAGTGACACGACACTTTGATCTCCTAGAAAATTACGCGGAATGGCCCCTGAAGACTTTCTCCCTGCCTCTGTCTTCCGACTGACAGACGGTAAACCTTTCCCACCAACGTCTCCGAAGCTCGACGCCTCGAAGACCAAGATAACCAGGACCGAAACTCCCAAGCAGGTCCCGGCTCTCGATGCCCCCGAGCTGTCGGCCCACAACATCTTCACTGACCACATGGTTTATGTGCGCTGGACAGCTGCATCTGGCTGGGAAGATCCGACCATTATCCCTCACGGTCCTCTAAGTTTACCTCCCTCTGCTAGCGTCCTTCACTACGCAACTGCCTGCTTCGAAGGCATGAAGGCCTACCGAGGCCACGACGGGAAACTACGACTGTTCCGGCCATGGCACAACACCGCTCGGATGCTCGCCTCCGCAGCCCGCATCTCACTCCCGAGCTTCGACCCGGATGAACTTTTGATGCTCATCCATCAGCTCTGTGCCCTCGACGCCCCCAGATGGTTACCCTCCACAGCGGCCGGATCATCGCTGTATATTCGTCCAACAATTGTCGGCACCGACGACAGCCTGGGCTTCCAAGGGCCCCGTGCAGCAATCCTGTTTATCATCATGTCGTACTGGCCCAGCCCCGTAGTCTCAGACGGTGGTGCTAGTGCTGGTGCTGGTGTTGGCCTGCGGCTGCGGACCAGTGACAAAGATACTGTGCGTGCATGGCCCGGCGGTTCGGGGTCGGCCAAGCTGGCTGCCAACTACGGCCCATCCATCTTGGCGCACACACAAGCTAAGAGACACGGCTGCGATCATGTGCTGTGGCTGCTTGGGTGCGATGGGCGTGTGACCGAGGCGGGAGCGATGAATTTTTTTGTGATTTGGAGGACCGAAAAAGGACTGCTCCAGCTTGTGACGCCGTCTTTAGACGAGCATACCATTCTGGCCGGAGTGACCCGGCAATCTGTGCTTGACCTTGCCCGCGAGCGTTTGTCTCTATCTGCGAGCGTGGACCTTCCAAATGGGGTCGAACCGGTAGAGACTGTCGAATGTATCTTTACCATTCATGATATTGCCAAGGCTGCGGAGGAAGGGAAACTGGTCGCTTCATTCGGGGTGGGCACGGCAGCTTCGGTCGTCCCGGTGGGTGAGATACACCATGAATCGAAGAAGATCGTGGTCGAGTCCAATGCATCACCGCACATCTCTCTGCTACGGAGGTGGATGGCGAATATTACATGTGGCAGGGAGCAGAGCTCGTGGACGGATGTGGTGGACGAGAGTGGCTCATTGTAGACTCTCAAGAGGATCCAAAGCTTCGAGACTGGGGCCATAGTGTATATAGAGATCATTATGAATATAGATACATCGCGAATTAATTACCTGAGTTTACGAAACCTAGGTACGGCGGACTGAGTAAGTGGGATAGCCAGAGGTCTGTTGAGCACTACAAGCAAGCGAGGTTCCCATCGTTTGCGTTTTATAACATACTGCCTTCTTCCAGGCCAGCTGCCCAGCTAACGTTGGATGATTACTGATCAAGCCAATAAAGCTGTTTTGAGTTTCAGTCTGAGCTGGGCGAAGTTAATTATATGCGCAATAATGAGTTAAACGGAGAGTGGCAATCTCTCCGAATAGCTACTCAGTTGCCGAAGGGAAAAGCATATCGGAGACGTGCGTGGGAGCCAGGATGTTTCAGGAGTATGCATAAGCTCTTCACCCGCATGGCAGCCAGCGCAAGCCCCGTTTGGGGAGTGGCTATACGTCTAGTGCCTGGCTCTAGACTTCCGTGATATGGATAAATATAGATATATTCATTTTGTACGAGCGGATCAGCGACTAGTTACACGATCACTAGATAACTTCGTAGTCTTGCCCTGCCCGTCGCTATCCCATATGCTGACTCCCCAACCCGAACCCTAAGTTATCGACTAGTTGTCGACACCATGAACGTGAAGTTTCCAGCATATTCAGTTTAGCTGCTACGCTGAACTGAATGCAGAATCACAGGGGAAAGCTAATATTGAAATAGAAATAGAGTACGAGTGAGTAGGTGCTGACTAACAGCAAAGCTCGGCGTTAAAGGGGATTATCACTGGGGGTTTTTACAGTTTGACAGCTTCGATGGGGCTTTAAATTGGACGAAATGATGCTAGCAATATTTCGTGCAGCGCTTGAAGCATTATGCCTGCGTTAAGATAAGTGGGGTAGCCCGAGGATCCAGATTAAGCTAAGTGCAGGCAAGGCATTAAAGTCTGGGCTTCTTTGGCAAGACACCAATATGACTTTCCCACTGCTTATCAATAGCTGTGCGTTCATCATGCGGGACGCGGCCCCAGGCTTTCTGGAACTTCCCAATTCGAGCTTCCGAAGACGAGAGCGTGGAATCGATGAAATCAGCACTCGCATGGGCACTTTCTTGCACACGTTCCATAGGGACGAGGTGACCACAGGGAAGAACCACTTCTTGTACACGGCCGCGAGATACGCCGCCGCTACCCCCCACGCCGGTACCGGTCATTACTAATTTCTCTCGACGAGCTCTGGGAGAGGAGAGGTCGGAATCACTCCCGAAGAGATACAGAACGGCCGGCTTCAACTCCGGTAGACGACGGAAAATCTGGGGAGGTTCGGGTCGATAGAACGGGAAGCCGTCAATGTCGTCACGATGCATTTCCTCCTCGGGAACGCCTCGAGGTAGACCTGACCTCTCATCAATATAAGATGATCGCAGAAATGTGAATAATTCTTGCGCCCTGGGTGTCGTCAGTGTAACAGCGGACTTTCCACGCATGGTATCCTCCGAAATGGGATATAGCTTTGTCGGCAAATCGCGGAGTCCATATTCTACCCACTTGTCCAGCACACGGGGGTCCCAGGCTTGATAGAAACTGCTGGACTGGAACTTTGCCCTAGCCTCGTCGCGGGAGGGCCAAAGGTCCCGCCTGTAAGTAGATGGCAAAGCGTACGTCCGACTTGGGTTGTCTCGTTGAATAACCGGATCCATCAGGATTAGACCTTCAAAGAGTGACGGATGCATTAGGGATAGATGGGCTCTGGGCTAGTCAAAAAAAGTTGCTGAACAGCGCGGGTGAATAAGAACAACATACAATTGCATGCCACCCATGCTGTGACCAAGGCCAATCAGAGGCCCCGGAATTTGGTCTTGAAATTGGTTTAATAGAAACAGCAGGTCTCGCCCGTGGTCAAACCAACTTGCTATTGCAAAAGTCAGCTCCGAATTACTGGGGTAAATATAGGGTGATAGAGACTCACGATCATCTCCCAGGATAGATTCGTTAAGAACACCGCTCTGACCCTGTTGAACGACATCTGCAATCCAAATGGATCGAATACGCCGATTGCGGGCACGTAGTCTCGTATATATTTCATCCCAAAGGGGCTCGTAGAGCTCCTACAACCGCCTTCAGTAAAACTCACACAGAGAATGAAGGGGAACAGAGATGTTACCTTTGGAAACCCATTTGCATGGGCGCCAATCAGCGTGACATCTCCTTTTGCAGGACAGGGGTTGTCATGTGGAATATATTGCTTGACTGCCAGTCTCAGCTCCTGTTCATGGCCAAATTTGACTGCACCAGGACGCTCGCGAACATTCTGCGCACGAGCAACGTGTTCAACGACACGAAAATTGGACATCTTTCGTGTGCATGTCGACGATAATCTATCGATTGGACGAGCCCGAGTCGGCAGCAGCACACCCAGCATTGTAAAACAACATCTATGGAGAGGATAACGGGCCAGGTAAACAGTCACAACAGCGCGCTCTCATTAGCAGCCTGGGCTTTCTCCAATTTGGAGTTTTGGAGGGGGCTCGGAACACACGCCCTGCCACGCCCTAAAGTCTTGGCCAGGACCAAAGATGCATAATTTGAGCCCTGTATGAACAGTGATCTAATAGGTCTTAATAGTTAGTAGCTTCGGACCCATGCCTGCGGCGGATCCACGCACACGCTGACTAGCTGTATCCCCTTGTCTGTCCGTCCTCCTGTCCCTGTCGACGCTGGGCACTGGCTCAGACAAAATGTTGCTATCCGATCAGGAACAAGAACATAAGGAAAGCCAAGAGATTCTAACCCCTAGCTGACTACGAGAAACTGCTGCCAGTCATTATCCCGAAAGTGCCTGCAGAAGGATGCCAATAGGATATTGAGTGCTTCGTTTGCAGGGCTAAAATTAACTGGCTGTAAGGTGAGAATCAACGCATTCGTATTCTTGATGACAGCCAAATATATGTATGGCATATACCTCGATTCCGTGTATCCTGTAATATTTGATACCGGAAGGGCGAGCTACTTGCCAAGTAAAGTGAATTTCGGGTGGAAAGCATGAGAACAGAGAATGATAGCTGAATGTAAACTGCGATGCCAAGTCAAGAAGAAAAGTATTACTACACGTTATCTGGACGACGCGTCAAGGGACAGTCGTAAGCTTTATTGAAGGCGTCGGACAATGGGGTTGGCATATGCGGAGCCCAGCCCTCAACGCGAGCTGTACTCATGGAAATATCCTGACCCAGGGCAAAGTAGATCAAGTGGTATGAACCTGAGCTCTTATGAATGGGAATCAGTCGGTGGATGATACCATCAGCCAATGTCCAATCGGACATAATGAGTAGCAAACTACTACATCGACTATTGATGAAAACCCCTCCGGATGGCCATTTTCACGCCTGATTTCCAACTCTTTATTACTCCCCAAGTTGGTGCGAAGGTAGGCTTCAAGGCAGGTAATACTGAGAGAAGAGTCGGCGTTGTCATCTCCGTCGTTGTGTGTCCATCCATTTCCCTGGCCGGATTATTGTTGGCTTCAACACGACTTCTTTTTGACGCGTCCAGAGAAACATTGACAGAAAAATGCGCCAACGGGTAACACCTTGAGGAGGGCGTAGAGGTACCCGTCACAATCTTTGCTGGTACTGAGTCTGCCCCACCAGCATTGGTTGTCTGCGATTGACTGTTCAAAAACAGGAGAAAAATTGAGGATTGAAAAGATTCGCGTACTCTTTTCACAACCTCTTCAATAATGGATGGAGGAGGGGGTATAATTCCATCCATATACTGCAGAAGTTCCTCCCGTTCCTCGTATGATAGATTCAGTTCACGCGATGCCCCTGGGCTGATATAATCGGATACTAACCCCCTCCAGAGAACAACAAGATGCTTTGCCTCATCGCACTGAGAATAATGCGGTCCATCCTGTCCATAGGCAGATTTGTACCTCTCACTGTATTCCCTCAGGTCCATGATGAACTCGAGGAACTCAGAGCAGTGATTCCTTATTAGGTAGTTCTTGAATATGTCAAGTGTGTAAGGATATGGAGCCATATCCTTCAGCACGTCATCGAATCGTGGCAGATCTTTGGAGGAAGGTACGGGAAAAATAACATGATCATCCATTGATGAGAAAGATTGTGTCGTGTATACCGCATTCGAGATATGCCCTTGCTAGGTGACTCGTAACACGGTTAAGGTAGAGTCTGCGTGGACCACGAACTCTTACCCTTTATTCTCCCTAGTGTTGTCAGCTAGCAAAGGCGGCCAGGTGGTGGGATCGTAGATGAGAATTTAGCCCAAGGGACGCTACAGGCCATTCCTGGCAGCTATTTCCTAAATAGTGCGGAGTGCTCTGGAGAAAGATAAGCAGAACCTTAGTACTGCACAGGCTGGCCACATCGACACGGTTCCGGACGCATGTCGGGCTGGGGCATAAATACATGGTAGCTTGGTTCCTCGGTCGAAAACTCCATTTGTAATCGATGGTTATCGTGCTTCTAGGTGGTTGTTGAATACGTCTTCGAGGAGGATCCATTATAACGCCACTCCAAAAAGTTTCCATCTTGGGAGAACTCTTTTACGGATATGACTGTTTGCACGGGGAACTGGAACCATGCGGACACGTGAGCGACGTGGTCAGGCCATGCCCAGTAGAAGGTGGAATGACGACATGTTCTCGATGCGGATGATTACTGATCCCACCGATAAAACTGTTTTGAGTTCAGTCTGAAGCCGGGCGGAGTTGATTATTTCGTAACATGGAACTGAGTTTAACGATTGAAGTGTTACCACAATAACTGGTAGTCCAATGATTGACAGCAGTCACTAGAGACCCGGTCTAGGCCCACAGCTACTACTTGTGGTTGCAGATCACCTCGGATGGAATGTTGTCGTTGCCTACTGAATATATAGGCTTGATTATTCGTATAATACCATCCTCGCAGGGTTTAGACCAATGGCATGCTTGATTCCAATATGTATAATTCTTGACATTTCATTCTAGGGAGTATATAAGAGGTGGCAAAGACGCCACGAAGAAGCAGATTTTATCTATTCCAAGTAGCAAAGGCTCCAACACACCTCGAACTCTTATCTCTATAACTTTGACGATTCGCAATGTCCCAATACGCAACCTCAAATATTTTCGTCATCGGCGGCACGGGCGCTCAGGGCATCCCGGTCATCCGAGGTCTTGTCTCTGACGAGAAATATCACTGCAAGATCCTTACTCGCGACCTTGGTTCCTCTCGCGTTAAAGAACTGAGTACTCTGCCCAATGTATCCTTCATGGAGGGCACTTTCGCCGACGAGTCAACTCTTCGCGCAGGCTTCCAAAGTTGCGATGGGGCGTTTGTTAATCTAGACGGGTTCAATACCGGAGAGAAAGGAGAAACATATTGGGCCATTCGCTGTTATGAACTGGCACTGGAGTGCGGTATCAAATTCTTCGTCTACGGAAACCTCGACTACGTCTACAAAAAGTCGGGCTATGATCCAAGGTTCCGCACTGGCCACTACGATGGTAAGGGCCGGATGGGCGAGTGGATTCTACAACAGACGAAGGATAACGGGCACAGGATGGGCGCGGCCCTGTTCACCACAGGCCCATACATGGAAATGACCATTGCAACGGGCACCCCCATGACCCCGACAGTTGAGGATGGAATCGTCACGTGGCGCGTGCCACTAGGTGCTGGGGCGGTGGTGCACGTTTCGCTGGAGGACTGCGCATATTATGCTCGATGGCTGTTCGATCATGCTGATCGTGCAAATGGGATGGACCTTGAGGTAGCCATTGCGCACATTGGATACGACGAAATGGCGGAAGCCTTTGAAAAAGTGACCGGCCACCCAGCCCGGTTCATTGACACTGATTTGGACACGTACTTTGAATCGGGCCCACTGAGCAAAATCTCCGAAGCGTCCGCAGGATATAGCGCTGATCCGAGCGACAAGTCGACAATGACCACGAGACAGAACTTCACAGGCTTTTGGAATATGTGGAAGTTCTCGGGCAATAATCTCGGGGTGGTGCGCAGGGATTATGCGCTTTTGGATGAGATTTTCCCCGGCCGGATTAGGACTGCTGAGCAGTGGTTTAGGAAGGAAGACCAAAGAGGAAGAGACCAGGGGTTGGGAGGACTATGGGAGAGGGTCCAGGCAAGCAATCTCAGGCCTATACTCAAGATTGCAGAGGATGGAAGACGCGGTCGTCTCTGATCAATTTCCAGAGATGACAAAGTAGAAGCGATTCAGTGATTACCTGGCCGCGAATGGTGTTATATGAATTTGACATATCATAAGCCTCATAATAGCTACATATTCCGCTTGACATTGGCCTATGTGTTTTGTACCCACTCTGAGACTTTGCCTTGCGTAAAACCGGGCGACTGAGCATGCTACACATGGTTTCTCAAGTTATCTTGTTCAAATCCATTATAGAGGCCTACCGTCATACTCCGCTTGTATCATGCTGCAGAATTGACTGTGCTTCCGCATCAACGCCCCGTATCGAATAAAGCAAAAGGGAATGAATGCCATCCCAAGAGCCACAAAACCAAGCAAAGAACTAGCCCAGTGAATACCCAGCTTCGTGTACATGGGTTTCGTAGCCAAGGGCAAGCAGACGGCAGTGATAGAGCGGATGGTACTGGCGGCAGCCTGCGCGGAAGCAGAGCTCTGTTTGTAGGCGTCGGTGAGGTAGTTCAGCATCGCAATGAAGATGAGTAGATATCCAACACCGAACCAGAACCCGGCGAGCATGGGGACAATGGGATGCACTGAGTCGCGAGCGGTCCATCCGAGCCAAAATAAAGAAATTACTATGCTGCAGAGACCAGCTCAGGGTTAGATCAAAAAGAGGATACAGCAGGGATAAAGAAAAGTCAAGAAGGTTGAACTCACTTGGGAGCGCCGCCTCCAGCAAGAGGCAAGCGGCGATATTCCTCTACTGTTGCCCAGGTTTTGTTGGCCTTCAGGGCTTTAGCGTGAAAGTTGGAGTACCAAAGGAATATGAGAAACGCAAAACCAGCGCCGACCATGACTAGGGGAAACATGGTTAGACGTTCTTTCTTTTCCCCAGTTTTGGTAGATGATTCTTACTAGGAATGAATGCCAGACTAGCAACCCCGGCAGACATCAAGTATACACCTTGCAAGCGTCAGCCCTGTCCTGCCATTGTGTCGATGGCACTTCGACAAAACCTTGGAAAATAAGTGGATAGGCCTGCATGAAAAGATACAATGTCCCGTATACCAGTGCGAGGTAGAGAGACGTCATCAACAGAATAGGCTCGCGAACCACCATTAGAAATGGTCTGGCAAATACGAAAGTTCGGCTTTTCTTTTGTAACTCCGACGTAGTTTGTAGCTCTTGTCTGAAATTTTCAGCATCGCTTTGTGATCTTTGTGCCAGCACTGGAGCATAAGTTTCGGGAAGCAGAAGTATCACTGGCAGGCCCGACCCAGCAATAATCAAGGCACTCCAAAACGTCCATCGCCACGAAGCAAGCGATACAAAGCCAGAAATAATAGGCCCAACTTCTGGTCCTAGTGCAGTCATGAACATGAAAAGCCCCATCGCGATTCCCCGTTTCTGGGGGTCATTATATATGTCAGAATACAGACCCCCGAGGACCGCGTTTGGGGCAGCCGCATTCAATCCGCATAGTAGCCGGAACAGTAGGAGAGAGCCATAGCTTGGTGCCAGAGCGCAGCCGAGAGTGAAGGCTGTATACCCAATATAACTGCCGATTAACACTGGCCGACGGCCACTATACTCACTGAGAGGACCGAAAAACAGAGGGCCGACTGCGAATCCGACGAGATATAACGAGTTTAACAATACAAGCGAGGTGTCACTTGTAAGGTTAAATGATGATCTGATCTGGACATGTGCTCCAGCTGGTAAGGAGGATCCCAGGGCACTGTTAAAAGTGAAGAGAATCCCAGCGAGGACAATGTGATATTTCCGCGTCTATTTATTCCAGATTGCATCCGAATCTTCGCGTAAGAATATATTCGCATGTATAATGGTTCAACTTACATTTGAAAATGTAACTGGATTGTTTTCGTCCGTAGGTTGTAGCTCCATCTCAGTGAAGCATCCATAAGCCTCAACCTTCTGGGTTGGTGGGTGCTTAACAAGACGAACAGGAGAGAGGTCTGCTTAATCAAGCAACTGACTTCGGAGCAAGCAGTGATATTCCGTTACTCGCCTGTCCTGTAGGGTCCCTGTATCTCACCGCTCCGTGAAAGCACGAGCAATGCAATTTGATGTTTCAATAGGCGTTTCCCGATTCTCTTCTAACTGCTGAAGTCCAACGACGAAGGGCGTGCCCCAACTCCACCCCACGACGGCGCCCTAATGTCCACGCCCTACAATTCGCGCCCTACGCAGTAAAAGAGGACTTTTCGGAAATAAAGTGAAGAAAAGACTTTAACGAAATAGTCTTCGTGGATAGTCTTAAAGAAGCGCATAATCAAATGTAGATGGCCACCGACGCATGTGCCATTCCCCTGGTTGTCCTATCTCAACACCTCTCAAGCGCCATTGCATAAGCACCACCTCGTAACATCTTGGAAGGATCAAGAGACCTTGGCGGGTACACATGCATTGGACTAACCCCTCTTCCCATTACTGATGCGTCTACCTACGGTCAACGAGTTTGCCAATCATCAGAGTTCTCAACTGGGAACCTATGCCCTTCTATAAGGCCAAAATCGCTTGGGATTAATGGCGAGAAAAGTGACCGTCCCAATTTGGTTTATTCCATCAGAGACATTCTATTCAACGCCGACAGACAACCGTACAGTCGTATGCGTATACTCCACGGCTGCCGAATTGAGTCTGGACGCCTGAAATTCTTGCGTGTAATATCAATTCAGCTCGTCAATAACCACTCCCAGAGGGGAATGCTATAGAAGGTGAGAATTCCCAGAGAGGTCCCGGAATAATGATAACCGAAGCCACTAGCGTCTTGTCTAAGCTGTGGAAAAGACAGATCCCGGACCTTTGAAGCTGGCCGTCAACTTTGGATACAGTCAGGGCTAGAAATTTGGCATTCAACTCTCACATGCAAGGCGCAAAGCATCCGCAATATCACCACGAGTCGGAGAAGAGACCCGCCACAAACGCCGTTGGTGGTTAGGTCGATAACGCCAAAACAGTTAATTAATATATTTTACAACAACCCCAAAAGAGAGTTTAAAACAGACTCTCTGGAACATTTTGCAGGTCGAATTCGTTCTCAACCCAGTATGACCTAAAACTTGAACCCGGTGCATTCCTTTCCAACCCCGTCAGGTTTGCATTCGGTGCGAACAGGTTGGGATCCAATGTGTCTGTCTGTCGTTCCTCTGCCAATGGTGCTGGCTTGTATGTGTTTTGAATGTCTCTGTGTCAATTAGCGCCTATTAGCTTCTGAAACCGACTGCGACCACGGTAAAACTTACAACAACCACGGGAAAGAGTCAAAAAGATCTAGGTCTGTGCCAAAGGAATCTCCCATGGATGTCAAAGCGTCCTTGGCCATCTTCATGATATCCGTACTGATCAACTTGCCCGTCAGTGGGCCCACATGCTGGATTTCATACAGGCACTCAATCCCGCGTTCGACCGTAGAGAACGTAGCCTTGGCGTGCTCCGGTGCAGTTCGCGGATCCAGAACATCATAAGAAGCGTGATGCAAGCGGAGGCGAGAAAGGTTGCCATGGTGCCGTCCGAACGGATGTCGGGAAATCGCCGCAAATACACGTCGTGCGCTAGATTGATTAGACATCTCGCGGCGTTAATAGAAGCGTCCATAGATTCCTTGATTCGGAGCGGCCCAGTGGAATTGTTTTCAGCCTCTTCAATAGAATTGAAAAAAGTCGTGTACATCAAGCTAGGCCGATGCATGAGCATGTGGGTCAAGTAATAGATCATCCCCAGGCTGACCCGCTGAACCTCCTGCCAGCTTTCCCCAATCGGCAGATCCCGATCGTAAAAGTGCAGATATGGAGGAAGCGACTGTGCAATGGATTTCAGTCGAGCATCGCATTCCAGAAGAAGCTTTTCCGACTTTTCCACATCGGCAATTTCCCGCATACAGTTTGGAGAGTACGTGGCGATAGAGACTTTGTCTGCAACTCTGCCAATTTTGGCCACTGCTCTTATCCAGGCGCACTCCATAGTTGGCTTGAGGTATCCCGGGTTGTCAGAGTCCACCCCAGTGGTATTCGGTAGGAAAATATCCTCCGGGCAAGCTGTATCGACTTGATCTTCACATAGGCTGGACGGCCGGCCAATAAAAAGAGCAGATATTTTCTCATTAGCGAAAATAGTCCAGAATGTAACGCGGAGTCTGTGCATGCTCAGATTGTTCCCGTCCGTCACCTGGGATCGATTGATGCCGATGGCCAGCACGTTGCGAGCGGCGTACCCGAAATAAAGGTATGCCTCATTTGGCCTCATAATTTGGAGCGCATACATCGCCTGTATGTTTCCGTATCAGCATGATACATCAGGAGCGGTAGACAGACGAGCAGCACAGTATTCGGTTCTTACCTTCAGAAGCATGAAGTGCGTGCCTTTCAAACTGGGTTCCTGAAAATACATTGCAAAATTGTTGGCCATTGTGGAGAAATGCTCGGCCCATAGATCAATCCATTCGGCAGTCTGTTTGCCCTTGTAATTTGACACGCGCGAGCCAATAGCAAGGACCATATAAAGCAGATCCCTGTCTTTCAGCACCTTCCCAGGTTGAGGAGCGTCCCAGAGTTTGTTCCACGTCTCCTTGATTTCCGAGTAGGTTAGCAGTGGCATCTGAGGATGCATGATACGAAAATAGGCCTCAATAAATGTCTCCCATGTCCCGTGGGAAGTAGGCATCCGTCTGTGATGATGAATCCCCTTCATTGCCATATTGGCGTGAAAACATGAACTTCTCGAGACCCCATTTTTCCAGAGCCTCTGGGACTGTCGAGCTTCTTTGTGAGTTTTCTATAGGGTAGAGATCCCTCTTAACTCGCTCATAGATCCGTTGGATAAAGCAAAAATGCGAGGATGGGCCTGGTCGGGTCAGTCGACTATACATAAGACATGCCCCAACCCAACAGCCTAGCCTACCGTAGAATTGAAACGATCCGGTAGCTTGGTTGGACACACCAATGCCCACACGTAGCGCCTGGTGCAGTTTGAACTGAACAAGATCACTGAGGCTTTCTGGTTGGGAGGATACCGCGTTCGTTAACGCCGCTGTTTGGTCAGTGTCAGCAGGCTGGAGGCTGCCCAGTTTAGGAGTCTTCACTCGCGCCCGGCTTTTTTTCCTCCTTGCCGCTCCGACCCGATATTGGCACTGCCGCTGGTGCTGCCTGCAGTTGTTACAAGGGTTGCTCCCGTTACATCTGATTTTCCGGGACCGACAAGGCTCGCAGGCCCGATTTATGTGGAAGCGACTATGCTGTTGATGCGAGCTCTTGGGCTCAGCATCGATAGCAGGAGCTTGAAGACGTTCCATTGTTTGTAATTCCCCTGGGTGTGGCATTATCCCCAGAATCACAGAGACAACCAGTATGCCATGAGTGGGAAGTTCGTCGCCAAGACCATTATTTCCGTATCACGCTGATTGGTCTCTTTATTCCGGTCCCCCAATACTTTCGAGGACGGTCAGGTGGCAACACTGTGTAGAAAACTGTTGATTTCATTTACTGATTACCTTATTCGGCATTTGCTTTACTTGCCTGGGAGATAGATATCTTTTTCTTACTTTTGTGTTATCCACAGGAATGAACTGAATACCCCTCATCTAGCTCCTGACATACAACTCCGGTAGTATAAATATACATCCATTAGACACTAGGTTAAAAAGAATCAGGCCATCATTGACTTATCACTTCCACATAAAATACTAGTGATAACTGAGACCGGTACTGTACTGCGATTTCTGACAAGACACATGATGTTACTCGCTAGACACCCTCCCATGTGTTATGATTTGCCAGAAAGTGAAACGTTCTGGCCAGTCTGTACCGCAACGACTCTCTTGATGCAATAAATATGTTTGCTATAGGTTACGGTCATGATGAAGCGGAGCAAGTTGGTCAGTCCCTAGGACAATGTTCTTTTCGCCTTTCTTTGAAAGGGAGAATGCTTACCTGTTATAGTGTACCTGTTATAGTGGAAGTTAACCCAAATGATACTACGGTCGAACCCGTGAGCATAGCTCTGTCTACGACTTTTAGGCACTTTCCTCTCTTCCATACATAAATTATGCTATCAACCCTTGTAGCAAGTAATGGTAGCGTAAATGACTGCAAGTTGTCTATTACCCTTGTCCATGAAGATCAGGAGTTATCTCCCAATTGACCTATCGTGACATGTTCTTTTGATGATTGGATTATCATTGTTGTTGAAATTTCAACTTGGTGACACCTAGTATCCATTTTATCGAACCCCTTAAAAAAAAAAAAAAAAAAGATCCTTAATGAGACTACACTCCAAACTGGGAGAAAGAACTTGGCGATTATAAAACATTCTGATCAATCATTGACTGCACAGCATCGGTGACACTCTGTTCCAACTGAATATACTTCCAATGTCCATCCTCTCTCCCCTTGGACAAGACATCCAAGCTGACCCGCATATCCCAACCGGTTGGATGTACTCCGTCTGGCAAGATTTGTGAAGGTTTTCCTTCTGGAACACGATCCCTCAAGCTGGGAAAGTTCTGCCGAATGATATTCACTACTAACTGCGGCGTAATCAATCCAGAGATAAGCAGGATCCGCCGACCCCCAGCAGCAGGGTTCGTCAAGGCGTCGACGTGGCTCTGGGCGACATCCCGAACATCGACCTACTCTTCATTAGGTATACTGCCAACTTCTTGAATGGAAAATAGATGAGCAAAACGTACAAAGTGATAAAACGGAAATCGCACATCCTCGACGGATTTGTGAGTCCCATCAATGAAGCTCGCGATTGCAAAGTGGTTGGTTTCGTTGATAGAGCCTGGTCCCGAGATGGAATGTATCATAGGGCCTGTGATAATGTCCGGATTGATTACGGTTAGATCGAAGTTGGGTCTGTTGATCTTCATGAACTCCCACGCAGTTTTTTCACTCTGGGTCTTGGACACATTGTAGCCAAGCACCGTGTCTTTTCGGTCAATGGCTTGCTGAGCAGTCACCTATTATGTATTAATCAAAATATTTATGTTTTTCTATTACGAGGAAAAACATACTGGATTCCAATCATTTTCGTTATAAGGACGGCCCTCGCGGGTGATGTCCTCGAACGAGTTAAGGACGGAAACAGCACTGCCCAAAAGTACGAACCGCCTTAAAGACGTGCCCCCATGTTTGTAAGCACTTTTGAGGATCTCCGTAGTCCTATTGCGCGTTAGTTTTACTGTCCAATGTGCATGTGCAAAGAGCTATATCTAACCCCTTAACAGCAGGTTCGATCATCTCTTTTTGGATGTCGTTGACATTGAACTTTAAGGGCGATGCTGTATGAATAACGTAGGTGAAGGGAACAGTTGTTCTTTCGAATATTTCATCAAATGGTTGCTGGGAGGTGAAATCTGCCACTATGGCAAAGGTAATTTTGTCCTTCCATGAGGGATGTGTCTTGATAATATCGTCGGCCTTGGCTTGAGATCGTACAGTGGCCGTCGCGGCGAATCCACGCTATACACACACTGTCAGTTCCATCTATAAACCAGGAAGAATAATGGTACCTCTAGCAAGATGGATAAGATATGTGAGGCAACGAAGCCATTTGCGCCCGTTAGTAAAACATGCTGGCCACGAACACTGGAGGCCATTAGGGATGTGAGATCTGAGATTGTACAATTCTACTGAGAATGGTACGAATAATGATCAAGAAAACATGAAGCAAGTTCCTGTCCAGTTGCTATATAGGCATGAGGCGGTCATGCCATCATGGAACATGTCTATGATGCGGGAAAGAGCCGAGACCCGTAATCCCGCAACCCCGCAATCCAACGACACTGGGATCTGCTAAGCCCGGAATAAGATTGACTGAGGTTGCTATTGACAGGTATTCCGACAGGGGTTGCACATTCGGGCTGGCCTTGCTAGCTATTACACCCCATATCTCATTTTCTACCACACCAGCCCCTTCTAGAGAAATGTGATGTCGATTAATTAGCTAAGGGGGAATAATAACTTGCCTATATATTAGGAAATATATAGAATAGTGTCATGGAATATTTCTTTTTTGATTGAGTGAATAATGAGTTCGGCCATTGAACTTTAACCATGGCCTTTACATCCTAGTTTTACAAAGTGGTAAAGACAAACAATATCTCCATTATGCCGACTCCTGGCCCATCGTCAGCTACGTCAATCATATCAATTAAAAATCCCTCTTGAGCTTTTCCACTGGTGGCAAAACGCCCTCTCTCTCAAGAGTCTCAAAAGTCTCCTCCAGTTCGCCCCAAGTATCGGCGTATCCCGTCCATCCCAACCGTCGCGCCTTGCTCATCGTCCCAACGCAGCTCCAATCCCTTCCCAGGACAAATGTTAAAAAGTCCCATGTGGCTTTTTCCCACGCTTTTTGGTCAAGATTGTACCTGTCGCGCAGTTTGGCCCAAGCGTCATTCACATCTTTCCGCTTTGCCCATTTTTCCGGGTCGACCTGCAAGAATAATGTAGGATTGTCATCGGCCGATACCCCGAGCTCATGCGTGTGGGCGGCAAGAGGATGCCGGTTCTGAAACCTCACTGTGGTCGCCTCATATTTCCCATAACCTTGGGTGTCGGGAGTACCCCCATGCGGGAACATCGGGTTGGGGATCTTACAGCCAAAGCGCTTAGCGAGCCGTGGCCAGAGGCTTTGAAATGACTCTGTATCCCCGTTCATCACGTTAAAGATGTTGTTCCCTGCACCTGGGGCGGTCGCGGCCCAGAGACAGAACCGGGCGTGGAGGTTGGCTGAGGTCCAACAGTTGAAAGCAAAGTAGTTTGCCTTACAGCCTGGGAAGGGCAGCTCAGATCCCGGGAGAGCTTTGCTGACGGCACAATATAGACCCAGCGCAGTGGCCTCATTCATAAAATTACCGCGGGCGTAGCCCAAGACATCCTCGGGGAGGGTGACAACCCATTCCCAATTGCCGCGTGTGGCGGCATCCTTGAGGATCCGTTCTTGTTCATAGTAGAAGATGGGAGGCCAGGAAATACCACCCTGATCTTTCGCAAGAAGGGGGTCGTCTTCAACAAGTGGCTGTTTGCAATGGCCCAGATGGACACCGTAGTGTTTGAAGCCACATGTTAGAATGAAACGTTTCAGTGCCTTGGTAGCACCTGTGATTTCTATAGCTCGAAGAAAATTGGATAGCATCAGCCCATTCACGCGTGACAATTCAGCCGGATCATCGCGTGCTAGGTAAGCGCAGAAGTAGACATAATCAGCGGAGATGTCTTTGAGATTCTCCGCCATCTCTTCAGCTGACGCCTGGAGATCCAGCATAGCATGTTGGACTTTTGGATTTCTGTAGCCGGGATTACTGCGGGAGAGAGAAAAAACTTTTCCATACTCTGGATCCTTGCATAGGTGATGTACGATGGCACTCCCCGTGATACCTAGGAAACCTTAGAAAGTAGTACAAGGAATGTAAATGAGGCAACACTCACCGGTGGCACCAGTGACAATCGCAGATGGCATAGTGAATTGAGTTAAAGCAAGACAGATATTAAATCTGCTGATAGTGCAGTCAATAAAGACCAAAATTAAAGAGTTGAAGTATTGTTGGCGACCTTGTCCATTATATGCAGCCCTATCTTAATTCCACCAGAACGACATAGGCGCTCACTGAACGTCATTTGGAGGTTATCATGGGTGACGTCATCAACAGTCATCCGTCCATGAAATACAGAAGATTCCAATGAACTGCGGATGTCTCGGATCCATACCAACAATCATCACAGTTATGCCTTCCCAGATTCCACTTGAACCGGAACAGGTCTACAAAGTTCGGCCTGCCTAGAAAGGAACTGGCAAAGCCATGATCGACCCCACTTCCATGCTTCTTCGGAGAGTGGATCTCGGGGTTTGCCGCGCCCTACCCGCGCCCTACTGCGGAGGCCGATCAATTCCGCCGGAATTAGCTATTGACTGACCCACTAGTCAAAACCCTAGTTATTCGGAGACTTTTGGTTCTGTAGAAGTGCTTCGTGTTACATTATATTCCCGAACCACTTTAATCAGCCCTCCTGATTACCAAGGTGAAAAATTTTCGCAATACAGGGCAAAGGGCTTAGAAATCAAATAAAGGATTCCGTAGAAAACATGCACAAGGTGACAAAGATATAAATTGGCTTGTAGCATAGATTATAGTAATTGCTAGTATTTGTTTATGGCCGCCTATAATCTGACATACAATACCATCAAACGACAAATTGAGACAATATGACGAACTGGCCAGATATTTCAACAAGGCGTGCCGAGGGTGTCTCATACTTCACTCCTGAGCAGAGCCCCCCGGCAGGTACAGCACGAAATCCCTAGTCCAGCGGAAAGCCGATCCCCAAACTATTCCACCCTTTAACAATCTGGGGTCAGACATTCCATAACAGACTAGGGGTATGTATTCTCGTACTAGTTACACCATTGATACCGAAGCACAACGAAACTGATTTGGCGATGAACAAGCTCGCACCCATGTGCCAATACAGCGCTGACGACGGCCATATGACCCCGTGGCACTGGGCACACTATGGTGGTATTGCTCAGCGCGGCCCAGGAATGATGATCATAGAAGCCACCAGCGTCCTGCCCGAGGGTCGGATCACTCCTGGTTGCGTTGGTTTGTGGAAGGACTCGCAGATCACCCCCATGAGACACGTCATTGAGTTTGCGCATACCAGGGCCAGAAAATAGGAGTTCAACTTGCCCATGCCGGCCGCAAGGCGTCTACCGTACCCCCCTGGCTAGGTGGGGCCACTGCAACAGACGCAGTCGGCGGCTGGGTTGAGCACGTCAAGGCGCCGAGCGCTATCCCCTTCGCTCCCGGGGGTATCGTGCCCAAGGCTATGAGCAGGGCCGATATTACCGAGCTCAAGGAGGCATGGGTGGCTGCCACGAAGCGAGCTCTAGCAGCGGGAGCAGATTTTATCGAGATACATAACGCTCATGGATATCTGCTTTCCTCTTTTCTGAGTCCCTCTTCCAATCAGCGCGGAGATGAGTATGGTGGCAGCTTTGAAAATCGCATCCGGCTCTCCCTATAGATTGCTCAATTGACCCGGGACACGGTTGGTCCTGACGTGCCTGTTTTTCTCCGTGTTTCGGCCACGGACTGGCTGGAATCCAGTATGCCAGAAGAACATGGGTGGAAATGTGAGGATACGGTTAGATTTGTGGAGGCTCTAGCGGCGCAGAGTGCATTGGATCTCATTGATATCAGCAGCGGGGGTATTCACAACGCCCAAAAGGTGAAAGCCGGTCCAGCATTTCAGGTGCCATTTGCTGCCGCGGTCAAGAAGGCAGTTGGTGGTAAGATGCTGGTGGCTGCTGTCGGAATGATCAACAACGGTAACTTGACTGAGAAGATCCTCAATGAGGATCAAGTCGATGTGATTCTTGTTGGACGGGCATTCCAGCGTGATACAGGTCTGGCATGGCATTTCGCCAAGGACTTGGACGTCGAGATCGCCATGGCTGCTCAAATCCGCTGGGGTTTTACCAGTTTCCGTAACGCTTCTGAATACATCCAGCCAAACTCGATGAAGGCGTCTATTTTTGACTAGACAAGATGAAGGGAGCGCGGAATAGTGGATTTCGGATGTTGCATTAGATTTTTGGCTAGCTAGAACCTGCTATAGACTATAGAGTGCTAATTTTACCTTCTGGACGGATGAGAAGTATTGGCAATTTGTTTTCGTTAGTAACCCTACGGCTTACGATGAAGTAGTACAGAGAGGGCCTTAACATTGTGCATCAACATACAAATAAAACTATTTATAATGGCAAATCTCCAACTCTTATTCTTGACCTCTATTTCCACCGCTTTTGGTCAATTCGTTGATTGCTCAATCCCCTTGTCGATTACGCTGGCTGAAGGTCGAATAATTCTACATGCGGATGATGCTCCTACAGTAGTATCTGATTGCTCTGGTCGACACCATAGCGGAAGGTACCCGACTTGGGCAATTTACTCAGATAAAATGCAATTGAAGCACCCTGCCGAATGATTACTTCTATCAATTGGCCTGCAGGAGTAATTTACCCGCCGAGTTTGACGAATATTTACGTTTTGAAGCGAGTGTGTGTGCCCCTTGTTGGCAGTATACGGGAATATGGCCCGTTTGATCACCCAGGCAACGATTCCGGCCCATCGGGCCATTGCTGTTGGGATTAGTTAGTTATTGAAGGCCTTTTAATAATCTATGACGCAGGATAATGCCGGAATGATCTTACTTTGCCGGTGTTTGATACGGATTCTGGGACTTAGTATTAGTGGCGACCCATCGGCGACTTCTGATGTTAGGTACTCCACTCATCTCTCATTGACTAATTCTCAACTTGAAGTCCCCTAACTATGATATAAAACATGTATCCCTCATCTGTAAATCACTTGTTTTTACGTTACTGGAAGCAAACAGCGACCTCGTAAGGAGGGCCAAAAAAAGAACTAAGGAAACTATATTCGAAATGTCCTCGTAAGTCCCGGTAGTGGAATGAATAAATCTCTTCACTACTGACAACTAGCAGTCCCAGGGATAAGTACCTTGCTCTTGCGAAAGAGACTGGTCGAGTTGATAAAGCAACCCTCGACCATATCTTCGACCAATTGCCTCCTATACAATTGGACCAGCTTCTCGGTGAATGGAACGGGGGCTTCTTCGACACCGGCCATCCTGTCGCTGATATCCTCAGGAAGATCAACTGGACGGGGAAATTATTTCGGTCTCGAAACGATGTTGATCCGGTAATTGTGCTTAAAGATGGAAAGCGGGTTAGCTGGGGTGAATGGGGGATGGCATCCGTAAGCGCGCCTCGTTCCGTCTTGAGATGGACGATTGTTTATTATCGATTTACTGAGATGCATTGGCAGGTTCATGACATGGTCTTTCGAGGTGTCCTCTCTACCACGATGATCTATGATGATCGGCCAGTGCTGGATCATTTTCGATACGTGGACAATGACTTCGTGGCTGGTATCATGGAAGGTAAGGCATTGGGAAAGGATGGAGAGTTTCACTTCTATCTTAAAAGAAGCTATTGAAATAATTCACCGTGATTCGTACGGGCTTGTTGATGCAGGGCCATTTTCCATTACTAGTCCATGGAGGTTCCACTCCGATGTCCCAGAAGTTGGTATTACCGCCGTGAGTCCTGATCTAATAACTTCATATTATGGAAAAGTCTCTCATGATCTTCGAGGCTGGATAGATAAGTTAATCTTCATTGATCTTGTCAAAGCATGCGAAAAGGAATTGCAGGGTGTGCATTAAGAAGGGCTAATCTACCAACATGACTCAATTGAATTAATAGAAGTTGGTGAGTCGAACAGAAGGGCTAGAGAAGGTAGTAAGCAGCGGGCATTTTAAATACCAATCTATCTCTTCTGGTAAACTGTACTCGTGGTAAAATGTTCCGAGTTGCTTCCCTGGCCCAAAGTTACATACAAAAACCAAAGAAATGAGGAGCAAGACAACAATCAGTCAGGAGGAGACTATAAGTGACTCCCCGCTTACGTTGACAGCTCTTTCTTGCTGGCTCGTAACGGCCGGCATCCGATTTTCTAACGAGTCTCGTTGACTGGCAGTGTTAATACTGTTGTATGCTGGGTAGCCAGTATACCCTTCTGATGTTTCCCCATAAACTGTATGCCAATTAAATTGTGAGAGTAGCTTCTGCAGTCTCAGTCGATTTTGCTTTTCTTTCTTGCCTTGCGAGTTGCTTTCCGTATAAAGGAATAAGATGGATCAATGAGAGCTTACTTTAATCACTATCTAGTTGTGCTGGTAGCTGTACTACATGGGATGAGCTAGGATACATATTCTCGTGCCAGTATAATGACTTTACGCCTCGTGGATATACTGGATATACTATAGCAAGTCATAATGTATTAAATAACCCTAGTGAAGCCCTCGGCTTTGATATATTTGATCATGCTTACTATATTTGTGGTTCTTCTGTGCAAAAGGTTGATGGCTCGGTAGTTGAAACCATCTCAAACCAACGGGAGTTTACATTGATCAGTAATCATCCCGCATCGATTGATCAGTAATCATCCTTCATCCGACTGGTCTGACCGAGGGCCAAGGTTGGGATCTGGATTGGAGATCAAATTGCATTGCCCAAATTTTCCCGAATATATGGCTATGGTTGACAATAAAACGAAAGCCATGTTCAAAATGCTTGTCCGCCCGATGCAATGTTGTCGTCAACTACTAGCCGGTTACAGACTCAGATTCACGCCAATTCTCAGTGGATGGTATCAAGTCCGCGGTGACCTTTACAATATTCAGGATATATTTTATAACAAGAAAAAAGGTACTGTGAGGACTTGGATGAGGGCAAATTTTTCTACCCAGTGGTGGTGTGCTGCAACTAAGACTCAGCGGCCCGCGATGCGATTTTAGGCATCTCTTGACGGATGGTCGATGGAAGAAAACTTGATAAAGAAAAGAATAATAGTATAGTGAAGAGAAGAAGCCTGTAAACCCGTCAGATTTACGGAAAAGGTATCAAACTTCCGGCATTTATATATCTTCAGGTTTATTCTAACCGTGGCTATGGCTTGACAGTAATCCGGAAACCACCAAAATACCCCTGTCGTCTGCGACTTCCGAGGCCTCTGACAGTTAATAACGATTAGGCAATTGTGAATAAAGCCCTGTAGGTCCGGAATTAGTTCTCTTCTAAGGTGGATGCAATATCTGTTGGCGGCATTTTGGAGTGAGACTTTGTATAAATGCAGACAGAACATGTATATCTCTGCCAATATCATTCTACGACCAGACCTTTTAGCATAATAGGCATGAAGTCTGGAGACCGCTGTTGAACGGTGCGGATATACGCCAACTTGCGTCGAAGTTCTAGTTATATACGAAATATAAGCTTCAGATTATTAGCTAGGTGTCTGGCATATTATTAGAATTCACACAGCTATACTGGCACGCATAACTACCGTTGCCTGGATGCCACTTCTTTCATTTTCCCTTTTCTGGCAACTTTGTCCATGAGGTGGAGATTGACAGCTGGGCGGCGTAGACACCTCTTAAGAACCTGCTGTGAACCCAAGCCCGCTACGCCGCCAGCGAACGATCACTAATCACAAATTGAATACGATCGGCTAACTGGGTTGTTCGCTATGGGTGATTACCTAGGCATATAATGAGATGGTCAATCTTTTCTGCATGGGTGTCATGTCGTTTGCTATTCAGTGTTGGGTACACCTGTTACTAGGCCATCAGGTTGATACCCTGAGATTTTCTAATCTAGGATTCTCACACAAAATGTCTTCAAGCATAGGCTCAACGGGACAAGACAGTGATGTCGAAAGAAGGTCCAATGCACGAGATGTAGAGCCCTTATCTTGGGACGATCCCAATGAGAAGAGAAATCCAGTTAATTGGAACATCTTTCTGAAAACGCTGCATACCTTTATTCCCTGTGCTTTAGCCTTTTGGATGTAATCTATCTATACTTTCTTTTCAACTTGATCGTGAAGAAGCTGACGCAAATCCTGCACAGCACTTTTGGCACATCTGTTATGGTGCCTGCGACCACATTAATCGCTGTCGAATTTAATGTCAGCCGAACGGAATCCATTCTTACACTGGCACTATATACTCTTGGGATCGCCCTTGGACCTATTTTCATTGCCCCATTGTCCGAGATCCTCGGCAGGAAATGGTTATATGTGATTACCGCTTCGTGCCTCCTTGCCTTCACTGGAGCTGCCGCAGGAGCACAGAACTTCGGTACCCTCCTAGTTTGTCGGTTTCTGGCGGGCTTTCTTGGCTCGGCAGGGGTTGCCATGGGGGCCGGTACAATTAGTGACGTGTGGGCATTAGGTAGAACAGGAGGTATTGTCTCTCTCCTATTTATATTGGGTCCCTTCCTAGGTCCGAGTCTCGGACCGCTCGCCGGCGCCTATATCCTACACAATCACCGAGATGACTGGCGGTGGACACAATACCTTCTTCTCATCTTGGGAGCACCGATCGTGCTGGGGACGCTGTTGATGCAAGAAACCGCGAAGAACAGAATCTTGCGAAACGCGTCCAAAGCCAAGGAAGGCAGTGAAAGTGGGAACCAGCAAACCCCCTTTAGCCAGATTATGCGCTTCTCCGTTGTGAGACCTGTTAAGATGCTGTGCGACGAGGCGATTGTTCTGTCGCTGACCATATATACGGCCTTCGCCTATGCGGTGACCTTCAGCTATTTCGGCAGTGCGATGTATGTGTTGCAGCTGGAGTATGGGTTTGATCTCCGACATGCCGGGCTGGGCTTCATCAGCGTCGTTATTGGATATGTGATGGCAATCATCACTTTCCTTGTGTTTGACAGTACCCTTTATGCGAAAGCCCTCCAGGCTGGAGGCGGAGATGCAGCACCTGAACATCGCTTGTATGCTGGGATGATGGGAAGTGTTCTTCTCCCTGTTGGACTATTCTGGTGATTGATCCAAATCAAAATCTTCTGGTTTATATACTAATGTGGGATTAGGAACGCGTGGGAAGCCCACCGGGGAGGCCATTGGGCTGCCTTGGTAGCTGCTGGGATTCCCTTTGGATGGGGCGCATTCTCCTTGTTCGTAAGTGTCTCTGATGACTATGAAGATGGTTCGTATTCAAAGCTAACCTCCCCATTAGCTGTCTACGATCATATACATGGCGCAAGTCTATCGCGCAGAAGCTATTGCCTCGGGTAAGTGTCGCTCTGGGAAATGCGTTGAATGATGACAGCTACTAAACAAAATCTCATGCAGCGCTCGCGGCCAATGGAACATTGCGATACACCCTCGGAGCAGTATTTCCACTGTTTACTATCCAAATGTACCAAGCTATGGGGATTCACTGGGCAGGAAGTGTTTGGGCATTTATTTCGGTCGTCCTTCTCCCTATTCCTTGGCTCCTGTTTAAGTATGGAGATAGATTGCGTGCAAAGAGCCAATTTGCCCAAATGAAGCACTAACTCAACATGTGGAGGTGTGTGGGCTATTAGTCTTATGCAGAAAAGGTCAGAAAAGCTTATTAGTCTAGTTTTGTATTAGCAGCACTGTATAAATATCAACCTTACCATATTATTGAAATTGCTTTGCATTGACACTATATCTATATTTCCAAATAATCTGAAGGAATTCCTGCATAATTAATGACGGTCTTTCAGCTAGTGAATTGAGTGGCTTCCAGCTCTTCCCACATCTCCAAATGGGAGTTGCACGCTAATTCCGTACGACGCTTTAAGTTCGAGCTCAGAAAAGAGGCTGATGTGGGGATATTATCACAGACTCCAACAACTGAAAGAGATGATCAGTTTTTAAGCAAACATAGAAGGCAAATGTAATGAAAGCATTAACTGTATTGGTGAAGCTGCATGATACTTGTAGGCTAGGGGTTCAAAGATGGACATGCATCAAGCACTCTTTCGTGCCCTTTAAATTAGCGCCAGTAGGATGACTTCCAGTATGTAGCATCCTGATTGTTTGTCCAGGTCTTATGTTGCTATTGGTTATCCTTTTGATCACCACATGCTGTATTTTATGGCGGTTAGTATGGGACAGTGGGGAGGTTCTAGTGAGGCGAAAATCAGCTGCTCACTAACTGTACACAACTATTGGTGGCCAAGGTAAGGCAACAGCACATCAAGCATATTGATGCAGTACGGAGTATTGTTGACCTCAATGGCAGGCATCTGCACGGGGTCGCGGGTCTTAATTCTTTGTAAGCTCCAATCACCCAGCCGCCTCGATATCGCCTAAGGAACGATAAACTTTGGAGATGCTTGGGTAATGCAGGATTAGGGGCTCTTATCTGGAGCCTGACGGAAACCTTTGCTGACTACGTCGGTCCTTTTACTGGCCCAGATGGGCTGAGGCTATTATATGTACGGAACCCCGCGTTCAAGATTACGAAAAAACCTATATGCTTTTACTCTAGAGCCTGGCATTCCATATGCTGGCAGTGATCCCATCCAATTCTACCCAGGCTGATGGAGCTGATATCCAACTGGACATATCTCCAAGCTTTTGTTCGTTGATTGCTGTTGATT